TCTACACCCTTATCTTCAACAAGCCTGAACCCTCCTTCCACCAATCCATCCATCTCAGAGAGCAGTTGGTATCCCCAGCTGGGTCCCTCTCACACTATGCCATTGGCGCCGGAATCGATAAGGGCCCGTACCGTATCCGTAACCCCTCCTTGCTTCAACAAGAAAGGTATGTTTACTTGGTATTCCCAGTCATCAGTCGGAGAGGCTGTCCATAGGTCGGTAGAGATCTGGTGTTGAATAGGTCCCAGAGGGCGACTTATCCCCAGGACGACCCTTTTCGTGCGTTCTTCCTGCTTCTTGAACGGCTCCTACGGGAGCGTTGGGAAGAGCTACGAGAGTACGCGGAGGGTTTGGATTCACTTCGATGCAATTTGGGGGCGATACGGGATATGAAAGGGTTGGTTCATTGCTGGCTCTAACCTGCGGGAGGGGAACGGAGCAGTCTCGAGATATATGACCGTGTTTCCCACATTTAAAGCAAAGCCCTTTCTTTCGTCGGTCTTCTCTTTCTTGAGACCCAGCAGGAGCGTAATTCAAGTCGATCTCCATTGCGTCAGGGTCTCGGCGAATAGTTGTCGTTGTTTGGCGATGATACGGACTGGATACGGAGGCGGGAAGGTGCCTTATATTATTATCATAGGTTGCGATCAGATTGGCATAAGTGTTAAGATTGTTTGGTAGAGACTCGCCCACCATAGCACGCTGTAATTCAAGGGACAGGGAGTTGCGTAGGGAGGCAATAAGTCCTATCTCATTCAGACCTGTATCGGCGGCTAGTCGTCGGAACTCGGCGAAGTGGGCAGTAAAGCTTTGTTTTCCTTGCTTAAGGTTACCCAGCTTGCTCAAGGCTGTCAGTTCCTTGTTCGGGTCGCCGTAGGTTGCCTCTAGGAACCCAATAAACTGATCTATGTTGCGAATATCAGAGTCCATTAGAGAGTCTATCAGAGAGACTACGTCACGGTCAAGACGTGAGTGAGCGTACAGGAGTCGAGAGCGTTTGGTGGGGAATCGGTCAGCGTTTCCTTCAAGCTTGTATTGAAGCTTGCGGATAAACGCAGAGAGGTCTTTCCGCTTGCCGTTGAAGGCAGGTGGATCAGGGAGTCGGTCGGATCTAATTGGTGCCAGTTCGGATGGCAATCGGGTCGTAGGCGGAGTCAGCTGGGAGGGGGAGGAGCCATTTCCAGACTTCCGGGTGGTCTCTAACGCTGGGGAATCCTCAGTTTCTATAACCACCTTCTTCGGACGGGAGGCGGACTGTTGTATAACAGCTAAGCGCTCTTCAAAGTCCTGCCGGAGAGTAGCCAGATCGCTACGGTGCTGGGCCTCTTGTTGAGCTAGCGTCTGTTGCAGGGCCTCGTTGCCAGCCTTAATTGATGCCAGCTCTGCAAGGATCAGTTGCAGCGGATCGGATTCGGGTGCCATGATGGATAGGGGGTTGACACAACGTAATGTCACAAAGATGCTACGAGTAGGCCCTTTAGGACTCGCTGGGAGTCTAAATCAATTACTACGTACGGTATCTAAGTAGGTACAAGACGTTGTGTACCGAACAGAACTCTACCAGCAGTAGTCTATATACTTACGTGTGGGTTTGTTCAGTTACCGGTTAATAATCGGAACTGAGTTGGATAGGTATCGGGGTTGCAAGTCCCGGAGCGGGGCTTGCAGAACCCTAATACTCCCGCTTCGGAGGTTGCAGGCCCGCTCTGGAGGTGGCCGGAGGTTGTACGTCCGCTTTGGAGGTGTGTAAGGACGCTGGGGATTTGGTGCGTATGGTCAGGGACAGTACGGAGCGGATCTGGATATTGTCAGGGGATCTGGAGAGGATACCGTGACACCTGCAGTCATCTTTGCAGGCAAGCCAAACACATTACAAGCGTCCTGGGTTGAGGATATAGAGCCAGGAAAGTACTCACTGTTTAGTACTGCAACTCCTTCAGGATGGAGCAATGACGAGGTTGGCCTAGCCTGGCTTGAGCAAATCTTCCAGCACGAGACGCAAAAAAAAACACACAAAACCTGGTGTCTACTTATAGTTGCTGGCCACGGCTTGCATATAACAAAGTCCTTCATTGACTACTGTTATCAGCACAAGATCCTGCTGCTCATCTTTCTTCCACACAGCACCCACACCCTGCAGCCGCTCAATGTTGTCCTCTTCTCACCTCTTGGCACAAACTATACCTCAGAGGTCACCTGACACCTTCACAACAGCCAGGCGCTAGTTAGTATCAAGAAGGGCAATTTCCTGCATATTTTCTGCCAGGCCTGGTTAAAATCCTTCACAGAAGAGCTTATCCTCAAGTCCTTCAAAGCTACAGGCATCCACCCACCTGACAACACTACTATTGTCAATCAATTCAAGAAACCTACAAGGAGATTGCCTCACACACCTCCTCTGTTTGAGGGAAACTAGTGGCGAGAAGGTGACAGGTTGCTGCAGCGCGCAGTGAAGGATATGAGCGATAAGGATACAAAGAAGCTGAGGGCGACCTTTCACCATCTTGCAGCTCGCAACAACCTTCTCTGCACTGAAAACAAAGGACTCTGCAGTGAGCTGGCTACTAAGAAAGCCCCAAAGAAAGGTTCTGGAAAGTTGGACTTGCAACAGCACAAAATGTATAACTCTAGAGCTGTTTTTTGGTCCCCGCGCAAGATAAAGATCCACTCGTTGGCGTAGTCGAAGAACTCGCCGGGTTCGAAAGGGGTCCGTCGAAACGGATTGGTATGCCACAGGAAAGCTGCGATGGGTTCTGAGTAGAGGCCAGTATTTCTGCATTGCTGCCGCTGAGTTCCGGGACACTTCCACTCACAGATTCAGGGATAGTGATGCTGTATTAATACGAAGGACTCCCCGGTCAACGAAGGTGCAGGCTTGGAATTGAGCTTTCGATCTTCAAAACGAACAAGTATGCCAGTGATGTCGCTGCTGTCTACGGTGCCAACTTGTGAGACCTCCAGGCTTTGACAAATGATGCCCAATCAAAGGAATGCGTCTCCATGATCTGCAACATGCGTGTGTTCCAATGGTTGAGGTCACGGCACTGATCAAAGATGTAGTCCGCTCTCTGTCAGCCCAGGACAGACAGGTCATGACTGACATCTGGCTCGCCGCCTGATGTTGAGTGCTCTGCAATGGCCAGCCTTGCTGACCAAGAAACATCGAATGGTACACGTAAGTCTAGAGCACCTGCGATTCTCTGCAGCCCGTTGTCGTTCCGGATAAGTGGGAGATTAATTTGAAGGACATTTGACTGCTCTGAAGAGGTGGGTGCAAGCTTCGTGACGCCATCTTCCTCCTCGTCCGATCATAGGGATAGCTTCCATGCGATTGGCATTTTGCTTTGGGTTCACAGCGCGTGCAGATCGAGTGAGGCCGGGATCGTGCTGGTCGCGATATACTGCAAGGGATCAGCCATGCCCTGTGTAGGACGATTGCCTCTAAGACCTATGGATATTTCTATGGAAACACGGAATGAATAGTAAACAGCTTGTTACGTAGCTACAGGTTAATATAGCTATGATCTTGAGGTTTGAGTTGGAGGAATGTACTGTATTGATTGAAAGATGCAGAGGACCTCTAAGATAGCTATATAAGCGACCAATAGGCAAGCGTCTAACCACAGTGAGCATAGAACAGTGAGTTGATGCTGTTGGCCTGACTTGTAGAGTATCAAAACCGTTACATATGAGCTCTCCGAAGGAAAGCGAATCTTTGAGCACTGCCGAGCTGGCAGTAGTAGTCCGCGTCAGGGGAAAGATGGGCCGATGTAACGGGTATGCCTGGAAAAGATACAAGACTGCTAATCTCGAATGCGCCATTAAGGTTGATTGAAAGGAGGTGTCGCAGAAAGTTGAGACCCTGACCAACAAGAAAGGATTAGGAAAATCGCGGGAAGACGCAGAGATTTTCTGATCAGATCGGAAAAGCTACAGTGAGTTTCCTTCACTTCAGGTGCTCCAAGCATGGTCGCATGCTGAATATGGCTCATAATAGGAGGTGAATGTGACGAAAGTCAATCCTGTGCACGACCTCACCATGTCGGTAGAGCCTACCCAAGGGTTCAACGCATGTCATACTGTGTACACATAATACTAGAAGAGCACTCATAAATGACGAGGTTCGGATCGAATGCTCGGCTATGGGAGAATTGAGCCTCAGAACGTCTTTGTGCGAAGTGCTGGTACTTGGGTCGAACCATGATTGCTGTCATGTTAATTGCGATGTTCAATGTGGCTAGAGTTCCAGCCTCTTGATACAGCAATTGCTTTACTGTCGTGCTGTTGAGTGTCGAGAGTGAATGATCCATTAGATCCACACCTCGGCCGTTGGGCTAGCGTGGTCGCCTTATCGCCTTATCGATATCGCAGGGGCAGCTTCCCCAAGTTCGACATGCGACGAGATAGCGACCCGTTCAGCACCACAACGCATGCAGCACCAACATCGTCAAAAAATGCAGTCTCATTTGCGCTGCACAAGATTTTAATGACAACATTACCCGAATATGTTAGGGGCAGTCGTGACGTGAACGCCGTGGTCAAGCGGCAGCTGATATACCCCGCGTAGGATGATAGGTGGGACCTTATGCGCGGGGGTGAATGGCGCAACCCAGCTATCAATCGCGATGTCTCACTCCCTTGTTCTGCCTCGTCGTTAGTGCTCATCTGTTCTATGTGTTACTAGGCGTGCCGGAAGCGCCTGCTTCATTGACTGATCATACCTTGATGTTGAACACCTTGCTTTGGCGCTGATATCTATAGCTACTGCTAAACGGTTGGGCAACTCCGAGGAGCTTCTTACTGCATAGAGCTCGGACAGCTGCCAGGCATCCCCAGGTAGAGTCAATGCCTATCATTCAAGTTTCTATTTACATGCTCTGATACCAAGGTCGCAGGACTACATTCACACCCCCAAGTCATCTTACCACCACCTCAACCGTCCACATCGCTCACGATGGCGTGGTGGCGTCGCGACCCATATCTTTGGGCACGGTCACCGGTCCATCGCTACACTCAACGTATCATTCGAGATCACGAAGCAGCTCTTCGTACACGATGCTTCTCACGTACGCCTTCAAACACTGCCCAGCATCAGGACCACGACGGCGCAAGACGCCCGGATGGCATGACCGACCTGGAGTGGTCACAGCTACGACGCTATAGGAAGTGGAGGAAGATGCTGCAGGAGCACCCATACAGAGGCTTGTTTGGAGCCAGCGAGGATATGCTGAGAGGCAAAGGCCTCACTGACTGGGAATGGGTGTACAAGACATTTCCCAAGTGGATGCTGCAGGAGATGGATCCCCCAGAGCCAGTAGATCGGGACAAGAGCGTGAACAAGAGTGACTGTGGTAGGCTTTGTACAGTTGTGTCTTGAGGCGAGAGCTGACAGCATTTAGGACGGAGATACGGAGATAGATCAGAAGGAAAGACTCAACGAGAAGAGCAGCCGTCGGTCGAACGAAAGCCCACTTTTGCGCAGCCAGTTATAAAGACAACACATTGCGAACGCGATGAGTTCGGTATCGTGTCGCCGTCCGATCTGCGCCGACCACGAGAGGGTTCACACGTGAACACGGTAAGCAAGCACGAGAAGCCGCATGTGTCCGAGACCAAGGAAACCACCAGCAATCGCTCAGAACCTCCAGTAGCAGAACAAGAAGCTTCGAAGCTGCATCTGGGACAACACGACGTAGCTCAGTTTCAATCATCAACGGCCTCAATCAAACCTGGAGATAATACAGCAACGGCCAAAGAGGCCTCCAATCGAGAATCGTCCTTCATCGACGCGTTTTTCGCCGACGAGCTGAAGATTTACGACCGTGATCTCGGCAATAGCAAGTCTTGGAGACAGACAGCATTACAGAGGCGAAGTACGTCAAACGCCGTAGCGCGACCAAAAGCTGGATCGTTTCCAATCGCGAAGGCAGGAGCACCAGCGACAGGAACGACACCCGCACCGGTGCGAGAGACCATCATGATACCCTCTTCGCAGGCACTAGTAGACAACTACCCCTACCCAAGGCTCGCTCCTGCTACAACCGGCACTGCTGTCGAGAAGAAAGCTCAGCCGATCCGCAAAGAAGTAGGATGGTCAATCCCAGGGCCGACCGAAACTGTTCAAGAAGTTGGCGCTCCAAAGTCGGACCCTGCCATTCCACGATCAACTTCAGATAAACTTGAAGGATTGCCTAAAGATGATATCGATATTTTGAGTGCCGACGAAATCCGAGCAGCTATGGGCACAAGAAAGACTGGCACGAAAACCAGCGAAGAGAAGAAGCAGGAACGCCAGAAGCTGGAAGCCGGCTACGCGGCTACAAAATCGGGGGCACTTGACGAAGCAGTTGAGGGGCATGTCCTGAACAACTATTACGTGCGCCGAACTCAGCAAGAGCTTGAACGAGCACAGACTGCATCACAAGCTCCTGAGGTGGAAAGAGTCGAAGCTGAACAGAATCTGTCACAGCCACTATCTGAAACGGTCCAGATGGAGTCTAGCATCGATCGCATGCGAAGGTGGATCGAAGATGGCAGTGCTTCTCTTTCAAATCACTTCTGGAAAGACCCTATCGAAGCAGGCGCACCCTCAGAGGCAGATATGCATTTCGCGAAGCAGATGGCAGGCCTCGATAAAGGTCGCCGTCTGAGAGAGCACATCTCAGATGACCTAGAGACCGACCTTCCAATGTGTAAAGGCCTATTGGAACGTCTCAAGAACGACGAGAACAGAGTCGAATATGCGGTCTACTCCTTGCGATCCCCCAGGAAGTTGGTGCATGGTGCTGAGATATCAAAGGACCTTCGGACCATTAGGGAGCGTCGCCTGCGCAACACATACGAAAGAACAGAGAAGCAGTTCGAATCAGCATGCCAAGCTCTTCGTGAGCTAGAAACTGTGGTGGTTCAAAAAGCCACAAACGCATTCAAGAGGCGACTCGGTATCGCCTCGAGAGTACTGCACAAGAACCACACTTTGACTCGGATGCTCACATGGAGTGCACAGGCTCGCCTTGGTGAACCAGGTCTTGAGCATAGCAAGGCGGAGTTGTACAGTGAGATTCTCACTCGTTTGGCTACATTGCGGGACACACAGCTGGCTCTTGCCCGATTGATGGACCATGCTGTACAGACCTATGGGGTATCTTTCAAGCCTGCAGACGAAGCACTCTCTAGATCGGCGCCAAACAGCGAGTCTGGAGGAACCGAAGCCATTAACGGGGAGGATCTTGCGTCGTCTGAGAAGACTGGAGCGAAATTCTTAGCTGACACAGCTGCCGCAGGTCGTCTCATTGATGAGATTCAATCTCAAAAGGCAGCAATGCAAGGCCTATCCGATGATGGGTATGCAAGAGCGCCAAAGCAGACTCCTAGAAGATCGTTTGAAGAGAACAACCCTCTTGCACACAGCCTCTTCAGGCCTTTCAATCTTCAATTCGAGAGCCTGGGTAAGAATACTAAGGGAGAGGAGGCAGAAGAGAAACTGAAAGAAGCCTTCAAGCAGAAGATGGGAGACAAGAAGCTAGTGCAAGAAGTGCGCAGCGCGTATGAAGATGTTTATGGGCCGATTACGGTCGAGCACCGACAGGTAGCGCCAACCGAAGAATCTGTGAGCAGTGAGGCGAGAGACACAAAGGCCTTTGAGATGTTGAAGGAAGACCCTCTCAGCCGGACAGCCAGGACTGCTTACGAAGAAGCCAAGCCTGCTGATGCTACCGCCGCTAGCGAGCCACCGGAGGCGGAGGCTATCGCTAAGGAAGCCGATGTAGTGTCTGGAAGCATCGTGTCGTCCTCGATGAGCGAGGGAGTCAGCTCGGAGCCTTTTACGACCGCGCCTGAAGCAGTAGAAGTTGCCAGCGAGACACCTCAGAGCACTGCTTCTCTCAGCACGGAGATGTCATCAGCCCCAAGCACAACCACTACCGACACTGTTGCAGAAGATGTCTCGACTGCCAATCTGCCAACACACTACACGATCCTGGTCCATGATCCTCAGACCGACACATTGAGCATCACAACCTCGACAAGCAAGCCACCCCGCGACACCTCGCCAGCCCTGCCCATCCACCAAGCGCTCTCTTCGCTCAAATCGCCTGCAAAGTTCATCCCATACATCACTCCTGGCCTTGAGGTCGTCACAGCCAAACGACACATGCTAATCCTCCGTGACGCTCTTGACAAGACGTCCTCAACCCGAGGCTTTGAAACCATCAGCGCACAGCCCGCTGCCGATACAACCAATGAATCTTTCAACACTGAAGTGAACCCCATCGACGGCACCACGCGACTCAGCCCAACAGGCTACAGCGGCGTTGAACAAAGCCGGGAGCAGCTCGAGAGAGATTTTGAAGAGAGGAGACAAGCTGCTGCTGCTACCGAAGCGGCGAGGAGCAAGAAGAGTAAGCAGCAAGCTAGAGATGAGGAAGTGCCGAAGAAGAGGGGAGGCATAAGTGGTGTGGTTAAGACTGCAATTTGGGCGAGTGCTGTGTGTTATATCGTTGGTGTTACTGCGGAAGTGCTTCGTTGATGTGATGTGAATTCGAGTTGGGCGTTCTTGGGCTTGGGCGTCCTTGGGCCCAAGCGGGCGTTGTTGTCGGTTGGCGTTCGGAGGTATACACCACACTCACGAGTCTCACATGTATCTACATACGTCTTAGCAACTAAATCTATTGGCGACGGGTCTGCCGGACAAAAATGATGTCCTTGGTAAGCATTCCAGCCTCACGCAATTGCATACGCTTCGGGCTGAAGAATGCCACTCCAGAAACCTCAGATATTTCTCTGCCGTTCGATCCATTCAGTAAAGCCCCATCTGTCTCACTCAGGTATGCTCCATCTTTTCGGTACGAACCTTAATATCTTGTCGCCATCTGCTTCATCCTGCTTTAGATGTTGCACTTGCAATCCCTCGAGCACGTCACCAGTCATTCTGCTTTCTCTGGATTTACACACAATTCCCGGATTGAACGCAGAGCCCGCACAGCAATAAGACCGACAGCGAAGTGAAGACTGACCGCCATATCCTCCAGCCATCTCCCATCGCCCTTCATATTGCCGAGACTAATGTTCCTCACCCACGCGCTGCATGAGTACGATGCCATAGCACCTAGAAAATTAGCCACGGAAATCGCGAGAAACTCATACGGACCTTCCAGTAAGTGGCAGACTATCACCGAACTCTGGTAAACATAGCCGCCATTATAGTTTCTGTATCGGATGTCTTTGGACAGCCAGACGCGCAGGGCTGCGTTCAGTGCGTTGCTGGATACAAGTGAAGAATACAGCCAGCACGCTGAGTGCGGCTGCAAGTGTGAATTGTGCACGCGCAACGAAGTGGATTCCGAAGAGGGAGGGGAAGCTGAGAGCTTGGAGGGCTACTGCGGCAAGCAAGGCACCCTAGAGTTATCCATACCAGAGATGTAATTGTCGGGGCAGACTTGGAGTGGCTTACGACAAGAGCGAATAATCTGAAGGACTTTAGTTGCCACTCGCGCATGCGGAGCACGTCCTCGTCAGTTTCTTCGTTGATGAGCCTCTCGATTGTTTCCACTTGCTTGAGGTCGAACAGCAACCACAGACGCCATCGATATGAGTTGCCGAACCGCGAGCGGGCATAATCGATATGATGCCAGCGTTGCATTACACCATAGCTTTCGAAGAAGTCGCAAGGCAGAAACAGTACGCGGGCACCCAGTCTTGCTGATAAGCACGGAACACACGCGATTTCGGTTGTTGAGTCCATGTCGACAAGGGTGGCCCGAAAGGTGACTATTTATGGTGCTGTATAGCGTCTTCCGCACATTCCGCAACGAGAGGCGCGCTTGCGTCAAGATATCAGAAGAGAAAGTGAAATATGTGTCCACCCCTAGCGAGACTTGATCGAGGGTGAGATCGGCTGTATGGATGCAGATAGCTGTAGTGCATTTCGGATTCGGGAGTGGTGGAGATGTAGTAGTTGTACTAGCGCAGCAGCTGGGCGTCTGCAACGTTTAGGTAGGATGCATGTGCAAAGATGAGCGAGATGGATTGATTGAGGAAACCGAGTGTGTCCAAGACAAGAGAGGAAGTTGGGACTGCCGTATACGCCACCGTTGGCGTGGGTGGTGACCAGAGACGTGTTGTGTTCGCTAGTGATGGTAAGCATATTGTGCTCTTCGAACATGTATAAACTTACCTAGCAAGATCCAGGACTCTCCTTTTCTGATTCATTTCGCTGCCACTAAAACCGTTTGTAGGAGATTCTTACCTCCACAGATGAATTCGAAGGCGCGGTTCACCCAGAAGCTTTTCAAACAATTCAACCTACGCATCAAACGTAAAATTTGTGAACGAGTAGTTCCAAGAATTGTACGCCTACACGGCTTTTAGTCCACTTTCCAGGTCCGCGTTGAGCGCCGTTCTCGCATGCGCCTCAGACCAGGCACAATGCGCAAAGTCTACAATTGTAGTAACTCCGTCATTCACTGCTTCGTACAAGCCTGCCAGTTGCCGAACATACACATCTTTGGGATTGAACGTCGTTCCAGCAGCAGAACTTGTCCCAAATCAAGGCAGATACTGTAATAACGTTGTGTTGGAACTCAGCGTCTTGAAAGCGGTTTGCCAGCTATGTCGGTGCGTGTTGATGAAGCCAATGGAAATGATGTCGTTAGTGGTAATGGACTGCCTCCAGGCTGGTGGTGAAGGTGACGATATACTGACCTGAGGGAACAGCAGTGATTGTGCCGTCCTCGACAAGCGCTGAGCCGTTGCGTACGATCTCGAGGCTGTGAGTAGCTTCGTCCCAGGTGATCACGATACCGCCTGCTAATAGAGTTGTAGTATAGACGAAGAGGTTTGGTAAGGCGAGACCGAGAAGGACCGGAAGCAGGAACATGTTGGAGTTGAGTTGCAACTCCCGCGTCCCAACAGTTCATTCAAGCGGCGATAGCATATATAGCGCAATCTCCATGTGGATGTTTGGGCTTGGCCAACATACTCTGTAAGTAATAAACTCCGGCATATGAAGCATCAACGGGATTGTTAACTGTCATTAGCTTCAATGACGTGCCGCCAAGCTGCCTAGGTGGGAGTGTTTACTGGTGGAGTCGTGAGCATCTCTTTGGCCCGGTGGGGCCCGACCAAGTGGCACCACAACCACACTTCTCTTCCTCTGTATGTTCACAACGAATGTCCTTTTTTCTTCTGGAGGTTCTTACCACGTTCTAGCTTTCTGCTTCCTGCTCATCGCCGCAATGGGCCCACACTCGAGCCTTCTTTCAATGTTAATCAGATCCTCCAAACCAGGCAATACATCACCCGTCTTTCGACTCTCTTCGTCTTTGCTTCCAAGTAGCGTATTGAACAGTACAATAGCAAACACGGTCGGGATCACGAAAGCGACGATGACCATCACATCGTCCCATTTCCGCCCATTGTTTTCATCGTTTCCTAGACCAATATTTCTCACCCACGCACTGCCAAGATAAGATGCTATACCGCCGATGAATATCGCAACAGACAGCGTGAGAATCTCATATGGAGCCTCGAGAAGATGGAGAGCCGCTATTGAGCTCTGATAGACCTCGCTGTTCTCGTGATTGCCATACTTTGTGCCGTTCGATAGCCACGCACGGAGTGCTCTCGCATTGCGAGCGGCGCCAAATTCGCGTTGCTGAATACATGTGAAGAACGTGGCAAGAACAGAAAGCGACAGCGCGACGATAAACAGGGCGCGGGCCATAGCGTGTGTGTCCGCCAGCCGAGGGAGGCTGAGCGCTTGTATAGCGACGGAAGCGAGGAGTGCACCCTGATGGTCAGTTCAAGGTTCCTTGCCAGAAAGATTCAGATCGGTGCTTACGACAAGTGCAATCAGCCGTGAAGAGTCCAGTCGAGAGTCCCGCATCCGCAGAATGTCCTCATCGCTCCCCGTGTTGATGAGCTTCTCTAGAGCTTCGAGGCCCCTGATATCGAAAGACAACCAGAAACGCCAACGAAAGGATGGACCGTATCTGTTGCGTGCGTATTTGGTACGAGCCGGCGGAGCAAACCAGGCTGCGGAGTCTGTGAGCAGATATATGGGCAATAACAACACGCGCACGCAAAAACGTGCTGGTGAACCGAGAACATTCGCTATCTCGATGAGATCCATGTGGGATTATAGCTGCTGACCATAAAGAGGATACAGATTAGTTTTATGTATGTTTCGTGTTGCAGGCGATTGTGTTGCCTAGTCGATCAGCATCTACCACAAAGCTGAGGTGATGCTCAGCCTTGTTCGAGTGACACAAGAAGGCAACCAAGATAGCCTCACGAGGTCATACGCATTGCAGCTGCATGATGTCACATTGAGCGTGAGTTCAGGGTCAATGTTGAGGGTCGACTTGTTCAATACATCTCAAACGAAACGTGAAGGTGATTGACCCCGCACGTGCATTCGCAACTCGTCGACCGATAACGTCATCGCTCTTGCTGTTCTTTTCACTGTGGGAGTGATGAGGAGAGGCTGCTCTGCATAATCCAAAGGTTTGTTGCTGTTATGTCTGTTGTGATGGCCTTTTTTCTGGCCATCAGGAGGGTCTGTTTTACATGACGTATTGTTCGCCGCTGCAGTGTTTGCCAGCGGTCCGCTGCACTGATTGTCCAGCCCATTCGGTTAGTTCAGTTTGGTTCCCCATCCCTTCACTGCCATTCCCTTCTACTATATAGTCCCGATCGATCCTCGTCATAGCTCACAGATAGATCAATCAACCAATCATCTCAACCCTTCCACACGTATCTATGATACAGATGAGTGTGGAAAGTGCTTGTCAAGGGGAGTGGGAACCACTACACCAACATGTGGTACATAAGACGTCCTTACCCCATGAACCGTCACAGCTCTTCATCGACCCTCAATATCAACATCTACATAAAGAGAGTGCATGACAGTCGTCTGGAGATAGTAACAGAATCATCACAGAAACGTCTTTGCGAGTGCCTGAACTGCTTCCAGTTGTTACCGGTTTCACGCTGATTAGAATTAGTGCCCATATTATCGAAGCATTCTACGCAAACGCTTCCAGTGACAGGCTCGCACCGTCTGATGCTCTAGGGAGGCTTGGCTCGGTGTTCGCCACTCATAGTCCAGATACTGTCCAGCGGCGAAGATACATTCAGCATCGCACTTGATCCAGCATCGCACTTGCAGACGTTGAGCATCCATTACAACATTGTTAAGTTGTTATCAAATAAGAACAATGTTATCACGCAACAATTCTCTCTGGACGATATCCAGGAAGACCTCTTAACGCTTTTGTGTATCGTCAAGAAATAAGGGGTTCAAATTGCACATCAATATGGACCAACAGCGTATCAGGCTCAACATGTGGGGGAAACTGGTTCGATATACTACGGCCGGTCTTGAAAGCATTCGAGGAGGCCGGCGCCACTGTAACGATTGATTGGACCTATCACGGACGCTATGTGGATGGTATAGACGGTGCACATAGGCGTTCACTGATAGACCTGATGAAGGCTCCACGGCCGAAGTGGAGAGAGGAATTGGTAGGCTGGTTAGAAAGCGTAGATACCCGCACATGCCTGACAAGTACCAGAGCGAACATACCCGGCCTAAAGCTGCATCGATGACAGAGAATATATCTATGGGAACGAGCCTGGCTACAACCCAGAAGAATTCAAGTTCGATGACACGAAAGCCGAGGTCGATGACGAGAATGAGTACAGCAACTATGTTTGGGATGACTATCATGGGCTTCACTGCGAGTATGTTGAGTGCGCGTCTCCAGATAGTGGTCCCATGATTGATTTGTACGAGTCCGGTATCATCTAGTTTCGGGCTCGAAACAAGTAATTGGCATGCCATCAAGTCGACCACTTATCGTTGGCTTCGACGATGTTGCGAGGCTTCACATGCATCAAAATACGGGCATGGGTGTGACTCGCGGTGACTTGAGCCGATGATCCGCGGACAGGATGGCCCCACGTTGCTCGCTGATTGGCTGCAATGACGTGCATGACTACACGCTACACCCTCCTATCGCGGAGCGCATGTCGTCTTCCACCTCGACACCTCCCTCAGTCGTTGCTGCCTCGGTCACTCTCTATTCGCGTCTCACTCAGCTTGCAAGCATCTCTGCTTCTTGCCTCTCTTGGCACAGTCTGTCCCTTCCTCGAGGGTCTTATCGCACTATCGCACAATCGCACCCCAACGCCACCATGGCTATTGACGACTTGACTACACCGCAAGCAGCGGCCCCGCAGCCCATTGACATTGAAGCATGGACCGAGCAAGCGACGGCAGCTATGGGCTCTGTCACCATCTCCGTACCTACCACAGTCGCTCAGGAGACGTCCGTTGCTTTCGAAATCCCGCTCGATGAGCACGATGCGCCAGCCCGCCCTGCACCTGCTACAACGACTCAGGTGCACACTGTGTACAAGCGCAAGGAGCCCATTCGCCGCGACAGCTTGAAGAGGCGTGAAGCGCTGCTCAAGGGCAAGGAGGGCAGTCGGCGCAGGCAGAGGTGGGAGAACGGTACGCTATCCTGACTCACTCCCTCCAGCAGCGTCACCAACACCAGAACCACCACCTTCGAACACCACATTCCCTACGTTCAGCAGTGGCTCATCTCTCGCAGACCGCCTCCTAAACAATCCCCACGTCGAACCCCCCACCTCAAAAGACTGGGAGGTCCACCCCACCTACCGTGTGCGCAACGTGCCATACTACCTCGCACCCCTCTGGGACGCGGGCCTGAAGCGGCAATCCACTAAGCGCCACGACGCCTGTGTCGCCGAGAAAAACGCAAGCCGGACCGTAGCCAACAAGCCGACAACGCCCGGCGTGGTGCCGAAAGAACTGCGCGAGAAGCTCAAGCGCAGCCGCGGCGCAAAGGGCCTCCTTATGGATCTGGAGGGCGAAGTGCGCAAGTTCGTCAGCGAGTGGGAGGCCAGCGCCAGGGCGGCGGAAGAAGAGGGGTTGCCTGCAGATCTAGACTCCGAGGATGAAGAAATCGTCTTCGTTGGGCGCAACGGACAGACACACGATCATGACGGTGCGAGTGCGCAGCTCAAGCGCGAGCTCATGCTTTTCGAGACGCCTGAAGGTGATAATGGCGGCACGTTCGGACGCTGGCTTGTGCATCATATTGGTGTGTACTATGGGCTCACGACGTGGAGTGTCACTGTGGGCACTCCGGCGAGGAGGGAGGCGTACATTGGGATCAAGGAGACGAAGATGAGGAGTGGTGGAAGGGCGGCGTGCAGTCCTATGCCTACTCCGCTGTGGGGTATGGTTTAGGAGACTGCAGTTGTTCTACTTTCCGTTCGCTTCCTTACCTTTTCGATGTTCCATCTTCTCGCCGCGTGCATCTTGTGCATGTGGACGCGCATAGAGCACCGGAGGTGTGCCATCATATAGACTATACATCAGTCATGTCTGCGTGAGTTCTCTTGGCAACGATCAGGCACTATGCTATACGCCGTGTCAGTTTGTACAATTATTGGCAGTGCCATCCCCAAGTCGTCTGGGACAGCACAGGGGCCATGATGACGCGACCGACCGAATCTGTTTTCAGCATGTCTGAGCGCCATACGTGTGCATTTGGATGAAAGCGTGGGCCTTGCTTTACGGCTGCACATAACCTCTGGACGGAGACAACGACTGAGATGACATAGATATCTCGTCTAGACTGAAGACGAGCAGGCAACAATGCTTCAAGCCCTCCGTACATACACTGAGTCTTAAACATCACTGCGCTAGATATCAAGACTCAGGACTGAAATCATGAGAATTGCATTACTCTCTATTCGTCCGTTCATAGCCCAGCCACAACGGGCTACACCAGCGCAATACCCTCCAGCTGCGGTGGCTTATGCTAGCCGTATATTTTCCTTTCGTCATGTGGTGCCAAATGCCTTTCTGGACTGATCTGGCTGCTCCTACACAACCCACGTCTTCGACCATTTTGGAAACGTTGTATCGAACCTCCAGGTTACCCATAACAGACACTTGGAGGTGGCGCGTCAGGCTGTACGGGCGCTTAAGCCTTTTTGGCGAACTCGACGCGCAGAATGAGATGGCCGAAACCGACTGCAAACATATCAGTACAAGTCCCAAAGTAGTGGCTGGGGTATGGTAAGACTTACAGCCGTCCATCTTCTCACACGCCTTCGCAGCATCACTCCTATCCGCGTAACTGATGAAAGCAAAGCCCTTGGCTCTCCCTGTCTCACGGTCCTTGGCCAAGAACACTCTTGTGACGTGACCGTATCTGCTGAACATGTCCCTAAGATCCTGCTCTTCCGCAAATTCACTGACGTTGGTAACCCTCAGCGTCGCGCTATCATCGCGATCAAACTTGCCGCCCATCTTCTCGCCTCCGCCCATCTTGCCTCGCAGATGGGGCGGCACATATCCGCCGCTGCCAGCACCAAGACCTCCCGCACCACCAGGCGCATCGTCGGGCATATCGGCCGGCGCATCGGCGCCCTCGGGGGCCATGGTGTCCTTGAAGGGACATTTGGTTGTAAAGTGGTCACCGGAGCAGATACGGCACTTGATCTTTGCGTTCTTGAGCTCCAGCTTCTTCTTCTCGTCCTCGCCCTTGTCTTCCTGCGCGGCCTTCCAGTTGGACTGTGGGCGGAAGACAATGTTCTCAGCGACCGAGACGGTGTCGGTCTGTGGCCCTGCGGGCTTGCCCTTCTCCTGCCCGAATTTTGCCCATGCCTTGCGCTCGGCGACGCGGGGGTTTACGACTTGCTTGATGACTGTCTTCTTGATGCGGCGGGTGGTCTTGACCTTCTTGCCGTCCTCGTTTATGCGGTAGGATACGATCGTCTCGGTTCCGTCCTTGTTCTTGGTGACTGTCTGCTGGGGGAGGGCGAGGTCGTTCTCGTCTTCCTCTTCGGCCCAGTCGGTGCGGCTGCGAATTTCTGTTAGCCAAATTCGTCAAGAGGACTTTTTTTATATTTTTTTGGGGTACGTACCCTGCTACGCGAGACATGGCTGCTATGTGATGTGTGTAGGAATGGGGGGTAGTAAGTGTGGGTGCTCGTCGTGTGTTGTTGGTGGTTGACGCTGCGATTCAAAGATGGAGTGGCGTGTGGGGCATCAAATGTGCGATATAATATTTAGTGCGCCGCCTAGCGCCCCCTACACCCTTTCACCACTCCTTCCAGCCTTCAATGACAATGCACACAGTCTGAAAGGCCAGCCAAACTGTTTGGTAGCTAATCTGAGTCACATTTTTACGATACAGCAAATATTGCTGCCTATTTCGAAGCGTTCGGGGCAAGCGTGACTGAATAAGCAAGCAGGCACCCTGGGCACCGTTGTCGTTGCATGACTATGCAGAAAGTGATGGAAGAGTAAAATGCAGCTTTGGTTCTACTGTATGATTCTAGGGGGAAAATAATCGAAGACCATCGTCGAACCATGCGCCCAATCGTTCATCCCTCCGATCCTAGCTTCCACTGCACGCGACCGTTGGGATGACCTGTATACTGCCCTGTCTGCACTGGCTTTGGTTGCTGTATCACCACATCGCTGTTCGTACGCGGGATCGTCTGCATGACTGGTTGAGGGGTCGTGCAGCCAAAAGCAGTATTACTGTTGCCGCGGACCAGTGGTGGTGCATTTGCGCCCATAGGAGGTCTCTGGATATGGTGTGATGAGTAAGGTGCGTGGAAGTCGTTGACAAAGCGCTCGGGTGGCGGCATCATCATCGTCCTGTACTGTTGTAAGTAAGGTGGTAAGAAATCAGTTGATATTGTCTGACTCCTGCGGCGTAACGCTGCTCCTTCGGCTCGCAGGCAGACTGCCAGTCGCGCTTCCGCTGACACTCGCAGCATTGTACGTCGCCGCATGTTGTGACTGAGGTGTTGCTGGAAGCCAGCCGCTGCTGGTGATGCCCTCCGTATCCACCAGGCGCTGCAGCAGATCTTCAGTGATGACAAGCAGATGCTCGTATGCAGCAAGACGAGAGTCCTCCTTTGCCGAAGTGCAGTGGATGTACGATCTACTCATTGGATTGTGTTCGACGATGGCGGCGCCAGTCTTTCGCGAGGAAGTTGGGGCGAAACTTATCACGTCGAGACATCGATTCGGGCCGTAGATTGCTCGAGCGTTCGCTGCAGTGCATTAGCAGGTGAGTCTTCGAAGCCCAGCGAGGACATACCGAGGATTCTTGCTCTTGTGCCTTCCAAAGAGTCCTCGTTGACCTTGTCCTCCATGCGATGCAGTATCTTGTTGGTAGTCCTTTCCATCTCCAGATTCTCGTAGCTGCTGCCCTTGTGCTTCATATCCCTGAACGACTCGATCATCTTTATCGGCTATCTGTACCTTGTGAAGTCGAGTGGATCTACCAGAAACTGAGGACGGAACTGAGCTGACCGTACTTCCAGTCTCCGAATGCTTCAATGAGCTGACGCGACTCGTCGAACCGAGCTGAGTAGTTGAGTTGAAGCTGCGAAAAGAGTTGACCCTGGATAGGCTCAATCTAGAGACACTCGGTGTGCTGGAACTGGATCTGGACCGTGAACCGTCTAGCTGGCGACAAAGTCGTTTGACCTCTTTGCGTCTCTTGTACTCTGCGTCGTCCGCTAGAAGTTGTTCACGAACCTCGTTCCAAGATTTTTTGGGCACGTAATAAGCGCTGTCTGGGTGCCAAGGGCCTTTGTCGACAGGATTTGCGTCAATGTATGCGAAGCGCTCGGCGAGGGTAGTCTTGCGGCGTAGCTGACCTGATTTGGATGTGGCTGTACCACTGCTGCGTTTGAGATTATTTCTGGAGCTATTCGCGGTACTAATGCGCGAGAGGGTAGGTGATGTGCGTGCCCTGCCGAGGCTGGGTCTGGGCCTAGCAGACGGATCCAGAGTGGATAACTCGTTAATGATTTGTAGCTTCGAGGGTCGCCGTTGCACCGGCAAGCAGGGACCGCACGATGTGAGGATTATGGGGGCGAACGTGGTGGCGGTTTTGTGAAGGAGCTGGTTTGACACTTAGTATTGATCAACGACTTGGGCTCGAAGGTATGATGAAGGTGAATGAAGGGCTGCAACATACATGATTGAGGGTTGCTGTCCGCGCTAGCGGAGAGGTGAGTCCGTAGAAATGAGGTTGTAGGCAGGTGGTGCAAGAGTGAAGGACGCGGACGCGCGATGAGTGTGGAGGCAGGCGAGCGTGGGGGTTGCAACTAGGAGTGTTTATGGTAAGGAGCGCGATTGCGTTCATTGCCCAGACGATGGGAAACCCAGACGACGGGAAAGCAGTCACACCTCAAACAAGCAAGGACGGTACATGACGGTTGTTGTTCACGATGGCCCGGAGGCAGTTGCCCATTCGAGAGGAAGGTACTGCGGAACGTGCACGTCCAGATGACCTTCGAGAGGGCTACAAATGTACACAGCAGCAATTGCACCGTCAAACAATCCTACCATTCCTCCTCTCACCTGGCCTCACGCTCCATACCCTTCTCCGCTCCTCCACTCCTCACAACCCCTACCCAGCCCTAACAACCTGCTCCATAGCCAACCCAAACCTCTTATGCCAAACCCCCATCAACTCCTCCGTACTTTTCGTATCCGGAATACTCTCATCCAGCGCATCCGCCCTAAACCCCTCTATCAACGTGGCTCTGCCCGCACCTTTGAAGCCGCAGCCTTCGTACATCCTGACCAGCCAAGGAACCTTGGGGTTCATGAAGAGTCTGATCCTCGCTTGCTTCAGCTCATTAAGCGAGGGGGGCGGGGGGGAGCCTATGTGTACTCGATCGCAGTGGCAATGCATGAGTTGATGAGCTATTCAGCCAGGCCGCGCCCACGATGTGCGGGGAGTGTGTACAAATCGTAGACGTACCATCTCGCCTCCTCGTTCGGGTTCTCACGGATGGGTAGGTTCGTGTCAGGGGAAAGGTAGTAGTCCTTGTATGTCATGGGGTCCATGAACGGCCGCGAAACCTACCCACTCTCTCTCGATCAATGCTGTCTCATCGTCGAAAGAGTTGGCGTCGTTACTGGACGAGGTGTTGGTGGCCACGCATATGAGTATAGTATGGGCTTTTCAGAAAAGGCGTTCGTTCCAGACTTCGAGGGGCATAGCGGATTCTACGGCATGTTGGGCTAGGAAGCTGACTGGGTCGGTTTCTAGAGCGGAGAGTCGGGTGGTGTGGGATTTGCGAACGAGATCGGCTAGGCATGGTGAGGTCCTGGGTACGCGGATGACTCTGTAGGTGGCTGTAGTGTTGTTTGCAGCCATCTTTCAATCAGGATGAATGGATGGTATTGTTGAGGTTGAGATGTAGTCGGGCAGTGGGCTTTGAATGCTCCGAGAAGATTAGGCACCTATTGAGCGTGACACAGCAAGCCTATGGTGCAATTCGGAGCCAAGAGACATGCTGTTGTCGCGATAGAAGGGCGCTCTCTCCCGCAAGTTTAGCAAAAATCGAGTTTGTTGAGGTTGTCACCTGTCCCATCCGGAACTGGAAGGTGCGAACATGAGTCATTCCGTAGGGCATGGTGCTGAAATGTTGTAGCAATTCGCTAGACAAAAGCTGCAGTTTCGCAAGATAGTTCTAGTCATAGATTTGGGATTTGTACTATGATGTCAGCGGCTCACTTCTGAAGCCAAATGATGTGAACGGCCATTCGTAATTCTATCACACAAATATTGCTGCAATGATAACAACATCAGCTTTTAGATGCACAATGTTCATAATTAGTGGTGGGGGTTCCCGGCACGTCGACTCGGGCTGTCCGCCCAGGTCTGCGTGAACCCATCGTTGTCCCCATCATCGCTCTGATCGACGTCTCCCAAATCGATGCCTGTAATCTCTTCGTCATACGCATTCTCATCTGCATCCCCATCATGATTTCCAGCATACTTCTCAGGACTGAATATCGGACTTGTGGCGATGCGCGGGCGGCTCCTAAACACGCGGTCGTAGTCAACGTCACCAGAGAGCAGATCTTCTTTGGGTGTCTTTTCGCTGCTCTTCACTTCCTCGATAGCTTCGAAGGATTTGTGCGGTGTATCGAACTGGTTAACAGGGAATAGTGAAGATCTCGATTTACGCTTCTGTTTCCGGGTAGTTTCTTGTGACGCTGCGAGAGAGGTGCGAGGTCGACTCGACATAGCAGCCATGCTGAGGCGCGTTCGATCGAGTAGGGTCGTCATGTTGTCGAGCTCGGCATCGCTGCCTGCAGGGAGCACTGTTGGTGGTGCTACGGGAAGCGTGTCCGGAGACTCAGGTACTGGTTCGAAGGAGGGTGTTCGAGATAAGGTCATGCGGGTGCGTTCCACGAGTGACATTGACATGCGTGGCTGAGGCTTCTTGACCGGCGATGGGGTTGCGTTACCGATAGCATTGATAATCTGATCGGCAAGAGCCTCCTCTGGGTTCAGATTAGGGATGTCCAAAGTGGGTACTGAGCGTTGGAAAGCAGATGTCGGCGACTCGATTGGCGATGGCTCGGAGAATGGAGTTGGTTGGGAAGGCACCGGAGAGCCTTCTGAAGGTAGTGGAGATGATGACGCTGCGCGGACTGGAGGTGTAACTGCTGTTGGCGTAGGCTCCGACTCTGGCTCGGGCTGGAACCGCCGGCAAATAGGAGATCGGGTGGCTAGCGACTCAGGTGCAGCTATGCGTAGACCAGACAGTTGGCCAACAAGGGTAGTGTCTGAATGGATAGGTAGCGCTTTTGCCGATGGCTGTCGCTGAAGGTGCACGGTTGACTTACTAGCAGATAATCCTTCAAACAAAGCTTTCTGCTCTCGGACGAGAGTCTTTGGCTCACTGACCAAAGTCTTTGGTTCCGTGTGCCAAGCTGAACTCGGTGGCGCCTTTGCTATCGGTCTGGGGTTTGATGGTCTTCTAGTCCGGACTGGTGAGCGTGGAGCGCTGGATGATGATGTCCGTCGCCGCCGAAGGGACGTGAGCGCCGGTTGAGGCTTTGACTGCGAGACACGCGACAGCTCTGAGTCCATATCAGATAGAATGTCCAGATAGCTCGATCGCAAAGTTGGTCGCTGCACTGCGTGGCTCTCGATCTGCTGGGTCGAGGGCAGCTGGTGCTGGATGTGACTGTTGAATTCGAAGACCTTTGCAGGGGTCGGTGCCCTTTGACTCGCTGATGTGTCTTTTGCGTTGTCTCTGCGCAGCTCTTCGTGGAACGCCTTCCACTTTTGCAGTCGAGTCTGCTGTTCATGTACCCTCGATTGTAGGTCTTCCAGCAGTCCAGCTTCCGGGGCGGCGTCTTCCAGCTTTCTCCCTCGCTCGACCATGTGCCACACTTTGTCGAAAGGTTTGCTGAGAAATGCGTCTGCAGTCTGGATTTGATCGCCATGGAGCATGACCCCAAGCCACTTTTGATTGCCAATCCAGTTGTCTGCCAGCTGTCTCTTAACAGCATCTGCTTCTCTCTGTGGCACAGCCGGCGTCTTTGCCCTCGGCGTGTCCATGCATCTCCGTATCCGTTTGTTGACATCACTGGCCTTCGAGTCCAGTGTTGCCTCGAAGGCGGCGAACTTCCTCCTCTTCTCCTCCTTGCGGCGCAGCACGTTGACGAGCGCAGCCTTGTGCGCGATTGCAAGTGGTAGCAGAGAACGTTGCGCATCGATGGGGAGATTGGATGCTGTCGCCAGTTTTCGTGCGACCGCAGCGTTCCTATTCTTCCCATCCCTTGAAGCGAGCACCTTCTTCAGTACTGCAGCAGAGAACAGGGCCAGGACTTCGTAGAACCTCTCGCCTTTGCACTCGTCCAGCATTGTCTTTCGCAGTACGGACTCGCGGCCGAGCACGCCGTTCTTCTTCAAGTCGTTCAGACATCGGTACAGGGCGGCGCGGAGGTTCAGGGACTGGAGAGGCTCGAGCGGAGGAAAGAAAGGGCGCAGTTTCTGGGTAGTCTATCAGCAGCACGTCGTCTCGTGTGTCTTCAGACGCACCTGCGCGGCCTCACTGGCGTCCCAGATCTCGAAGAGACGGAAGAGAGCCCACTCGGTGCCGCCGATGCGCTGCTTCTGGTCTGCGTTCTTGGCTGAGAATGTTTGTACTGTGATGTTGGGCCAGTCGTCTCGCAAGTCAAAGTCGAGTAAGCGCAGATTTGTCACAAACAAGCGCACATCTGAGGCCGGAATTGGGTTCCCTGGTGACTTGGTGGTGGTGGTGGTGGTGGTGGTAGTGTTTGTTTTGACGCACAAGCTGCGCGCCTGGCCGAGGCGCGTTGAGACAGTGGCATTGGAAGCCTGGGAGATTGGGCGTGACATGGTCTCAGAGTGGAGGGCGACATATGCCCCGTCTCTTCTTCGTTAGCAGCTCCGGGCGGCTGCAATGCATCTGTATAGTTCCGTCGTGGTGGTGCAACAAGGACCCACTCCAGCCCAAACAGCAACCGCGGCACGGACCCCAAGCGGCCGGGCTGCCCGCAAGTTCCCTGTCGCGGTGCCTGCGACAAGCGTCCGGTTTCCTTCCATTGCCAAACACGCGCTTTCACGCCTCACGCCCGCCACACCTCACTTCTTCTCTTCCCCTACACTACACCCACCTCACCTGCACATTCGGTCCTTCACCGCCACCATGGCTGTCGACGAGAGCACGCAGACCAACGGCGTCGCCGAGCCCGGCGCGGGGCAAGGGAACGCACAAGACGTGAAGCAGAGCGGCTGGACGGTACAGACTGGTATGTCCTGAAGGAAACAGCGTCGTCCGTATGCGGCACCTCTCCTACTCCCTCTACTGCGCCTGCGCCCGCGCCTGCGCCACCCCTACTAACGCCTCGGCCAGTCCTCGCAGACATCGAACACGGCTACGCCGAATCCACCGACTCGCCCGTCCCCTTCTTCCACCTGCTCGAGCGCCTCAAGACCACCAAGCGCGCAGGCTGGCGCCGCTTCGGCATCGAGGACTGCGAGAGCATCTCCGACCACATGTACCGCATGAGCATCCTCACCATGATGGCCCCACAGTCGATTAGCTCGAAGCTGGATATCCTGAGGTGCTGCCGCATGGCCCTGATCCACGACATGGCCGAGTCGCTGGTCGGCGACATCACACCTGTGGACCCAGTCTCGAAAGAGGAGAAGAGCCGGCGCGAATCAGAGACCATGGATTACATCTGCACCAACCTGCTCGGCAAGTTCAACGGCGGCCTGAACGGCAAGGACGTCAGGCAGATCTGGCAGGAATACGAGGACAGCGAGACAGCGGAGAGCCTGTTCGTGCACGACATCGACAAGATGGAGTTGCTACTGCAGATGCTCGAGTACGAGCGGAGCCAGAAGTGCGAGACAGATCTGGGCGAGTTCACATGGGTCGCGCAGAAGATCAAGAGCCCGGAGATCAACACATGGGCCACGGCTGTGTTCCGCGAGAGACAAGCGCTGTGGAAGAAGGCAGGAAAGACATGCAGCTGGCGCGCTGACACAGAGCCCAAGGACGAGGCATCATAGGCCATCTTGGAGACTTGTTCACGACATTACGACACAGCATTGCGCGGAACGAGCGAGTTTGGCGTTTGGGCATAAGTAGACCTAGATTCCTCAGAGCAACGCGACTCACCACGAGCACAACCGCACACTACTCTGCCACTGCTGCCGGATCCTTCCTCCCCCCTCCTGTTTGCCTCATCACCTCCTCCATAATCCTCCCCGCAGCCCCAGCATCCACCATCTCCGTACTCTTCCTCACTTTCCATCCGCCACCCCCCTCACCCTCCCCAGCTTCACCCCCCTTTGCCCCCTCCTCCAACTCCAACCACCACACAACATCATTCTCGATCTTCTCCTCGGCGCCTTTGACCTGAATCCCATAACCCGCCCGCACCACCACACTCTCCCCAACCTCATCAACCACACACCCTTTAACCTCGACATCCCAGGACTCGAGATTCGGTATCATGCCCCCCAAATGCTCGATAAAGCTCTCAATCGTGAAACTCCCCTGCAGTTTCGGAGCCCGCGAGACCGAGTACGCCGGGCCGAAGCTGTGTGTGTAAGACGGCGTGGTGAGCTGCCGGAGGGACTCGAAGTCCATTTTCGACGGCAGGGAGGGGTTGTGGGATTGTGCGTTTATGAAGGAGAGGGCGGTGGTGCGGAGGGATGTGTATTTGGTGGCAGTGTGGCTGGAGGCGGCGGCGCAGCGGTCTTGGGGGGTGGTTTCGCTCATCGTGGGTGTGCGTTACGGAGTATACGCGTGGTGGTTACAGGCCGTTTGTTCGTTGCACAGTAGTATGTATGCTAGCTGCGGTCTTCTCTCACAGTGTCCGTCTTGCGACTTGTGGGGCTGGGCGAATCCATCTCTTCCGCGGCAACAGCCATCACCATCTTTATATCAGCTTGCCTCTGAATTATTCCCGTCGAATGTACCGCGGCCGCGTGGATGTTGGTGATGCACGGATCCCCACGGGTGCTGCGTCTGGGGTCGCCCGGCTGTGACAGGGGAGGAAGTTTGGGACCGAGAGGTTAGTGCCCGTTCTGCCCGCCCGCTGTCAGCTACCTAAACATGACGTGGTGAGTCCCTTGCGATAGCCGTTGGATAATGGGTAAGGTTCGAAAGGGTAGCGAAGGGGCTGGAGTTTGCGATCCTTTGTGTGCTTTTTGCACAGGCTGGTTGTTGAGGGTAATAGCTACTCAACGCAAGTTGGGTAGTGATCTGACAGCGACCTCCTATGTCTTCTACGCATTACCCGGAGACTCGTTGTGAGGACGTATTGATTAGAAATTTGAAATCATGTAAGTTAACTAGGTAGGAGGAGGTGCAAGCGAGGCACAGGCTGATCAATGTTCGCAGGCGCACTTGCTCGTATTGGCGCCTTGCGAAGGCCTGAAAGCTGGATAGCATTTTGGAAGAACAGTCACAATGCGTCTTCGAGACATAACTGTCGTATCCCCAGCAGGAGCAGTCCTAGAGAGAAATGCAGTATGCGATCTCGGTCTCTGTCCGATTCCTCGTCCAGAGCTTAGAACAGAAACTCACACAGTCGCCAGCCCACGATGAAAGGAAGAAAGAAAGGACGATGCAGGAAATGGCGTGAAAGGTAGCTCACGGAGTATCGTCCAGCCCAAGCCCACCGTTGACCGCGGAGTCGTCCCCGTGCTGCTTGATATGCGAACGCCGGTAGAGGCATAGTTGAGGCTCTCGCAGCCGTGCTGCCCGTCCGTGCAACATCGTCACCGCTACATCCTGAGTCGTTTCTGCTTCATGCGCATGTCTTACCCACCAAGTCAGTTTGCTGAGATCGCAAGCTAAGTTCTGTGCAACGTAGCATCGACCGTCCAGCTGGGACGAAATCTCTCCGATGCAAAGTCGTTTTTCAAGCACACTGCGCAGTGACATGATCCGACACAACGGGCGGTGAAGCATGCGTCATTCGGCCCGCACCGAAGCCTTCTTTCTAGGACAGCACTCCAGTTGGTCTGAGAGCAGCGACCGTATGTCGTGCAGTCCTGATCTGCTCTCGTGATCTTGCCATGTCGCTGTCCAACTCAGGTCAGTCCTATGCATTGACTTTAGCTTGATGGTGTGTTGCCATCAAACTATAGAGCCTGTTTACGGCGCAAACCTGGTGTTCTGGCCAGCTCTTGGCTTCGCTGTCTCGATCTGATCCCCGGTTTTCAGTCTCGGTTCTGCAGGCGTGCGGTGCGTAGCGACCCCAGCGGGTCAAGGTCTGAACGAGGTCACTGCGCAGGCACGCGGTCGGTTCGTGATAACAAGCAGTATGCTGGCAATGTCGGTTGAGCTCTAGTCGTGGATGAGTCGCATTTCCTGCGTTGTTTCTTGTATAAACATTGTCTCGTTGGCAAAGCCATACATCATGTGTTGCCTGCGACTGCAAATTGATTTGGTCAAATTCTGATTTGAAAGCCAGTCTCAAGCTCCACTGGGATCCCTTTAGCGTACGCTCAGACATAACATATGGCGGTGTGGCACCACATTCCAACGCTTCTGACTGCCCAAACATGCGACCGTTGCAATAATGGATTTGTTGTCGGCCTCTATCGTGTTACTCTCTCGATTCTGCGATGGCCTTGTGGCTGCGGACCGAATTTATCATCGATACGGAAATGGCAGGTGACTGATGATGTGGAACTGGACACGCACACAAGCGACCTGATTGCATGAACTGCTGCTGCCCGAGCCGGAATCTGGACCCATGCTATCCGAATGCGACAGGCGCAGAAGACTCTTCGGTTCTGTGGAAACTTGATTTCGTTCTGCTATCCACGAATACCTTTTCGCTGCAATTCTTTCCACAAGCCGGCTTTTGGTCCATCTGGTGCATAGCATTATGGGAACGTACGTATAGGCAATGTGTAGAAACTCTTGTCGATTCTGGACCTTGCAAGGCAGTGACTTTGAGGGTGACGAGTCGTGCAGGAGGTGAGCGAGCAGCCAGGAATGATTGTAAGTAAGTCGGCGTCTCTCCCGTCTTGCTTCAACATTCTTTTTGAATACTCTACCCGAGCGACAGTTGACAAGACCAAGCTCATTCTCGCAAAGCCGAGGGATCGCTCAGCCACTGCAAAGTACTCGTCCCGTAGCTCTCTGCACGTTTTACGTCTCTTGGTCGAACTGAGAATACCCAATACGAGCTTCTCGATCGAATCCGAAATCTCGGTTGTGTACCATAGTGTCGAGCGACTCTCGGATAGTGGTAGTGTTGAGATCTGGTGCGGTGCGAGCTGGGAAGAGCCCCTAGCGATACTATGAGTTGTCGGCCGCTTCTATCGAGGCGAGGCTGTGATGTGTACAAATGTTTGTGCGGTGTGCATCTCTGGCAGTTGAGGCAGGGCATAAGCGAAGCAGGACGTTGTTCAACGTCAGGTGTAGCCGGCGTGTGTTCGACGGCCTCGTACGTCAGATGGAGTATGATCTGAAGCCGTTGATAAGTCGGATGCGCGTCGTGGGGGCCTGTGATCTGGCATCAAGTGGATATCGCAGTCGAGACAGGCTGATGGTATGTCTCTACTTCATCGTATAAGACTCGGAAAGGTATCCGAGTAGGCTCGAAATTGCATGACGGTGACTACTATGTGGTAGAAGTGATGTTAGCTGTCTGGAGGCTCTGCGTCACGTCGTCAGTGTAGTAGAATCGGCCGGGTCCAAAAGTGTGTGTGTGTGTTGTGGGCCGCGGTCTACTGCACCAAGATAGCATCGCATGTATATGTCGATGTATCATGCCATAACACGATCATGTTGCCAGTCTTGTCGTGGCCGTGTCGTAGGACAGGATCTTGAAGTACATGAACTGTGGCCTCCTAGTGCAGAGAGTGCCGAACTGGCTCGGTAAATCCTCGTAAGTGACTGAAGCCTGGCAACGCTTGCGCCTCACCGCATGTACATACCGCCAATCTATTATAAGTTAGCAATATTAGGTAGCAATGCAGCGCAGTACCTTGTCGTGACTGATTCATCTGCCTTGAAACTGATGCAAAAACAGTCATGGTGAGCCTGCGCACTAAACCAAAGGATGAATGAGCCCCATAGCGCACAATATGCGGCTCGTTGCATCCGGAGCCCGGACGAGATCAACGTATGAGGTATGTATTCGATGGTCAAGTTGACTACTTTTGCTTTCAAACCGCCAACCCGTCGTTTATGAGCTCAAAGTTCGTTCTCAAAACCCCCCTGACGGCTGGCTTCTTGTACCAAATGAACAACTTACACCCAAACTGCAGGGGCATAGCCGTACGCAGAAACTCTCGCTACCGTACAGAGCAAGCCAGTGTTCCGACGACGAATTGATGAATTGACAGACTTCCAACCGTAACGATCTACAAAATGCATCTGTCTGTCGGATACCAGTCACGGACCGAGCTTTTCAATTTGCTTGTTGATGGTAATTGTCGCATATCAGGTCGGAAAAGGTCTGTTGCATGTTTCTGTTCTTTCTCTCTATCGTTTTCTAGGCCTTTCGAAGCAAAGCTCTTCGTCATCTGTAACAGTTTGACAGAGAAGTGTGTAGTGCGATGCGGAAGTGAGTTGCAACAGTCGCTCGCAGCGCTCTCGACTCTTGCAATCCAGCCAGGATGCGACCAGTTTCGGGTGAAATGTTCCCAAAGTAATCATCCTTCATGCGCATTCGATCCACACTACAGTCACGCGCCTGCCGGCCTCGGACTCATAACGCACCGTAGGGCAGTCTGCCCACTCTCTTCACCAAAATCAGGTGGACCATGTCGACGAAGAGTCCCTAGTGGAGCGAAGTGGGCTTCGAAAGAGCAGACACTGCGACCCAACATCCTCTTGAGGACTTCGGCCTTCACGTACATAGATACCCATGTTACTGCAAAAGGTGTTAAACATCGTATCATTTTGGCTCGTGGCATTAATAGATCGTTCGTCCGCGGCAGGCAACGACTGATCTCAACGATTCTATTGGAAACAGCAGAACGTCCCGCTGTACTGCCGAGCGGCAAGCATCCCGCGTGGAGCATTCTAGTTCAAGACGTACTCAGACAGGCAAAACCATACTCAGCCGCGAGATATTCTGAGTAGCCCTATCGTAACTTTAAGAAGTATCATGGCTCAGAATAGTTGGTCAATCTCATTGTGTCGTTCTCGCCTCTTCGTAATGTCTGGCGTCAGGGCTGCTGATGGTGCAGGTCCACTTCGGTAACGTAACAGATTTTACCAGGACTGTTCACCATGACAGCTCGATACTGTTGAATGCCTTTGTCATTTCCGTCTGTCACCACTGGGGAACGATGATGCAGTGACCTTGGAGTGACCCTTGTCAAATCCGCACCTAGAGAGCTCCGCCATAACCCACAGGGGATGACTTGCAGTGGATTTACCCCTCATCGAGGCGCCAGGGAGGGTTGTGTGGGCTGTTGTCGAGTATGATTGGAAGTGTGAATCAGGAGTGGAGTAATAGCCACGACATTCCAGTTGGCATCCGATCCCGCGGGTCAGTCTGAAGGTATGCATTCTCCTGTAACTTGAGGTTGGACTGAACGATCAGTCGCAGAATCTCAATTGAGAGCCCTGGATACTGATTCGTGACTGACGAGTGCTGGCCAGACTCGATGCTTCACCCCGGGGCAGGGCTGCCAATCCGCTCACATAGCGCCACTGCATCAACAGCTGCAGTTGAGGTGCATGGAAGCTTTCCTTGTGTATGCCATCCTGGCCTAGAAGGTAGTAGCACCATATTCGAGGCGTTTGGAGCGCGGCCGGTGAATTGACGGAGGAGGAAGATAGCCCCGAGTGGGTAATGACGCGATAACGCAGTCAAATCGTGCAGTTGGAGGATACAGTGTGTTTGCAGGGACAAGAAGCAGATGTTTGAATGAGATCATGAGATGTTGTCGTGAGGAAAGATGCTTTGGTTCCATGGTACACCAACGTGCTAGCGTAGGTCAGGGTCTAGGTAGCGTTGTATACTTTCCTGTTGTGGAAGTGGCAGCCTTGCTTCCTGTCTTCAACTCGAGCTCCCTTCACGGTCGGTACTTGAAACAAAGTAACGCCTGTCGTTTTTCCTAAAACCAGTGACTCCCCTATTCATGCCTGACTCCAGCGCAATGACATCGTATCCGTGAAAGACAATGAAAGACAGTATCGAAGCAAAGAGCCCTTAATCAGCGCCGTCAAAGCCTTCCAGTCTCTCCAGATCCCAATTACTTCTCATAAGACTTGGCCTAAACACCAACTCTGAAGTACTTAATGATAAGTCAGGATTCAAGCCGCAAGTGCACGTCCATACTGGCTTGCTGGCGGAGGCTGCGAGTTCTGATCGGTACATCCGGTGAGATTGCGCAACGCGATCTCAGCAGCGTCTTCTTTCGCCTGTTCCATGCGGGCCCCGTCGTACCAGAAGCGAGCTGGATACTGGGTGTTGTTGATTACAGCGATGGTAGACCAAGCTGTACGGCCGCCTATTCGTACGTTAGTGATGGATTGCATTGAGGGCAGGAGATAAGGTACCTCGACGATCCGAAATATCTTGATACACAATTTCTCCAAGCCCTCTGGCCTGGCAATGCTCTGTAGAGTTGGGTCAGTAAGTCACTATGCCGTGAAAAGGAGGTCAGGTTACCTCTAAGCCGGTAGGTCCAGGGCTTGACTTGCGCCATTTCGAAAGAGTTGCCGAAAAGTTTGAGCTGAAGAAAGTTGAGCAAGCGGTGACAGGAGCGGAAGCTAAAAGGAGTTGTTGAGAAGTGCAGTGATTAATGGTCTGATGTCGAAGCCACCGAGCTTTATGTCGAATGTGTGTTGAACAAAGATGACTTGTCACGAAGGAGAGCTGGACGGTGACGAACAGATGCGAATACCCGTAAAGTAAGTCATGCTCCCTCTAACTGAATGTCAGATAGGATGCAACAAGATGTGGGAAGCCGCGCCCGACTGTGAGGTTCCGACGCTCCAATTATGTTTTTTGCATCAGACCCGATACTCTGGCACCAAAGTTGGGCCATTTTGTTCTAAGCGGGCCGAGAATAGGCCTCACGGCAAAGACACGGATTGTTTGACCCTACCGTGTGAGGGGCCTACCATAACGAGACATTGATGGTAGTTAGGGTGGCTGAACTGTTGCAAAGACCTCCATACGCAACGTGATGTGCTGTATGGGTTTGATGGCTGTGCATGGCTGAACCGAAGAATTGAAGGCTGAAAGTTGCACCCAAGAAACGTTTTCGTACCCACCTGCTGCAAGACATCATCTAGTGTCAAGCGAGCCAGCTCACCGTGCGCTTCAAGCGTACATTGTAACCTTGCCTGGGCCCTAGGCAAGATTCGCAGCTGTGATATCATTAGCAGAAGACGCGAAAACATTCAAGAGCCTTGTTCTCATTCCTTGCTACAAATCGTGAGGCGGTGGGGAGGGCGTCAGCACAAAGAAGGGCAACCGAGCCCGATGTTTGCTAGCGAATTAGTGCGCACTGTCATAGTGGAGTCCCTCGTTTGCAGTGCTGTCTTGGCATGCATTTCCTGAAGTGGCGGTATCGCAGTCACATGGCCAGAAACAAATGCACGGGTGCCTACCGTTGTACCACATGCGCTACAAAGACCCTGCCAAATGACAGCAAAACGATTGTGAAGCAATTGTAGGGCTGCCAGCGGAAACCGGACGGGCTCGTATACTTACCCCATGCGGCCTGTGGGCCTCAAACGAAGTGTTTAACCAAATAAGAGTGTGATCGAGTTCATTGATCGAGTATATAACTCTGGTCGTTATTCGTACCAATAGTGGGAATCATGACATATGCTGGATCCAAGCACCAAACGGTGAAAGCTGATGTACCGAATGTTGTGACGTTCCAAGCTTCCAAGGGGAAGACAACTCGGTCCAATGAAGCAAACATTGTGAGACCATCATGCATGATGGAGCCTCAAAACTCCGGCCAAATGCATGAGACCAAGCTCATATGTGCTACTAACGACACGAGGGTAGCGGCAAGCTGTATCCCCACAAGCCTAACAGAACAGGTCTGACAGCGGAAGGAAAATCATGTACGAGACAAAGCTGCAGTTTACCGAGCAAGCGGGTCTCCCGCCAGCGGGGCAGGCCCCGATAATCAAACATTATTCCCAGCGGGGAAATGCTAAGCTTGTACTGAGGTACGTCGTAACGCTGACGGTTGTTTGCTTGGACTCCCGCCGCGCGTGTTTCGACTGAACATCTCATCGATAAGCCGTTTGGGACCAATGTATTCCATGTTCATCTTCAGTGAAGCGCTCCGGATGAGCGGGATGTGTAGCTGCGCATTCTGTTTGGAAGAAAACCGGCGCTTGATGCAGTCATCTACAAGGGCCATAAGGCCAGTAGCAACGACAACACTGGAATCAAAGTCAGTTGTAAACTCGGCTGATTTGCCGTGCTTCACTTACTCTGCAATGTCCGAATCGGCGTGCAAGATCTTGTCATCGGTGATGCGTAGATAGCTAGGGGGAATCCATCCTCCACGTGCTGCCTCCTCTCGCGCCTCAGTCTGCGTCAATTGAACGGGGCAAATGTGGGCCAGGGGCTCCTTGTCGTTGTCGTCACGGACGAGGTAGTAGGACACTGTCTCTTGGTCACATTGCTTCTTGACTATGCGTTTCCATGAGTAGTCATGACCCCAATGTTCGAAGGCATACTTCTTGTGCGACTTGGCGCCTCTTCTCTTGACCTCGAGGTGTGCGTAGTTAGAGAACTCCAATTTGAGAGTGTTGGTAGGCAACAGCGCACGGCCCTTGAAATAACCTGCACTCTTGGGACGTGGCTCTTCTTCCTCCTCATCTTCCTCTTCCACGTAACCCCGCACCGACTCGTACCCAGAGTCCGAGCGCTTCAAGCCAGCCGCAGTTAAGGGGCGGGATTCAGATTTGTGGACTAGACTGGCGAGAGCTGTACTTGCACGCTGCAACACCGGCCGTTTCTCTTGTGGCGGCTTCTGGTACTTTCGTATCGAGTGGCAGACCTCTCGTCCAGATTCTCGACAATATCGGCGTAAAGAGAAGTCACGAGTCCGCAAATCTTGCATGCGCAGATGGTATAGAGTGTAGTTCCGCTTCTTGTGGTGTCGTTCCTCCACCTGCGTGTCAACTCTCAAGTTCATGTTCCCATCTATTGTTGTGTCGTCGTGTCGTATTGATATGCGCTTGGTAGTAGGGAACAGTTCAGCGAAGTCGCGGGGTGTCGTGGGTATGGCGTCGGTTGGCAGTGGTTCGTGATGGTATTGTGGTACGTCGTACTCTTGCATGTCATCTGGGTCGTTGTCGAGGTCTTCATCTGAGGTAGAGGCGTATGTGTCAACAGAACTGCGTGTTGGCTGCGAGTACTTGTTGCGATCATCTTTGCTTGCAAAATAATCTCGTCGGTTTTCTACTCGCGCGTAGCACGTCTCGCTATGCGGGAGAGACGGCCGTCTGTTGCTGTACTCAGTTGGTGCGGTTTCATACGAATGTTCGCTGTCTGCACTGCGGCCAGAGTGCGTGCTATTGCTTGACTGATGTTGGCGCCAATGTACGTTCCGCGACATAATTGCTGGTGTGGGTATCCGCGAATAATAGAATGAATCGAAAGACTCCTTGTTAATGCAAGATGTGATGCTTATCGAGCATGCGCAGCCATGTATCGCACAGCGTATGTATATGTGGGACTGCCTAGAACAAAGCAGGCGCAGCTATCAGAGACAGCGCGCGGAAAGGTGACCTGGCACAAAGCGGATGCAGGGGCCGGATGGGATTAATAGGAATCCCAGGCTTTGCGTAGGCATGCAGCGAAAATAAAGGCGCAGCAATACGGCGTGGGATGTTGTCGCGGTCGCCTGGAGGGACTTGCTGAAGGGTCGTTGCGGGCGATCCTTCTTCTAGCATCTCGATGGCTGCCAGCGAAGATGCCTGCACCTTAACGCAATCACTGCAACCACCATCTCCTTGGCCTGCACGACGATGCACACTGCGGCGAATCCGAGACGCAGAAGGACGCCGTCGTGTGAAGGCCAGACCCGCTGACTTGCCCCGATTTACCAGCCTCCCTTGCGCCTAACGAATCATTCACAGCCTACCAGCCGCCAGATTCATCAGCTTGTCACCTCGCGCAACGCTCAGCACACCGTTTTGCAACCTGTGGAAGCAGCACATCTGGGGCTGCAGAGCGTACACAGTGCAGTAGCTGTGCGGCTGCAATAAGTGCTCACTCAGCGACGTACAGCGAGCGGTGCTCTGCGACATCGACTGCTTCAACGGACATCGACACCGCTCTATCCGCCAGGCTCCCCAGTCATCATCCGGTACGAACTGCACAAGGCGGGACGCCAAACAGCGGGACGACGCTCCCATGGCTGATCAGTCCCACGTGCCCGCGGTCCCTTTTCGTTTTCGACGGGCTATCCCGGTAGTCAGCAGACGATGAGCAGACCGTCGTAAACTTCGTGGAGCGACATTCCAAGCGCAACACTTCACTGTGACGACATGTGTTGGTGGCGATCCCCCTCTCTGCGATAATCGGAATTATGCAGCAGCCTCCATTGAGCGGCAGGACTGTCGTGGCTGCCTTTCTAACGCTGGGCCAGAAGCGGACATCTATCCTTTTACAGCGCCGTCATCCTCGCAACGACTGGACGGAAAACCAACAGTTCGTAATCTGGTGACACCAGCGTCTGATGTTCACCAATTCGATCACAAACAGTCAAGATCTCTGGAATATCGGAGGCGCCCGCTTAAGACCACAGGCATGCACGTGACCAGTTACAACATCGAACTCCAACGATGGCAACTCCACTATTCCAACAGCTCGGTACTGCGAGTCATTCGAACGTGTTTCCCCTGACGCTCAATCTGAACTCGATTGTGATCCACATCCCCAGGAACTGCCTCATTGTGCATGTTGTTGGGCCAATCAAGGGCAGGTACGTGTTGTCCCAAATGGACACCAGCCACGACAACATCAACGTGCAGCCTCAGACTTCGATTCTTAAACCAACAGACTAACAGAAGCGCTCGGGTGGGAACACGTTCACCCAGCGCTATGGATACAGTTCAGTTCGAAGCTCCAACTTCGCCATCCAATATGCCTTATCCTCCCCCGCGGAATCTCTGCCTCTTCCCCGCCTCATCTTTACCTCTTCGAACCGTCCAGAGCGTGGATCAAGAGCTGCGGATGCACAAGAGTGCATAGAAGTGTGTACTCCGCGAAGTTGTCGAACGCCTCACACGATGGCACCTTGCAGGCAGGCACTGATTGATCGATGTCCACCAAACACTGCTGGACGATTAGACACTGCATTCGATTCGACCACTTGGATGTGTACCCGTTACTCAATTCGAATCATTCATCTTACCCCGCGCTTGCTCGCCTCGCACGCTTATGCTGTGCAGATGCCCAAGGCTAACCTTCATAGGTCCTGCGAGATTGTGTGTTGAGCGATTATCCCTTTACGCACTACAAGGTAAGCTGTATGCACCGATGAATGCCCTGAGGCGCATAAGAAGTGGAGTGCAGAGAAGTCGCCCTCATCCAACGGTCCCACGCCTTGCGTCACAGTTGACTATCTTACACGGCGGTTGTAGACATACGAGGCTCAAGCGGGTAGGCAACATGTGCCTCCACTCATTACACAACATAATGAAAGGGCTCGGACGAAACGACCGACGGCGCTCAGACTCCCAGGTCTCAGGGAGTGGTGCGTGAGGTGAGCTGGCAAATATCTATAGCTATCCCCAGAAGGAAGGAGTGTCGCGAAGGTGGCGGCGGCCTCGTTCCTCAAGTACACACTGCCACTATAAGCTTTGCCACCACGTACAAATCAGATTGACTTGGGTAAGCTGTCAGGCGGGTTCGTCGAACATGTCGTCAGTCGCGCTCCGCTTCAGTTACAACCTATAATAGTTTATGCACTCATCTGAGGGCTTTTCGTAGGCTATACAGCTCGCTATAGACTTTTTCAAGAACACAATCCCTTCATTTGATCATCAATACTATGTTCGCACGCCACCAAATCGTTGATTAAGCAATTAACTCACTGCCATGGTAGAGTCGACTGCTAAAACTTGCCTGACATACTTCCAGACATACCAATAGTATATCTTTGAAGTTGCAGATTTGTTTGCGTCGTGCTGTGTTGTGCTGCTTCGCACAAATAGTAGGGTTTGGCGCAGCTTCACAGTAAAACCGAGCTCCTTTGTGCACCCGTGATCAATCCTTCTGACCCCTGGCCTCACTTGCAGGACAATCAGCCGTACAACGATCAACCTTTTATGGATGGTCATCGCTGGTGTGGAGACAAAGCCCTGTGAGGCTCGGTCCTATGCCAGTCACTGACTCGAGACTTTAGGCCTAGTACATCCACTGAACGGGCGATCATACTATGTTTCCCTACCTTCAAGAGCACCTTCGATCTACAACAGGAAGACAACGACGAGCCAAATTTGGATATGAAGACGACCTGTCCGGTAGTCTGAGGAGCAAGCACATGTGAGGAAGGCAAATCGTTATGCAGACAGCGGCGATTTGAACTGTGCTAGCGGGCATATCAGCAACGGGAGTAATCACTTATGAGCTGCTAGCCGTCAACACATACTTCAGTGTAGATGAACACCCAGGAATGCTGGACAATTGTCGTCGAAGGTGTCACGATACGAAATAGAAGAGGGAAGACAGCATTTGGCGAAGTCATCAGTATCATTGTCTCGTTATGTAGACACAATGGCTTTACTCCGTCCCAGCCACTATTGTGTATCCTTGGGTCGTTCTGGCACCGAAGCCATACTGGGTCCCGCTCACTTTTGTGTTCCGAAACTTTTCAATCCATTGTCCGAATGCTTTTGTCCGCCTCGCGTCCGTGCAAGCATCTAAGCAAGCTGACCGCAGTCGGCGATGACGATCTTGGCCTTGGTGGCACCGCTGGAGGAACCGTAGGACTCGACCTTCTTGACGACGTCAAGGCCGTCGACAACGGAGCCGAAGACGACGTGCTTGCCGTCCAACCACGAGGTCTTCTCGGTGCAGATGAAGAACTGGGAGCCGTTGCTAAACAGATGTCAGCGGTTGCCAATGGCAGTGGACGTGGTGTTATTTACGTGTTGGGGCCAGCGTTGGCCATAGAGAGGATACCGGGGCCGGTGTGCTTCAGGGTGAAGTTCTCGTCCCTGAACTTCTCGCCGTAAATTGACTCACCACCGGTACCCTGTCTTCTGTTAGCTTAATGCTCGAGTACCTTGCACAAGGCACTGGGGTACTCACGTTGCCAGCAGTGAAGTCACCACCCTGGAGCATGAACTGGGGGATGACGCGGTGGAAGGAAGCGCCCTTGAAGTGGAGAGGCTTGCCGCTGCGGCCGGTACCCTTCTCACCAGTGCAGAGAGCACGGAAGTTCTCAGCGGTCTAAGCATTGGTCTGTTAGCTGTCGTCCACGGCTAATTGCCAACTTTTCCTGATGGCGGGGTAATGAAAGGCAGCAAAAACTTACGTTAGGGACGACATCACCACGGAGCTCCATGACGATGCGACCGAGGGGCTGACCGCCAGCGGTGACATCGAAGAAAACCTGGGACTTAGACATTGTGATGTGTGGTGTGTCGTTGAAGTGTTGTTGGTTGGTGAGAGAAGGATGGAGGGGCAAACAAAGCTCAATGAAGGCGGGGTTTTATACCCTGGCGTTTGCTGATGCACGAAACAGAGGCAAGAGCTTCACCCATGTGGAGAACGTGTGCATCATTGGTCCCGATTTTTCTCGAAGCTCTGCTAGAAGGAGCTATGCGTTATTGGTCACTACTTGGAGGGGCATGGAGGGGTAGTTGCGTCGTCCGGGTAACTCTCCCACGCGCAAGACTTGACACCTCCCGTCATTATGCTATAGTTTCTTGGTAATCTAGTGAGCCCAGGAGCTGTTGAGCTTCACTACGAATTTGACACGACTTGTACATTGCGATCAAGCTCAATTGACAGAGTGAGAGAGAACCCCAGTGACGCGCCATGCTAGCAGAAAGGGGTATAGCGCCATGACACGTTCTCGGCGCACCTTCAGCTTCACTCTGTGCAACCTCCAAACGCCCATCACCATCAGCGATCGCCATTAACTACCATCTTAGTCACTCTTACACCGCTCACGATGTTCCTTGAAATGAATCAAGGAGCCAGTTCTTTGTTTGCAATGTTAAAATGCCAAGAGCTTCGATTCCCACACCTTCTGGGCAGCAACGCGGTAGCACGACCAGATGGTATATATAACTGCCACTATCAATGATCGATAACACATCGATAGAAATTATAAAGACAAAAGCCACACCTATAGTAAACGCCATGCATCTCATTAGACGGACTTAGCATCGCTGTCCGGATCGACAAAAGAAAGTCTTCCCGTACTCAGACCAGCACCTCCTTCGCCTCTGCGGCTCTGAGGAACGCCGCTCGCTCAGCCGCATCCTTCGCCTCGGCGTCCTTCCACTGTTGGGCGATCTCGGCCTTCCTTGCCTCGCTTCTGGGCTCGAAAGCCATCTCGAAGGCGTCAGGCTTGATGATAAGCAGCGAGTTGGACTTGTCTAGTGGCACTTCGATCTCCTTCTTGGAGATAGGGTCAACCTTCCTCTTCAAGTTGAAAGCCCACATTAGACCACCGCAGCCAGTGATGGTTTCGTCGCGGGTGATAGACATGCCGAGACATTGACGCTGTCCCCAACCGAACGATGACATACCAGTGATCATGGGGAATTTGGTGAGCGGTCCCTGGAACGTTGGCCACCCAGGTTCAAGCCACCTCTCAGGTCGGTAAGACTCTGGGTCAGGGTATTTGACAGGGTTGCGAAGGAAGGCATAGTCGAGAGGCAAGATGCGTGTGCCCTTGGGGATGAAGTATCCACCGTACCAGTCATCAGCTTCACACTCATGGGCAACACCTGCGACATCTGTCAGTTCGAAACAGTTACCAATGACCAATAGGACTTACCGGTCGGGACAGTGGGCTTCCACCGCATCGTCTCCTTGATACACGCACGTAGGATGGGGAGGGTGGGCATATCGGCAACTGTTGGAGGACCGTTCTTGCAGACGGCATCGATCTCCTCCTGGCACTTGCGCTGCCACTCTGGGTGATGAACCATGGCGATCAAGAAGTAGTAGATGGGTCCAGTAACCGTGAAAATTCCGACGAGAGCCATCATACCAAGCACGCAAGATGCTTCGTAATCGCCAGAGATGCTAGTTTTCTCAGCAGTCTCGAGATATGTCTTGGTGAAGCAGGGTCGCTGCTTTCCCTTTTCCATCTTGTTTCGGGTGTCAACCAGGCATTTCATGAAGAACTCCTGCTGTTCATCGTGGCGTTTACGCTCACGAAGCTTCCAGGGGTTGATGGGCTCTGGAACCCAGTCCCAGAGAGGCGTCAAGACATTGGTAATCGGACCAGCCGGCGACATCTGTGTGAGGAGACCCCAAGCGCTCGGTGTCAAGGGAAGACTGACGGTGTGGTCGTCCCAAGTCAAGGTGGCCATAACCTTGGAGCACATGTCCTCCAGTGAGAACGAGAAGTCGTCTGGGTTCTCCACAAGTCGTTGCAGCCACCTCTTCTGTTCGAATTCCATGATGCCGTAATACCTAGCGTTTGTCGATTCGGTAAGGTAAGAGTGGGTGAACTTGCGCTGACGAGCCCAGTACTCTATCAGAACGTTAGCCAAGAGCGATGTCTGGTAGGAGCGCCGACTTACGGTTCTTGCCCATGAGGGGCAGGTACTCCATGGATCCATAGGTACTCTTTGCGTCGAACAGAGACTTGATCTCAGGTCGATCGGAGTAAACCTTTGCGCGCTTTACTAAGATATCCTCGGCGATGCTCTCATCAGAGATGACAACGAAGTTTGCTCCCAGCATCTTCGTCCGATATATCGGTCCATACATGTCAGCCCATTCCTTAAACTTGAGCCACATGAAGTCGATGGGGAGATCGTGAATGCGTCCGACCCATGGTATCAGTGCTGGCCCGGGGAGTCCACGACAGTTGTACTTGGCATTGTATTTCGAGACGACATCGATGAGAGCGTATACGAGAAAGCCAACGACGGCAACGCCAACGGCGTATGCTGTTAATGGATGCATCCTTCTGGGGTTGAATATCAAGGCCAGAGAGTGTCAAAGGTACGGCAACGGTTGTACTGGGCCACAAAGGCGGACAAGCAGCTAGATATCACACCCGAATGCTTTAATAAGCAAGCATCTTGTCCGGGTCCCCAGGTACTGGAACCGTCAGATTCTGACAGGGCTGCATGGCGCAGTGACACCTAGCACGCCGCTACTTGGCTCTTTTGTGGCTTTAAGGTCAGACTGATTGCCCAAACAATGTAGGTTCAGGGGTGCGGATTGCCAGCCGCCAATGAAAGCATTAGGAAAATAATCGACTCCTTGATAGCTGCCACGGTTTCCAAGAGATCGAGGCAAATTGATGCCAACATCGATCAACAACACGCGCCGACTGGCCGACTTGGACAGCTGAAGTCGGGATTACCGGCGCCGACCATGACATGTTCATATCGTCAAGACATGTTTCAGTGTATTGTAACGCAAGGCCGAGCGCGCATGCTGATCGTCATCATATAACGCAGACTGAGCCACCAATTGCCGCCTCCTGTTCCTGAGATTGCGAACTTGTCGACCTCGCCAAATCTTTGGTAGGCTAGAATAACCGATTATTGTCCAGATCAACCATATCATCATGGTCCACATGAAGGCTTGAAGCGTTACTGACAGATACCAAGCTTTAGAGCGGCAGTTGCACAACGATCGTCCCGTCACTATCTGGGGCTATGACCATGATGACCTCAGCAAGCTCAGCAAGCTCACAATGTATCATGAATAGCAACCCGTTTTCGATCACTCTCAGCACTGCGTCTTGAACACGGTTTCCGCCAGTCGGCTCTCTGCGCGAAGCATATTTCCAAGGACGGCATCTGAGTTCAGTTGCTCATCAAGACACACCATTCTGTAAACCTTGATTATTAGGCTCTTGCGTGTAAGCGTCATCAGGGAACTGGATTACAAGCGTGTGTTACGCGCGACTACACGCGACTACACGCCCCAGATGGAAGAGCCCACACACGTGGGTGGGGAAACGATCTGTCATACGGTTGCACCAGATGAGAGCTTGCCCAGACTATTTTCTGATGACTGTTTGTTGCAACGAACAAAACAGCCTCAATCCAAGGTGTAAGTTTAGCGTACCGTTGTGCAGTCTTGGCCTCTCGGACTTGGGTGTGGGGAACCATAGCGTGAGCACTGACCCCTGTCAGCCTGATGAACTAACTCGACGAAGACCATCCCTGTCAACGACATCATGGATCTTTGCGTGCCTGGACATCTCCGCCAAGTATGCCTATCATCGGCGGATTTTCTGGGCACGTTGTTCCGCGAGCGAAAATAAACATCGCCATCGCAACCCGGCTAGTCGGAAGTCCGATGGCTTCGGCAACCCACGCTGGGGTCCCCAAAGCCGAGTAGTGCTCGCGCGACCCTTAAGATGGATACAAAAGACTCTGAGGCTGGTGGTGTCTGTTTGACTTCACGTCGTCACGTTACGCATCAGAAGAGCCAAAACTGCGAACATGCCTCACGCACTTACGTCTCGCGACTCCAACATGGAGGCTAAGCCTCTGGGGTCCTACGAGAAGACTGGAATCGATGTCTTGATCGTAGGTACTGGTCTGGCCGGTCTCGTTGCCGCGCTCGAATGCACACGCAAAGGACACAATGTTCGCGTCCTGGAGAGGAATGCAGACATCAACACAGCTGGTGAGCACTACGAAGACTCTACGTGACGACCAAAGCTTATCTTATACTCAGGTGACATGTACTTCATGGGTCTCAGCGCAACACGCTTCCTGAAGCATTGGCCAGAACTCCTCGAGGAGTACAAGAGAATTTCGCTCCACAATGCCTGGATTGAGACCTTCAAGCACTCCGGCGAGGTTGTCATTCCTCCCAAGAAGGTCGCCGACCGTTTGCGAGCGCAGGGGCTGGATCCCGACACACCACCTGGCGAGTTTCAGATGCGCCCACTCGTCTACCGTATGTTCGTCACCGCAGTAGAGAAGCTCGGTGTCTCAGTCGAGTTCAACCGCAAGATCGTAGACTACTTTGAGGACGAGTCGACTGGCAAGGGTGGATGCACAACAGATGATGGAAAGAAATACGAGGCTGACATTGTCATCGCGGCCGATGGTGTAGGATCCAAGAGTCAGAAGTTAGTTGGTGGTCAAGTTCGCGCCCAGCCGTCTGGACGTGCTATGTGGCGCGCTGCCTTCCCCATTCAGGAGCTCGACAAGAACCCCAAGGTCAAGGAATTCTTCAAGATGATGCCCGGCAACGAGCCCATTGTGAGGACATGGTTGGGCCCATCCACTTACGCTCTGACATTGACTCGTGAGGATGTCATGGTCTGGATCATGAACCACGATGTATGTGCCGCTGTTCGAATCTTACCTATCGATCACAGTCTGACACACGCAGGTCACCGGTACCGAGAAGGAGAGTTGGAACAACACCATCGACAAGGAGGAGGTTCTAGACGGTATGGACAAGATGGCTGGCATGGAGAAGGTCAAGTGGGCACCCATCTTCAAGGAGCTCGTTGAGGTCACACCACCCAACACCATTGTGAACTTCGAGCTTCTCTGGAGAAACCCTCAACCCGTTTGGGCTTCTCCTGCTGCCCGCGTCATCCAGATCGGCGACGCTGCGCACTCATATCTTCCAGCCTCTGGCAACGGAGCCACACAAGCCATCGAAGATGCTATCTCGATTGCCTCATGTTTACAGATCGGTGGCAAGGGGAACATTCCTCAGTCTGTCCGCGTTCACCTCCGCTTCCGCTTCATCCGCAACTCATGCGCACAGAAGCTCGGCTTCTCCAACGCCGAACTTCTCCAGGACACCGACTGGGACAAGGTCAAGCTCGACCCGCGTCGCGCTGCACCCAAGCTGCCTAAGTGGGTGTGGTCGCATGACCCCGAGGCGTACGCTTACGAGAACTACCACAAAGCTGCTGAGAGCATCAAGAAGGGCATCAATATGGCAGATGAAGACAGCTATGAGCCGAACTACCCCAAGGGTTACAAGTACGAGCCCTGGAACATCGAGAAAATTATGGAGGACATGAGGGCTCACAAGCCTATCGACCTTGGTCCTGGTGACTGGGAGTAAATGTCCATGGCTTTGGTCATCGGCAATCACGAAGCTTGCATGCATTAGGAGTTATACAGCGATAAATCAGTATTCATAATCACGAACGACATAAGTCATTACTGTTTACGCACCCCGGTGGTGATCGAAGCACCAGATGTGCATGTGCTCAACATCTCCAAAGATTTTTGCAAGGACTTGTTGCACAAATTGCAGTATTCAGCTTTTGCAAAGCTCACTGTCGATCGTAGTCCTACTTTTAGACTTTCCTACTAGACTCGAAACCATTTCAGGCTTGCTGACACCAAACGCATTTGCCTATTCAGACCTCGCTCTGAAGGCTTTACAGCTTACTGCATATCATCAGTTCATGTTCATCGCCTCAGGCATATCGCATAACTTCACATGAAAGTGCAACCCGACCACCAATCAACTCACAGCGGACCAGCGAGCTGCCATTTCGGTGCTTACGGAGCGCCGACCTGCAGAAGCAAGGGCACGTGCATACCCGAGACACGGGCGCTGATTCTGCAGCTTCCGCCGGCTCTCCAACGGATATGCAAGCCACGGTTCCGAGTGTGGAGGCTCACAGAAGTGTGTCTAGGGAGGGAACAGAGTCAATGGCGTCGGCCTGATTCGCTAGCGCTATCTGGAGGCTCAACGTCGGGGTGCTGCATCAAAGAAAGAACAAGACGTGAAAAAGAGGAGGTTTGAGCAAGATATCGTCAGAAATAGCATCGACGTAAAGTGCGATGCTGGTTTGGGATGGATGTTCATCCATGGATCATAGCGGGTTATGTGATAACCAACTGAAAACATTTCGAACACATGAGCTGTGTCGGCAAAGACATGTTCAACTTCGGCGCAGTACAGCGGTCATGGCAGGAGATACGATGTCATCCCCATATGTCCGTGACATTGCAACCAGTGAATTGACATACACGTGACTTGCATCGAGCACTGTTACATGACCTTCAGGCCTTCAGTCAGTATTGTCAAGTCTTCAAGTTTTCAGAACCAGACCATACCATACGCCGTATATACGCAGCATTGTCGAACCTCAAGTTCAGCCCTTCAGAGATCCGCTTCGCAACAATTGCAGCGCTCGTACCCACAATATACTTCCTTCTGCCAGCTAAGAAGCAAGACTCGATATAACATGTCAAAACTTTCAATAAGTTCATCAAGATCTACTCAACACTACGCCCAGAAGCCCTGGTGTCAACAGCAACCCGCGACTTCACACACGCCATCCTACCAGCCTCTCTCAACCTAACATCACGGCCAGTCAACGCCTTCAAAGGACATGCTGAAAAGATCTTCTCACTATTTGAGAGCTTTGAGATGATGCCACAGTCAAATGGGAAGGGAGATGCAGTGCATTCCTCGAAAGAGACTCATATGGTTACGGCGCGTTGCAAGATGGGTGTGAAGGTCAACGCAGAGGGCGAGATGGGGCAGAAGTTGATCGCTAGTGGACTCATGGAGTGGTGGACGGAGTGTGTGCTTTTCGTGCAGATGAGTCCGGATGGGAAGAGGATTGTCGAGGTTCGGGAGTTTGTGCACAGTGTGAAGGCGGAGGAGCTCAAGCAGAGGCTGTCAGGGATGCTGAGGAATAAGGACTAAGCTGCACTGATGACCATCCTAGATTGTGATCGCGAGTGTTCAACAGTAAGAGAACTGCAAGAGTGCTTTTTGATACAACTTCAACAGCTCGACCGTAGCGACCAATGCATGTCAGCCTCGTCGAGGAGAAATGGCGGATATTTGCTCTGTTCAGGCCGCATTCTAGCGTCGCGCCTTCCCCAATTGAAGCAGCTAGTAACGAACTGCCCGATCCTACCGACTGCTCCCTCACCCTAAGCATCTTTGCCATCCAGTCGTTATCGGACTTCCGACAGCTGGTCATTGACCGATTTGCCGACGCGTTGTTTGTGATACGCGCACTTGTGAGGACGCACTTTAGCGGGGATACGCCGACTCAACCGCAGAACGGCCGCAGTGTGGAGTGCGGAGCCGTATGATGCCGTCTCGTGAGGCTCGCAGGGCGTTCATATCCTTAACAATGCCCAGAAGCTTTCATTGTTCTGCGTTTCGACCCTGGTCACTGGCACCGAACAAGCTCAGTATACACTAAGGATCAATACTTCCAAATTGTACCAAGTACACCTCGATACCGACAAGCAATCCGCTATGGCCGCCACCAAAGCCATCCTCATCACCGGTGCTACGGGAAAGCAGGGCGGTTCCGTTCTGAACCAGCTTGCAAGCCACCCTACCGCTTCCCAATTCACGCTCCTGGCTGTAACCCGTGATGCGAGCAGCGCCTCAGCCAAGCGCATCGAGGAGCGTCACCCCAAGGTCTTGCTCGTGCAAGGTGATTTGAACGATGTACCGGGACTCTTCGCTTCCGCCAAATCCACACTCAAGGAAGCTGGAAAGCCAGAGCAGATTTGGGGTGTGTACTCGGTCCAGATCTCAATGGGCCCTGGTGTCACTACAGACTTCGAAGTCAAGCAGGGCTCCGACTTGATCGACGAGTCCATTAAGGAGGGTGTGACACACTTTGTCTACTCGAGTGTAGACCGCGGCGGCAACGAGCACAGCTTCAACAACCCAACTCCAATCCCGCATTTCCAGACGAAGCAGGAGATCGAGAAGCACCTCCTCGAGAAGGCTGGCAAGAAGGGCGAGAAGATGGGCTGGACTATCTTGAGGCCTGTTGCCTTCATGGACAACCTCGAACCTGGAATGAAGTCCAAGGTCTTCCTCACTGCACTGAGGGATACCTTGAAGGGCAAGTCGAACCAATGGGTATCCGTTGAGGACATCGGCATCTTTGGTGCTATGGCCTTCAGGGAGCCCAAGGAGTGGAATGCACGCGCCGAGGGTCTTGCTGGCAGCGAGCTCACAATGGACGAGATGAATGGATGCTTCGAGAGGGCAATCGGTCAGCCGGTACCGTATGCATTCAGCTTCATGGGTTCGGCGCTCATGTGGGCGGTTACCGAGGTCAACGTCATGATCAACTGGTTCGCAGACGAGGGCTATGGTGTTGATATTGCCAAGCTGAGGAAAGAACAGCCACAGCTTTGTGACTTCGAGAGGTGGCTGAAGGAGAGGAGCGGTTGGAAAGACCAGGCAATCAAGAACTAGGTCGTGGCATGAGGAGCATCTGGCGTTCGGTCTATCTCATAGTACTTAATGACGAAATTGATTGAAACCTCACACTACGTCGAAACTTTTGCTGGTAAATCGTAGGGCTTATTGTGAGGCAGGCTCGATGCCTCAATTTCGGACAGCACTGGGATATACGTCTCCACATTCACACCAACAACATATTCACGAGACAAATAATGATGGTAGTTGGTGAATTTGATACAATTTGCTATCCTAACCCCAATCGCCAGGTAACATCCCAAAGGTACACAAATGCTTAAAGTGTCGTACAGACATCTTCCTCCTTGCCTCGACCGATCATTTAGGCAAGCAACTGGTACAGAGCCAAGCTGCCAGCAATCACCGGTGTAACAAGCCTCAGCCTGTTCCAACTCGCCCACTTCTTTGCAACAGTCTCTGCCTCCTTCAATTCCGTGTCGCTCGCACGTCCAGCAAGAGCCTCGAGCTTGTCGTTCAGAGGCTGCATATTCTTCGCAGAATGAACAATGGTCATCAGGTGCATGGCAGCTGCGACGGCGAACAACTTCCAGTCGTTACGAGCGAGGATGCCCTGCTTGTACGTAGCGTATCCTGCGTATGCATAGCCCAAAAAGCCAAGGGCGGAGATTGGGCGGAAGAATTGATTGCCGACTGTCCAGCAAAGAGGCCATTGGCGGCCGAGAAGACGTGCACGCTCCTTGTGCTCGGGCGAGCTTGGGGGTGGGAAGTTGACGAGAAGCGCTGGGACTGTCATGAAAGACTGTGTGATCGCATTTCCTGGTCTTGTCAATCCTATTCGCGATTGCAAGCTTTCAGTTGTCTTACCAGCGAGGATGAAGGAGAACGTGATGCAGGTGCCTGCCACGCCCTTGACGATGAAGTTGTCAGACATTGTTGCGGTGTTCGATTATTTCGAAGTCTCGAAGATGACAATGGGCAGAAAATGAGAATTAGAGAGCGCAATGGAGGAAACAATCTGATCTTGAATTCCTCGTCAACAAGACCCTCAAACATAAACACTCGGAACCGCGACGCGACCGACAGGCATCTCCGTTCCGAACGACTAAGATGGCTTTCCCGAGATGTCAATCGACCACAACTCCAGAAGTGACGTGATCAACCCGTTCTTGGTCAGCTATCGGTTCCCCAACGTCCGCTGCGGACTTCAGGCGACAGCGATTGGATGGCGCTCGTTTACATCATGATTGGTGAGTCTCACTGCTGCCTTCGAGCTGACTGCTTGTCAGATCATGAGTGCGCTCTCGAACTATTTTTGGCCTGTGAGAGTTGATGAGCAGATGTCACGTTCCTTACAGATGTGAATTTGAGCGAGCTGTGGCAAGGCTGCGCTCGAAGCTGAAGGTGTGTGATCACTAAGCAACGTTAATCACGGCTGTACTAGTGTCAAATACTCTTCTGTTGCCTTCTCGATTCTCTACTTTCTACAAACACCCTGCGCAATTCATCTCGAGCTTCCATGTCACAGTGCTTCGGCTTCGAGATGGTCCGATCTCGTCCGCTGTGATGGTGTACGCTTCTCATCCCGTATGGGTCCCAAGGCGCAAAGCTTTTGTAGAGACTTCGAGCAGCTTCTGGACTATTGACACTTTCGTCAGATTCATCCCAATTTGGCCATTTTATATGCACTCTGTCTCGTCGCTAGAATCAAGAGTTTGGATACAGAGAGGTTTTTCCTTTCGCTTATTATCATCTCGGCTTGAAATCTCCTCGAAACCGATGGCTCCCTTGATTACAGACAGTTTTCCAGAGCTTGGTTCAGTTCCGCATCTCGCGATTCATCAACGGCACGTATTTCCATTATATGACACACGCGAACATTCCGAAAGCTATCGAGCGCGACCTCAAGAAGTCTGAAGCAGACGCACCATATTCTCGCACTCACTCGGTTTGGGTGGCTGAGCTTCACCGGTCGCAGGGTCTCCCGGGCATCGATACCGTGAAGTTGCACACGTGCGTCATTTCTCCCCAGCGCCAAGCGACTATTCTATGATGTTCGCCAAAGAAAATGCGCTACCTTCTAGAAGTCGCGGCAGAATTGCTATGCAAAGTACTGAGGCGCAAGAGTGGCAACTGATGGGGCGTAGGCCATGTTGAACTGTCTCGCGACATCTCCTCGGTTCAGGACCGATGATCAACGGTACGGCTTTCATGCGCCCACCTCCTTGTTTCCGCAGCTTCTCCACAATCACTTGGCCCATATAGTTCCCACCAGTGATATTGGACTGAACCGCCTTTTGTAAGTAATACGAGGCGCATGTACCTCTACGCCGAGGGAACGATAGAAGGAACGGGCTTTGTGAGGCTGCATTCGTCGATGCGCTAACCAGCAGCTTAACCACGAGACAAAGTTATTGCGCCACGGCATTGGAGGCCTTGAAAGGTATGTAAGCATACTGAGTCGCGATAATTTCCGGAGTTTAACAACGACGATTGAGAGCTGTGTCTGAACCAACGGCCGCGACTTGACTGCGACCCAGCAATCGACACCATCATGTTTCGTCTCAGTGTAGCCCTACTCCTCGCAGCCGTGGCATCTGCTCAGACTGCCAACTACACTACAACAGCATGGATGACCAACTTCGCAGGTTCTGACAAGTATGGCTACGTCGCATCCGTCATCAACGCCGACGCCCAACACATGACACTGTCTCTGGACTTCGACACCGACACCGACAGAGAAGCTCTGCACATTGGCGGCATTGGCGGCCACTGGACTTTTGGCGCCTCCTCCTACACAATCAAAGAGCCCATGACTAGATTCGCCCCGCTGTCATCAGCCGACATGAATCTCAAAGTAGCGTGCACACAGCCTGCACAATCGGACGCCGATGTAACATGTAACGGAGTATTCGGCGACGGATATGCCAGGTTTATAAGGTGCAATGAGGACCAGAACACTCGGGCCAGTCATCGTCAGCCATCAAACTATTCGACCGAGTATCCGCACACATACGGCACTGGGCTCTGGGGGTCTGGTGGCACTGAGACTATCACCAACACCATCAACTTTCCACTTCAAACAGCAACTACAACACCGGCTTGGTGTACGAGCGACGAGGTGCCCACGCCTGAGCTGACAACTTCCTACACAACTTCAGCAAAGGAGTTTGCAGTTTATCAGATTGTCATTTATGCTGGACAGGAGAAGCTGAGCGCTTACTCGGGGTCTTCCGTTGTGGTGAGCACTGCCTCTGGTTCGACTGGGAGCGCGCCGGCAGCTACGGCATCAGCTGGCTCAGGAGTTGCTTCCGCGAGCGCCACTGCAAGTGTCCCTCCTGAGAGTACTGGTGCGGCGGGAACGATCAACGCAGTGGTATCTGCGCTTGGTGGGATGGTTGTTGCGGCTATCATGGGTATGCTATAGAGGTAAATGCATCTTGTGCAAGTGATAGAAAATTCGATCAAATTACGGACATAGGTCCTAAGAGAATCATATAAACTGTAAAGCCCATATCCGGGTATATCACATGGTATGACGCTTTCATTCGGTACATACGGCCTTGCGCATACCACGACCTTGCTCGAAGACTAACGTCTATCCAAGCGAGCCAGGACGCACGGTGTCCCAAGACAGGTCTGTACTTCGGACCTTCGCTATCTCTTATACGCATGTTTAGAGGCCTGTAATTGACATGCAATGTTCTCCAGCTAACTTTGCTTTCACCTATCAATTTCCGGCGAGAATTGCTGGCACGTTGACCCTGCTGTCGATCGTTTCCTCAAGGCCACGAACCAACTCTTCGTCAATACCTCTCTGTTCATCCGCAACCTGAGCAATCTCCTCCAGAACCAGAGGGTCTAGTAGGAAACAATTTTAACGAAGAATGTATCCTTATATCGCAGAAGCTTTTTTACCAAAAGAAGTGTGCAGTCCGGCAGTTTCACCGATCGAGATTGAAAACTATTCAAAAGCGCTCCAGCTCATCGGAGCGCTTTTAAAGAACCCGCGTCCAACCAACTCCCTACTCGTACAACTACTCAACAACAACCTATCCTCTTTCACCCTTCACCCTTCATACTTCTTACTTGGCGCCCTCCTCGTCCCCCTCCTCGCCTCCTTCCTCAACTCCTTCCTCAACTCCTCCGCTTCTTCCCTCGCTTCCTATCCGCGTGCCTCTTCGCCGTATGAGTGTCTTCCGCTGTCATGGGTCGGATCAAAGAGTCGTCTACAACGGGATACTCAGCAGCGATAGTCGACTGGGAAGCGCCGATGATGTTGATATCCAAGATATTCGGCACACCTGGTTTATGGATAGTGGAATCCTCGATCTTGTTCAGCATGTCTGACTCGTAGGCGGCCATCATGTGGCAGCGGATCTCGCCGTTCCTGACTGCGACATTGGGGATTGCGAGTATTTCCTGGGTGAGTGCTGTGTCGAACACGGTGGAGTCATTGATCCATGCTGAGCTGAAGTTGGAGCCTGGCTCGTGGAGAAAGGTGCGTTTGGATTTGATGTGAAGGATCGCGCAACATATGTCCATGCCATGCTTCTTACCGCGCTCTTGTAGCTTAGCCTTGAGCTCGTCACAATTCGGTTTGTACCAATTGGTGAAGGTTGGGGCGTCGATATGGGCAAAGTCGAACAGCTCATTTGTGTGGGTTGGCCAGCCTTGCTGAGTGTCGTCCTAGGGGAGAAAGATGGTGGAATTGCCAGTGTTGAATAGGTAGGCTTCCTGGTCGCTGTGGATTTCGATTGTTGGGTCTTCGGTTGTGACCTGGTTGTCGAAAGACGCACTGGCTTGAGGGTCGGCAAAAGGTCTGTTGATTACTGTCCTCTCACCAGGGCCCGAAGAGGGTGCAGGTGAGGTTCGATCTCGTTGCGGTATCCATCGGTCCGTATGAGACCTGACTGCTGCTGCTCAGACTGTTCTGGGCTAGCATGTTTCAGGACAGGTATATATTGTCTTCTCCTAACCAGATAGCAACTAAGCGCAGTATTCCATCGTATTCAACAAGCGGTTCACGCCGCCACAGATCTACGTTGCTGTTGGTTGCATCAGTCTCTTCTTCCGGGTCATCTAAAAGTGACACATCACTCGTCTAAGGCTTCTTTGACATGTTGCCCTGGTCTTTTGAACTGTCATCCTCTGAGTCGTGGCGTCACTTGTTGCTGTTGCTCGCTGCGCCATTGTGGTCGTCAGAGTCCAAATCATGTGACTCAGATGGGCTCTCCTGCTCAGATGAACCCTCCCTCTCAGACTCATCTCCTAAGTCAGGAACACTAGACAAAGGAGATCAATCATTCGAAGAAGGAGAGTCACCAACATTTCCACCATCTGAAGCACCAGAAGATACCTGAGCACCAGACGCATTGTGTAACTGCATGAGCAGTGTCGGTCGGAGGCTGTGGTCAATGATTGAATTACTATCTGTTGTTTTTGGTGGTTTCCGTGTACAGGAGCTCTCGGCTCAGAGGTAAGTGCACTTGCCCTTGGGCAGTGCCTTCCTCGATAGAATATCATGTGACTTAGGCCACGTAGTTACACATTGCCTGGCGAGTCAAAGTCGAAACTTTGAGAGGGCGAATTTTGTCGTCGACAATCTTTGACAATGACTTTGCAGCATTTTCGAGACCGTTCACACCGCGTGAAACTCGCTGCTTCCGTGAATCGTGACCGGGCCGCTTGCCATCGGTAGGCTTGGCGCGTTTGTTAGATACGGATTCGCCTTGTTGTTGCGAGCTATTGTTGTTTGGTGCCTCATTGAGGTCAGTGGAGGAAGCAATTGGTCCGTTCGGTGCTGAGGAGTTACCTGCAGAGGATGATTAGATTCTATTTGTCCTTCCTCGGAATGTGTTCAACTGAATGTAACAATTCTTGAAGTCCACAAGACTACATGATATAGAACAGCATTGGGTAATAAATAAGTGAACACAATGCGAAACTGCACACAGGAAACCATCACATACACTAGCTCGACGCACCTCTATTGGTCTTCGTTCTCTTACTCGGTGGAGCACCCTCTGGAGTACTGTCTGTGGCACCTCGCTTGCGTTTGCCGGTTGTGTTTGAAGCATCTTCTGAAGCATCAGATACATCGCTTGGTTCTGGCACCTTTTCATCCGACTCGTGTTCAGTCTCCGACAAGTCAAGTATATTGTCGGCAATGTCGGTCGGTGGCGCCGTACAATAATGATTATTCATTCTTGTTCGAATCACGTCGATCATGCGCAAGCCCTCCTAGTCCGTCCTTCCGATCTTGCTCAGTGAATACAATCGAGTCGAAGAGCCGGAGCTTGAGGCAGTTTTTATTGCTCTCTTCCCCGAAATGTTTAGCGGAAACAGTGACGAAGAGGAATGTCCTCCAGGATATCGTGTTGACATTCTTGTTGCGAAGTATGTGGTCAGCCAGCATCTCTGGTGACGTGTGCCATTCGAGCTGAGCTTCGGGCAAGATGCAGAGGTCTAGCACACCTAAAGGCATGTCGTGCGTGTTGTCTCAGGTTCGTTTTTGCTGTGATCGTTCTTATTGTTGCCAACATTGTTGTTACTACCCGGGTTATCCTCGCCGCCAATAAGTCTGTTGTCACTGTTGTTACTGCCACCAGCATGGTTTTTGGTATTGTTTGGTTCGATGTTGTTGTCAATTTTGCCGTTCTTGCCATTAGATCCCTTGCCATTTGGCGTAGCCTTAGTGCTGTCCGTAGATGCATTGGGCGCTGCAGAACTGTCGGCGTTATTGTTGCTGCTATCATTGTTGTTCTGAGGGACGGTGGCAGCTGGCGCACGTAACACAGACAAGAACGGAACAGAAGGTAAAGACAACGTGCCGAAGGGAAACAAGCCACATGCTGCCTCTGGGGCGCCCAATGGATCTACTGACCCCACAGAGGGCACGTCAAATGAAAAGGAGCTCAGTGGTGGGAGCGACGACAATAACGAAGACGCCGGGCTTTCTGCCGCTCTTACTGGCGTTTTGATAGCTTGGGGCAAAGTCTGAACAATCCGAGTCCGAGTCATCGTCCTCTTGGCCTTTACAAGTTGTGTCATCACGGCATGACCGCTTGGGGGCGCCCCCCTCATTCGAACCAATGCTCCCACGCTTCCGTTTGTTGTTCGATCCAGTATTTTGGTCGCCTTAGCTGTTGTCCTCAGTCAGGTATATCCTCTGTAAGTTCGTTAAGTGCATCAATGACTTGCATCTGACCAAAGTTTGTGCCCATACGCAGGTGTTGCTGTACTGACCCGCAGCTTCCTTGTTGATGGTAGACTCACCAAAGCCACCGAAGGCTCTCTGAAGACGCATCTTTCTTTGCCAAAGGTTCATTTTCGAGTTCAAGAATTTGTGGATCGAGTTCTTCTTGAACCACATATCGACCTGCTCTGTGGTCATGGGCGCAAATCGATGGCTTGGTTCGCAATGGCCTGGAAAGCTGCGGGTTTCTGGAGTACTGCATAACGTGCTGCAACTGAGTCACATTCGGTACCGGCAGGGCCACCGGTCTCATTGTCGTTGTTCTGACTATTGTCATCCTGGTTGCTGCCGTTCTGGTTGTGCAATCCATCTTCCAATGATCGTTGCATTGTCAGATAAAGTTCATGAGCGTGTTGCAGTCTTTGTTCCTTCGTCAAACCTATATCGTTGGGAATATGGCCCTTCAAGTCGGAAAACAAGATGCCTTTGTAGTCAAGAGGCTACGGCTCATCATCATCCTCATCATCGCTATCGTCAGGCCTATCTCCACCGCCACTAGGAAATGTACCACCTCTTCGATGTCTGGAGCTTCTACCGTTAGCATTGTTGAGATGATATAGTAGTTCATTTGACGTGATCGCGTTGAGTCTGCAAGATCTCTGTGTCAAGCTTGTGTGGAAGAGTGGTGGCAGCTTCCGTTTTGCTGGCTTCTTCGGTGATAAGAGCCTGCATGTCGTGGCAAACGGTGCTAGAATCGAAGCCTAGACCGGTGACGTGTTGTTGTTTTTGGCTTCGTACAAACGCTCCCTTCAGTCCACACTCATTGGTGAGGAATGGTAGGTTCTGGAGTATATAGAGAAGCATTTCAAAGACCCGTGGAGCGCAAGACGACCCCTTGTCCCCTTTGAAAATGTTGTCCCAATGACTATGAGGCGCATGTCTGAGCGTGCCTGTCTTGAACAGATCCTTCTCTCTACCCATGACCACGTCGTATCCGCAGAGAACCTTACCAGCAGCTACGGCAGTGGTCCATTTGCTTCGAATAGAGGTCTCGTTGAAGCCATTCTTACGTACGACCACATGCTTGAGATCGCTGTCGAAGAACCGGGCATCGTCAGTTCTTTGTCGATAATGATCATTCCCAATGCATGCCAAGGTTAGCTGTAGCGCGTCCCGCTGGATTCGACAGTCCGCTGTTTGGTTGGACGCTCTTGCTTGCAGCTTCGACCACTGTTGAAAGTAGGTCCTTCTCCTTGGCTTGCTTCTCCTTAGCTTGTCTTGCTGCTGTAGCGGACCTTGTTGCGCGAGTGTGCCTGGGCGCTCCGCTCTGATCCCGCCTTTCGCGTGCGTTTTCGGCTGCTGACTCTTGAGCTTTGTTGTTATCCGTCTAAAGCCTCCACCATCTGGATCATCCCATCGTTGATGAAATCACGATCGATTTAATATTTGCTTCGATCATAGCAGCGAGGTGGCCACCGGCCTGCATTGCGAAATCTCCACTGTCGATGATACCCAAATCTATGGAGGCAAGTGAAGAGGCTGTATATAGTGAGACAATGACTATGTCGGATCGCATAGCCGTGTTCTGTAATTGCAAAACCATAGACAAGAGAATCTGATCTTCTGGCAGCCAACTTCTGCTTGAGTTTGAGCTAGTCGTTTTTAGCATATAAGCAAAATCTTGAACGGTAATACTAAGCGTATCTCCTTGATAATCATGCTTGAGACACAGCTAACTTAGCCATCTGTGGATGATTGCACGGCTGGTAAGTGGCGCAGGCTCCGCTAGAGCCGTGGCAACTGTGGTAGCATTTGTTGACTCGATCGTCTCGTTCGTTGCGTTCATCGCGTTTGTCGCGTGCAGGTTCTTCCATTTTTCTTCGGCCTCAGTAGTACTGCTTCGTTTCTGGAGTCTGCAGCAAGCTGTTACGGGCGAGTAGGGTTGCAACGTCCCTTGAAAGGTCGAACAATACTCATATATGCAATGCGAGTCCACTCTCTGCAGATAAAGCCATTACTTGAGAATCCTGCAGGAGTCCACCGAGCGACAAAGATGACAATGAGGCTGCCACATTGACGCTTCTTTTGCACATGACGAAAAGAACAGACAAGGAGTGACCAAATGACCTACAACTAATGGTTTCATCCAAGCATTTGGCCCTTCGATGCCGCTGTTTGTACCAAGACCAACAGCTCCATGGCACTGACGCTCGCTTCGGTAGTAGTCGATATACGCAGGGACATAAGGAGTGTAAGATGGATTGTGAACTTGAGAAAACAAAGAAGACAATCAAGGAAGCAGAAGAGAAAGAGATTGGATCGCATCTTGGAGGCGTCAGTAAAGCTTTTGAATGGCAGGGCATCATCCCATAGAGCGTTGTCATTGTCAGGCTTGGTGTAGTTGGTTGGGTCCGGTTGTCGAAGGCGTTCGTCTCACGAAGCCTAGGGATGTGGCGAGTCGAGTACGAGCATATCGCGACCTCGACACCTCAAGATCTGATAGTCTTTTGGTAAGTTTCCGCTGATTCTTAACTCTCTGTCGATCTGCAAGCATCTAGCATCCACGATAGTGTGATATCATCGTGAATGGTGGTGCAGTTAGTTTGTATGGATTGATGCGGTCGGTGGGAGGAAGGAACGCTGGTGCAAAGTAAACAACGCGAAAACCAGTCCACACAGGTCCATTGCACTCTCTGAAATACCCTCAACTGTGGCGCATCCAGAATTCAAAAGCCTTTCTCACAGGGCCGAAGCAGGTGTAACGACTTTCGCACACCGTATTCCTCCACTAAGGCGTTCCCTAGCAACGCAAGCTTGGCGGGCTTCTGTTGCGCTTGATGCGCTCCCTGGTCCTCGCTCACGCACGTCTGTTTGAGCCCCTTCGACACTGCATTCAACACCGCTTTCCCCATACAGACCCAATCTTGGTCTTTTGAGATACCCTTCTGTTGTGCATACTACCACAACATACGAATATACACACACAATGGTGAGTAAGACACAGCGTTTGTTTACTGGAGAGGCGAACGAGGAGTGAGCGTGGCTCAGCGGTTGGTGGTTGGCTGCGAGCGCCTGCCGTTGCCGGTCAACAAAACAAGGCACAAACACCTTTTCATGCAGGCTGGCTCTTTCACCTCGTTGCACAGCACGACTTTGTTACACGGCCGCTAAACATCCGGCGCACGCTCCCCACGACCCTCCCCCAGAAATACACACAAAGGAACAACAAAGAGTCAAGGACACAATGAATAACGACCACCAGGCCTCCACCAACTACCGCGAAGCCTTCCAGCTCTTCGACAAGCGCGGCAACGGGCGCGTTGACCGCGGCGCCCTGGGCGATCTTCTGCGCGCGTGTGGACAGAACCCTACGCTGGCCGAGATCACGGATCTCGAGCGCGGAGTGGGCGCTGACTGTACGTCTCCCATTCCCTCAAACCCCATATACCCATCCGCATGCATTCAAACTAACGCATCCCCAGTCGACTTCGATACCTTCTCCAAGATTCTCAACCGCCCCGGCGGCTTCCGCGAGCCCTTCGACATCGAAGAATACATCCGCGGCTTCCAGGTGTTCGACAAGGACCGCAGCGGGTTCGTTGGCAAGGGCCAGATCAAGTACATTCTGACGAATCTGGGCGAGAAGATGAGCGAGGAGGAGGTCGACGAGCTGTTCAAGAGCACAATTGATGCGTCGAATGACGAGGTGGATTACAGGGGTAAGTCACCCTATGTCCCCATATATACTCGAAAACACAGGAGATTTTGGGCGGAGATGCTAACGTGAAGCAGAGTTCGTCAAGACGATTGCGGAGAACTAGACTTCCTTGCATCGGTTTGAGAGTGGTTACGTTCTTATGATCCCTAGCCTGGGAACGGAGGGGGGAGCTTCATGTTTATGGTTTCAGCATGCGGATACTGGCGTTGGGATACTCGAGGGCACTGGTCTTCTTCATTACCTGTGGGAGGAGAGCGGAGTTATGTAGCCAGGCTGCTACTGCGGCCTCAATGACACGATTCATGCACATACAATTTCACACCAGCATGTGAGAGATTGAGGACGGCGAACAGGACTATATGTAACATCGCCGAAAGGACTTCAGTACGATCCAGCCCTGTGATTGAGCTGCGTGCGCACAGTCACTCAAGAGAAGCATTGTTTTGAGATATCGATGTATTGATTCGAGACTTGTTTTTGGTCCAATGGGCCACGTCTATATAATTGTAGGCTTCTACGTAACATGAGAAGCCTTGCGCGTTCGCCAGTGGGGTATCGCGTATGATAGAAAAAATAAAGGATGAAAAGACTCGCCATGCAGTTGCTTCCTATGCCGTAACGCCACCCAATCCAACGTCATGTAGATGTGTATAGATAGAAAGAAAGTCATGATGACCGTAATATGTGAGACTGAGGCTGAGAAGATGTTGCCGCGGGAAAGCTAAGAACCCGCGGGAAGAAGCCCACGGATAGTGGGGAGCTGAGGCTGAGACCACTCGGTGGGGAGCCTACGCAGTCACAGCGGTCGCAGACGACATGCTAGCAACACCACCAGCACCATTCGCCGCAGCGCTTGTGCTCTTCTTGTAGTTGATCATCTCGGACGTCGTCATGAAGCCACCGGGAATCAGGAACACGACGTCATCGCGGCGCCCCGTGCGGTCGCTCCCGAACTGCGCCCAGTCCAGCTGGTAGCCCACGGCGAGGTTGCAGCGCCCGCACCGCTGGAGATACCGCTTTTCGAAGCCGTCGTCGCTGGTCATGATCTCGGCGGTGCGCTCTTGGCGCATGGAGAGGAGGAGGCCGTAGTGGCTGTTCGATTCGGACTTGTTTGATGAAGAGGGCGCGGGTGGGAGGGGCATGATGTGTGCCTTGTCTTGCGAATTCTGCCGTGTGGGAAGGGCGGGCAGAGGTGTGGTTGTTGCGAGGAGGAGGTGGCTGCAGAGGCAGTGGTAGGTGTAGACTGTGTTGGAGGCTTGCAGAGTGATCTTCTCCTCAGGCGTGGGCGACGGCATGGCAAAGTAGGCGCGCGAAGACTGAACGATATCCATGGCGTCTGCACGTGTGTTGATTTCGAAAGTGAGGAAGTTGTGCGTGTTCGCGTTGTGGGAATGGGTGTCGCGGGAAGTGGGGCGCAACGCCTGGAGACTTATATGGGTGCCGTAAGATTAACGTTGATATTGAACCACGGTACGGCTGGCAGTACCCGGCGTCTTATATGTGGCTGTGAGGAAGGCGTTCGGGAAGAGGTCGGCTTGCGTGCAGAATGTCGTGGAAATGCTTATGGACGCAGTCCGGTGAGGGAATCCGAGCAGCTTTATGTCCGTCCGGATTGGGTTGAAACAGAACTTCGACACGCTTTACGCTGATAAGCAGAAGGTCAAGCGCTGAGGCAGTGAGGGTCCGCGCGGGCTCCTGTTCCAAGTGGGCAGCCAAGAGATTCTCTATAGTTGCCTGTGCGAGTGCGTGTGTTGCGATGAGGCTCAAAGGCCAAGTGGAGTCGCAACACGTACGAGGCGCGGTCGCTGCGTGAAACGGTATGCCACAGCCAAGACGTGTAGCCCACTCTGATACCCCTCAGCCGTTCTTGGTGGGAGAAAGCAACAGAGCTAAGCAAAGCCTAGCAGGAGCTCGGCAAAAAGTTCGACGCGAGGCTCCACTGGATGGTCCACAGAAGCAACGCTGGAAAGATAAGACGGCCGAGTGCGATGTGTTGAGCTGCCCACGGTGACCTCTGTGTGGTGGAGGGCGCTTTATACGGGGGTGATTGCGCAGGCCTTGGGCGAGCTGGCAACCCCACGACGAGGGCTATCATTGTCCCCACGATCATCCGTGGAGAGTCTGCCCGCGTAAACAATGAGGATCAAACGAATGAATTGCAAGAAACCCACCACGCGTTCCTGGCAGGTGACACGGCTACGCCTCCCAAAAGCACCGAACCCGGTCGCCTAGAGCTGCCCAGGTGCGGTCCCTGCATGGAAGTTTGGAAGGCCACTCTGTTTCGGAACTGCTGCGCGCCGCATCCGCATCACAAAACAGCGCTAGCACAACGTCTTGGCTGTGCGCTTGGAGTTCCAAAAGCAGCTCTGCAACGGCGACGACATTCTCGTAGCAGGAGGCATGCCGATCACGAAGGATGTGGTCAAGTTTGGCACCTTCGTGGTGACAAGTCAGGTGTGTACACATTGGTGTTTCATTGGCGGCGCACTGCATAGCTGTGACGTGATGGAGTGAATAACACAGCGGACGTGGCTTACTGCTGGTGTATCTGCTTACAATTGCAGGTCTTCCACCTGACGCGCCTGTCATTCGCGATTGTAAACCTCAAGCCGCTGCTTCCGGGCCATGTGCTGGTTTCACCTCGGCGGATCGTACCGCGCTTCAACGATCTTTCGGCGGCTGAGGTGCAGGATCTCTTTCTGACCGTGCAGCGCGTGTCGCGCATGGTGGAGCGCGTCTTTGCTGCCTCGTCGTTGAACATTGCCATTCAGGATGGTGTAGATGCTGGGCAGAGCGTGCCACACGTACACGCCCACATCATCCCTCGAAAGAAGGATGACCTGGAGCACAAGGGCGGCACTGATGCTATATACGAGATGATGGAGAGCGAGGAGGCACATCTCGGCAAGCAGATGAGGGAGAAGGAGAGAGCTGCTCAGGCTGAGCTCGCTGATGACGAGAAGAGGGGCAAGTTCCCTGCGGTCGACAACGACAGTCGCAAGCCGAGGAGCGACGAAGAGATGCAGAAAGAGGCAGAGTGGCTAGCAGGAGAGATGGAAATAGACGGATAGGCATGAACAATTCCATCATATTCGTCGAGTCCATGTCCAGTCAGGTACTGGCTCGCCGCTGAGCTACCTGCATTGACTTTACTCTCACCTACACTGGAGTTTTGGCAGGTACTTTTCACTACTACACGCTCGCATAAACGACCCACACCTTCCACGACCATCCCAGTAAGATGGCCACTGAAGATTCAGGTCTGCCTGCACTGCGTGCTGCAAGCAACGTCGCCAGTGCACCCACCTTGCCGACAAGCGCTTCGCCGTTCGAGCGCCGGGCCTACAGAGCTAATGCGTCAAATTCTTACTTACCAACATTGTACTAGGCTATGCTGTATGGCGTCAATCGATTCTCGTTCACAACCGATTCGGTCCAGCCGATTGGCAGGCTCGGTCGAATGTACCTGCATATTTTTTGCAACGTCAGATACATTGAGCTTGTTCTTGAAGCGCCTAGCCCAGCTACGGGGCACGAGAAGTTGTTCGACTGCTTTGTCAAGACCATCAAGGCGCAAGGCGAAGATACTTTAAGGGGCCCATCCTTAAGCAGCTAGAAGTAAAGATCAGGGTCTGCGGATTAGATCTTGCCTACGACTCTCTTGGGGAGACCAATCCTAGTCCTTTCAGCTGGAACTTTAGCAGGATGAAGGACATTAAGAACTCTATGTACACTCTAGAAATTCTTGCCAAGCTCTCCAAGGTCGATGAAGTCAGAAACCTCGGGCCTCCTTCTTGGTTCAGCCGATGTCTCGAGCTTTGCATACAAGGTGGACAAGGAAGTTCTGTCTCTGAGCTGCGTTGGCCGAGCAAGTAGGGGCAAGACCCATGCGACATACTGCAAATCAGCACGAATTACCAGAAAATCAATCTTGGACTGGTGAGAGTTCACCAAGCAGAACGGTATCGTCTTGTCGGATGACATTACGAGCTTCTACCAGCGACACCACGCTCAGTGGCCGCGCCCAAGCATTGAAGATAGTGATGCTCCAGCAGGTTAGCAATTGAGATCTAATAGTAAGAGAAGGCATGATGAGCGGGCACGGAGCTGGAGCAGTAATAGTGAAGCAAAAGATGATGTAGAATGGTGACATATCTTAATGTAGCCATCATACAGTGCAATGACGCAACGCTTATTGTGCGCTTTGGGGATTATCTACTCTAGGCTCTTTTCCTTTTCTCTTTAGCTTTACCTGCCCGTCCTTGGCAGCCTCCTCACTTTATAGCGACCCGACTACTCTAGGCTCTTCCCACATCGCCTAGAGACAACAATCAACATGGCCTCAACGATCTTTCTACCAGGTGCCTCATTACTCGAGCAGCTTCCACGAGAGCTGAAGCGCCAAATTCTCCAATACACTGTCCCGTATGACTTGCAATTCGGTTTCGTGTCCTACCGCACAACACATGGAACCGTGTCGACCTCCACGTCCAGTCGTACAAGGGGGTAACGCCGCTCTCCGGACTCCTTGCGAACCACCACACGTACACGAACAATGGCAAGCTCAAACCCGGCCTGAATTTGTCCATTCTGTACGCAAGCAAGAACTTGTCCAGAAGAGCTCGATGTACGTCTCATAAAGGCATCTTGGTCGTTGGAACTAGCACATCTAGTGATTATGTACGGTGAGAATGAGCTCGTGTTTACTATCGGCGGTCCAAATAGGTAGGTGCCCCATCCCGAGGGCATGTTCGACAGTCTGCAACCATCAGTGATTCGCGACATGAGGAACATCCGCCTTAGAATCAGCCACAGCGCTTCCAATACTGCCAACCAGGACCCCGTTACTTATTGTATTTGATCATGTTTAGATTCTTGGTCCATATCGGTGACTCTCACAAGTTGCTGACCCCCTTTATAATTGGCATGATGATGAGATAGGGCTTTTTGGCCCCGAAGAACAACTTTGTGGGTAGATGACATCAGGTTCCCAGACAGAGGGGGGTCAGCAACTTGTGAAAGTCATTATATCATCAACGAGTTTAAGAATGACGAGGATAAGCAATTCCTGCTCAAGCACCTTGACATGGAGATATCGGGCGATCAGTACAGGCCTGGTTTGAAGTACCCCCCGCCCTGGTATCCGGAGGGGCGTGGAAGCGCAACCGAGCTCGCGTTTGCCTTCGTAAAGCTCACAAGCCTACGTAAGGTTGAGCACTTCAGGGCACAGGGACTTCCAGAATGGCTGGCTCGATGTCTCGAGCTGATACCCCAAGGTCATTTTTTCGATGAGAGACCACTAAGCCGAGGTAGGGATGGTGTCAGCGACAAAGGAGGATCCACTGAGCACGCACCAGTGTCTCATCTCAACCTCCAGCTCGTGCAATGTCTCTCATCAATCAATACCATTATTTCCCTCGATCGCGAGCTTTGCCACCGGAGCATGTCAGATTCTGCGCGTGCTGACGCGCCGCGAAGCTATAAAGATGAAGCCAATGACGCAGCAGCCCGAGGTTCCGCTGACACGGACATTGACGAGGAAGAAGCGCAATTGCTGTTGAGAGAGGAGCTGGGATTCGAAGACAATGACCTAGCAAAGCAACAGCCGAAGAGGCCTACCAACTTCCTAGGTTTCCTCAGCGGTCCACAGCCTCCACGCCCACAAAAGATAAAGCCCTTCTTCCCTTCCCTTCAGGAAAGCCCGGCCAGACTACTGGAATGGCTGCTGCCGCGCCGAGAACACCAGAGCTTCGCCCTCAATGCGGTTTTGGTTGTTTGGCTTCTATTGTTCGTAAGTTTGCTGACTACGGAGTTGCCCACAGTCGACGGCGATAGCAAGTATGTAGTCAACCTAGACTGTGCCGACTCGCTCTGGAAACGCAAGAACGGGTGTGGTGTTGATGGCGTGAATTGTCATCCTTTCAGCAACTCCTCATTCGCATTCCGATGTCCGTCAAAGTGCGCGGATGTGCAATTATTGAACCCACACGCCGTTGGTGCGTACGATGCGAACTACCGCCCACTGGTTATCGGCACCGAAACGTATCGAGGAGACAGCTTCGTCTGCGGCTCGGCTATACATGCTGGAATCGTCGGCAATCGGAACGGCGGCTGTGGTCGTGTGAACTTGGTTGGCGAGTACGGCGACTTTGCAGGTACTCGACGTCATGGTATTCAGTCCATTCCATTCGACTCCAACTTTCCGCTATCGTTCAATTTCACTCAAAACACACAGGGGTTCAAGTGCAGCAGCGAGCCCCGTTCTGTACTCCTTTTCGTGTCACTAATGGTCACGGTCATACTGTCTCTGTTTTCGACCAAGTCCAAGATCTTCTTCCCGATCTTCGTCATCATGTTCGCACACGTCAGCTTCGTGTCCGACCCGCCACAAGCCTCATACCAGAATACTACGGTTCTCTCTGATCACCTCTCAATGTTTGCGAAGAGACTGCTTCCAGCATTCTTCGTCGCCGTCATCATTTGGATGACCGTGGTAAAGCGCACCTTGTCTGGACTCAACGCTCCTATCGAGAAGACCATACTCTGGCTTGGCGGCTTCTGGATAGGAGCATTATCAAACTACACGTTTGAATGGATCCCGATCTCGCGCCTCACCGCACACGACCTGGAGCAGCAACCGGGAGCTAAACTAGCACTGGCCGTCATAATTGGAACACTTTCGGTCATCGTAGTGGGCCAAGTCTGTTACTTCTGGCTTGAAGGACGACTGCTGAAGTATCTCGGGCTGTACGGGCTGTTCGTTCTCGCCATCATGGTCTGCCTTGCCATCCCAGGTGTCAATCTTAGGATCCATCACTACATTATCGGTCTATTGCTGCTTCCGGGAACAAGCATGCAGACACGACCATCGTTGCTATACCAAGGCATACTACTCGGCCTGTTCGTCAACGGTATAGCGCGCTGGGACTTCGACTCTATTCTCCAAACGACTGCAGCGCTGCGAGGGGACGGCAAGTTCAACTCAGTGGTACCTGCAATCATTGAGCCCATTATCAACTCCAGCACTACTGAGGGTCTGTTGGCATCGTTCTCTTGGAAGTTCTTGCCTAACGGCATCGATGGTATCAGTGTCCTGGTCAATGATGTAGAACGCTACCGTGCTTTCTCCGACGAGAAAGCAGGTGGTGGTACGTTCGAGTGGAAGCGGCCACTTGATGTGGCGATGAACGAGTATTTCCGCTTTGCTTTCATCAAGAGTGGACGTACATTGGATTACTCAAAAGCTGGACTGCTCCTGAGCAATGGTACATGGACTGCTTAGGATGCTCCCTTGATTGGCCACTGGGTACAAGGGAAATGATCGGATTCATAAGGTCTTTCAAAGGTCATCTCTTATTTCACTAGAGGGCGATTCACACAAGACGTGTTCAGGGGCCTCGGCCGAACAGCGATGCGTCAGGGTCGTTTCTAGAAATGAGTGAAAGACGGAGAGCTGTATTTACTGTTGCAATTCATGGCGGAAGGCAGCCCAAGGAGGAAAGAGCAAACGGCGGTGCATCCAGGCATCAGCCCCACGTTGGGAGCCGTGGTTAGCGCGTGCCATGAAGGGCCACCCCCAAACCACGTCGGGACAGTCTGCCTCTCTCCTCCAATACCATCAAAGTCACACCACTCAACCTTTTGGACAATATCAATACCCCGGCATTCACAATGTAAGTCTCGCAGCGCGTCCAAACTACTTGAAACCATCGTTCATCTGCTGAGGAGTCTATGATAGGTCGGCAACACATATCGTCAAGGTTGTTGCTCCAGTCAACGACAAAGCTACTTCTCGCAAACGAAACGCCGACGATGCCAGATCGAGTTACTCCCAGAAACGCCCAAAGCTGCGCCCGAAGGTCGATACGGAAATAAAAGAAGCTCAATGGGTCTGCGGTTATGATAACTTCAAGTTCTTGGGACTACCACCAGGTCAGTATGACCCATAGATCTCAAGCAGAAACGATCTGACAACCTCCAGAGCTCCGCAACCAGATCTACGAGTACGCCACGGAATGCACCTACAGATGTTTCCCCATGCTGCACAAGAGGCCCAAGAAGGTGTGCAAACTGGCGGTATACCATTCGTCAAGGAAATCCACCAACCTACCAGCGGCTGAGCGCAAACCTGTCCCGTATCTTGCGTTGACGCAGACGTGCATGCAAATCAGGGCCGAGTTCCGTCCGATGTGGTTATCGATGCACAGAGTCCCTCTGAATTTCATGGACACATACTTCAAGGCCTTCTTCCCCGCGCGAATACCTCCGACGTTGGCTCGATTCAAGCCTCACGTTCTGACTTCCTCCAGCCTTCGGATTTGGGTTCGAAAAGACGACCTTGGTAGTACCGCCAATTGCTGTGACGCGACCAGACTCTTTAAGCACAAGGCACGTTTCCCCGACTGCGCCATCACATGCCAATCGCTTTCATCGACGGAAGACAGTATACTGCGCGATCTAGAATGGCTCATCAATCACAAAAATGCAGCGTGGAGGAAGTCAGTCATTGGAGGCAGCATCAGTCAGGTGCGGTTTGGCTTGGACACCGACTGGGACACGGGCAAGAAAACAGTGGCCGTGGACATGGTAGTGAAGGAGAGATTTGCAGAGCCTTGGATGAAGATCATCTCTGCAGCACCGCCTAAGGGTGCCATGGAGAGGTTTCTGAGGCACTTTGGATTCGAACTGCACAGCCGTCCTTGGAAGACTCGGGTGAGCGTGGACTATTCTTGACCTATCTACAGGTCCTGAAGACCTCCGGACGCTTGGATAAGAGCGATTTAGGCAATAGGGACTGCTTTATATGCGCACGAAATATGTGTAATATCTGCCAAAGTGAGCAAACCGGCACCAAATGAACAGTGTGCCTGGTCACAGGACGTTAAATCAATCACGGATAAACAGTATGCCTGACTCCATGATGTTAACAGTGATGAGGGGTGGTAGGGCTGGACGCGACAACGCGTCGAACGTGGATCCCTGTCTAGCGCGGTTTTGCAGGCGAGCAATCAGCGGAGCCCCAAACAAAACAGCGACCTACGACCAACAACAACAGCACATGCGGCCACCATGAAGATCACAGAGCTGGTCATAGATGTCAGTATACCTGTATGGCTATGCGACAAGGTCTGACATGAATCCAGGGCTACAAGTCGTATGCTGTCCGAACAGTCATCTCCGGCTGGTTTGTTTACCCAAATGGCACAAACCGGTACAAGCGCTCACAATAGGCAGGGACGACAGCTTCAATTCCATCACCGGTCTAAACGGATCTGGAAAGTCCAACATTCTCGACGCAATATGTTTCGTCCTCGGTATCACAAACTTGGGCGTCGTACGAGCGCAGAACTTGCAGGTGGGTGGAATGAATGGGTGCGCAGGTTGCAGGCGCTGACCAGTCTGCCAGGACCTTATCTACAAGCGCGGTCAAGCAGGCGTCACGAAAGCCAGCGTAACTATCACATTCGACAATCGCGACAAGAAGAACAGCCCCGTGGGTTTCGAAGACTTTGCCTCGATCGCCGTAACGAGAACGATTGTGCTCGGTGGAGCCAGCAAGTACCTTATCAACGGTAACCGCGCGCAACAAAACACCGTTCAGAATCTGTTCCAGTCCGTGCAGCTGAACATCAACAACCCGAACTTCCTCATTATGCAGGGACGAGTCACGAAGGTGCTGAATATGAAGCCGGTCGAGATCCTGGCAATGCTGGAGGAGGCAGCAGGAACACGCATGTTCGAGGACAGGCGAGACAAGGCATACAAGACCATGGCGAAGAAGGAGGGCAAGGTCCAAGAGATCGCAGAACTGTTGCGCGACGAGATCGATCCTAAGCTCGAAAAGCTGCGACAGGAAAAGCGCGCATTTCTCGACTTTCAGCAGACTCAGAGCGAACTCGAAAAGCTCACCAAACTCGTTATCGCATACGACTACACGTGGCTACAAGAGAGGCTGCAACAGTCCGGCGATGATCTGGAGGCGAAGAAGCAGCGGACAAAGGACCTCGAAGAGTCGGCCGTGCGCATGAAGAAGGAGATCGAATTCCTTCAGGAAGACATCAGGAAGGTCAAGGCTACAAGAGAGAAGGAGCTGCGCAAGGGCGGCAAGTTCCAGGCGCTGGAAGAGGAGGTCAAAGCGAACTCACACGAGGTCGTGCGATTAGACACGTCCCTCGATCTGAAGAGGACAAGCATGGCCGAGGAGATTGACCGGAAGAAGAGCATCGAGAGGAGCGTCAAAGATCTGGAAAAGCAACTACAGGAGAAGAAGAAAGTGCACGAGAAGCTCCAGGAGAAGTACCAGACTGCGCGTGACGAGCTGGTAAAGCAGACCGAAGAGGTGGAGAACAAGGAAGAGCTGCTGCAAACGCTACAGACGGGTGTTGCTTCGAAAGAGGGCCAGGAGAGCGGCTACCAAGGACAACTGCAAGAAGCCAGGAATCGTGCCAGCGCCGCAGCGACAGAGCAGGAGCAGGCCAAGCTCAAGATCTCCCACCTTGAGAAGCAAATCAAGGAAGACGAGCCGAAAGCAAAGAAGGCTAAGCAGCAGAACTCTGGACTCCTCAATGACCTTGAGGCGCTGAAGTCGCAGGCTCAAAGGCTTGAGGCTGACCTCACGAAGATGGGTTTTGACGAGGGCAAAGAGTCAGACATGTATCAACAAGAGTCGCATCTGCAAGCCCGCATTCGTGAGCTCAAGCAACAGGCGGATGAGTTGAGGCGCAGAGTCTCGAATATCGACTTCAGTTACAGTGACCCGTCTCTCAACTTCGACCGATCCAAAGTCAAGGGTCTGGTAGCTCAGCTCTTTACGTTGAAGAAAGAGCACACCGAGGCCGGGACTGCTCTGGAGGTCGCCGCTGGAGGTCGCTTGTACAACGTTGTCGTTGATTCGGCCGCCACTGGCAAACAATTGCTGGAGAACGGCAGGCTGAAGAAGCGAGTCACCATCATCCCCCTTAACAAAATCGCAGCTTTCCGGGCATCTGCACAGAAGATTGGTGCAGCACAAAAGATTGCACCTGGGAAAGTGGACCTTGCATTGTCGCTCGTAGGGTACGATGATGAGGTCAACGCTGCCATGGAGTACGTGTTCGGTTCGACACTTGTCTGTGAGGACGCAGAAACCGCTAAGCGTGTCACCTTCGATCCGGCAGTACACATGCGAAGCGTCACCTTCCAGGGCGATACCTACGATCCTGCGGGTACCCTGTCTGGTGGTAGCGCACCGCAGTCGAGCGGTGTTCTGGTCACCATGCAGAAGCTCAACGAGATCACAACCAAACTTCGATCGCAGGAGCAGCAGCTTCGTCAACTCCAGGATACCATGGTCCGGGAGAAGAAGAGGCTAGATGCCGCGCGCAAGACCAAGCAGGAACTGGATCTCAAGAAGCACGAAATCAAGCTTACAGAGGAGCAAATCAGCGGCAACTCTTCGTCGTCTGTAAGTATCATCGTTGCAAGACCTGTCGCACATGCTTACCGCGTCGCAGATCATTCAAGCTATTGAGGAGATGAAGCAGAGTGTCGCCCAGCTGAAAGAAGATGTCAAGGCTGCCAAAGCACGACAAGATGATGCGAAGGCGGACATCAAGCGCATCGAGCGAGATATGAGCGAATTCAACAACAACAAGGGCAGCAAGCTGGCGGAACTGCAGTCGTCGCTCGAGAAGCTGAAGAAGGCGTTGAGTAAGACTAACGCCGCTATCAAGCCTTTGCAATCGGAGGTGCGAGCAGCTATGGTGGAGTCCGAGCAGTGCGGCAGCGATCTTGCTGCAGCGCAGGAGCAGCTCGAAGATGTCCAGACAACGCTCAAGACGCAACAAGAGGAGATCGATGAGCTTCTTGCGGAACAGAAGCAGGCGCAGGATGCACACGATATCGCACAGGCCCAACTAGCAGATGAGCAGGCGAAGCTGACTGGGTTTGACGAGGAGCTCAGATCACTCGAAGACACAATCCGCGCAAAGAACTCATCGATCACAGAAGGTGGTCTAGAGCAGCAAAAACTCGCACACGAGATTGAGAAGTTCCATAAAGAGTCTGAAGGCGCAGCAGGCCACATCGCAGCGCTAGAAAAGGAGCACGACTTCATCGCCAGCGACGCGGAACTGTTTGGCCGTGCCGGGACCGTCTACGACTTCCACGGCATCAACATGGCCGACTGCAAGCCCAAGCGCAAAGCCCTTGAAGAGCGCTTTCAGCAGCGCAAGAATAAGATCAACCCCAAAGTTATGGCTATGATTGACAACGTCGAGAAGAAGGAAGCAAGTCTCAAGAACAATATGGCGACTGTCATCAAGGACAAGAAGAAGATTGAGGATACGATCCTTAAGCTTGATGAGTACAAGAAGGAGGCCCTGCACAAGACTTGGACCAAGGTCAACGGCGACTTTGGTTCGATCTTCAACGAGATCCTGCCAGGCAGCTTTGCGAAATTGGTTCCACCCGAGGGTAAGACGATCGCCGATGGTCTGGAGGTCAAGGTCATGCTGGGTAAGGTCTGGAAGCAGTCTCTGACCGAGCTGTCCGGTGGTCAACGGTACGTTCCCTCTCCCTTCTATCATCAAAACAATGCACTAACATAAGTACACAGATCTCTGATCGCCCTCTCGCTTATCATGGCGTTGCTGCAGTTCAAGCCGGCGCCCATGTACATCCTGGACGAGGTCGACGCCGCGCTCGACATATCGCATACACAGAACATTGGTCATTTGATCAAGACAAGATTCAAAGGCTCACAATTTATTGTTGTCAGTCTAAAGGACGGCATGTTCCAGAACGCAAACCGTCTCTTCAGAACACGGTTTGTGGACGGAACAAGTACTGTACAGGCGACGAGTGCTGCGGATGTGAGGTAGCCTGCAGACTGTTTTGACGATGTATGATGTGTCACGAAGCGTGGGTTCGGGATACCCGGTGCATATAGGCTGGTTTGGACGGTTTCACTTTGCATAGCTTGGCGTTCGCGGCTTGTATTCGGGGCTAAAGTGTCTATCTGCGCCGTGAGTGGTCGCTGCTTTCTCGAATCTCTCCTCGTCTATCTCTCCTTCCCGATTGGGATGCTGAAGGCGCAAGCTTCCTTGGGCTGCTTCTTACCACAACAAGGCCTTGTGCCCTCTTTTTACAACGATCGTCATCCGCCTCTACCGCCTTCAAAACAACCTATCTCTATATCGACCGCACTCTGATCAGTTCGACGGCAGATTTGCTGATAATTGTATTCATGCGCACGCACACCGACGCGAGCGCCTGCTATCTGCTTCCTTGGCCTACCTTCGATGTCGCCATCGAGCTCGGTCGCTTCTACTGACACCACCTCTTCTATCGAAATTGGACAAAGACGCACTGGTCTCACACCGAGCGGGTCGCGTGGAACTACACCTTACAGCTATGTGAACACCAGAGATTATCTTCACCAACCTAAGCCACAACAACCACCGCTACTATCTCGCCACTACGCGACACTGCAAGAACATGCTGACTCTATCATCCGAGCGGAGCATGCTGATAACGATGCTGTCACCCCTCGCCATGAAGGTAGACGTGGAAGCTTCGCCTGGGGTCTGCGATCAGCCTACGAGGACGAAGGACCGAAGCACAGTCGCAACCCCATGATGCCACAACGGACGGACAATACAACACCGCCGACTATGGAGGAACTCGTATGCAGGAACGCAGCCGACGATGACTCTTCCAGTATCCACAAATCCGGTCTTGTTCAGAGCGATGCCATCTTCTGTCGTCCGTCTACTACGCGCTCGTCCGCTTCCGGCACTGACATCAACGCTTTAACCCGGACAGATACTGGGGGATCCATAGGTGGGCTTGCAAGGAGCATGACGAAGAAGATCCCAGATATCAGGGCGCACCGTCCTTTGGTGGAAAAGACCCCAGAGAGAACGATATTCCAGCACAAGGAGCAATTAGAAGACGCACCGTTAGCTGAAAGTGACAGGAAGACCCGCAAACTATCCTTCCAACTCCCATCCGGTCTGAAGATGAATGGTCCTCTCGAGGTACCGCAGAAACCTTCTCCGGTCATTGAAGAGTCACCAGTGTGTGAGTCTCCTGACAAAGCTACCTCGCCAGATTCACCACCAAAATGCGGCGGATTAGCAGCTCGAAGACAGGTCAAGATGGATCTTACACTTCCTATCGGTCTACCTGATCTGTCTAATTGCAACGATCGCAGGGGTACACATCCCGGTCTTTTGAGCAGCATCACTCCGTCGCGTCCTCGAAGCCCCAAAACACCGTGGATCCGCGAGACAGAGCTCAATTGGGGTCGAGACACCAAATCCAAATCCGCCAAGACCGCACCGATCGTCGAAGAGGACCAAGCATCTGTCAGCGCCATGGAAATGATGCTTCTCAACGATGCAGGTGTCGAGCTTGGGATCGAATCGGCGCTGCCTCCAGTCACATATCCAGAATTCGTACGGCCACCTCAGAAAGTTCGCGATCGTTGCTACATCAGTCGTCCAACTACCAAGCGCAAGAAAAGCGTAGGACCCAGTACGAGCGAATCTGACTTTGGAAGCACACCAGACGGCCACTGGACACCTGAGATCATGGAAGGCATGACTGAACAAGAAGCACAGGCGCAGACTGAGCTCGTTCAATTAGCAAAGGCGGCAAAGACTGCGCGATCCCGTCGTTGGCCTTGGAATAAATCGAAGGCGTCTGGTTCTGATGAGCAGACGCAGACGCTAGACGAGCGTAGCAACAGCCGCAAAAGCACCTCTGTTAACATCTTTAAGCGTTCGAACCGCTTCCCAGAGTTTACAGAAAAGGACAAGAAAGAGAAGAAACCATCCAAGGTTATGAACACGCCCTGGCGACGAGAGAAAGTTGTGAACAAGCCGCCTCTCCCATCAGCATCTCTCGCCAACATGGCTGTACCGCCAACCTTCGTACCTCCAGGTTGTGAGAAGATACCTACGCCACCGATGTTCGACTCCGCCGGTGAAGTCAAAGGCAAACTCGCAGACTTCTTCTTCGAGTCAGGAGGCTTTCCAACGACCAGGCGAAAGCCAAAAGCTAGTCCAGGCGGCTATTGGGACTCTAATGCGGTCCTGATGAGCATGCAAACAGATCTCGGCCTCACTAACGATGAGGACGACGAAGAGGGACCCGAGGGTCGTCCACCGGCTGCTTTTCACTTCGGCCCTGTCAACGATACGCCCAGCCACATGACCTCTCCAGGGCTCTACACGGGTCCGGATGGCTACCTAACAGTCAAGGCAACTGGCGCTGGACAACTCACTCCAGGTGCACAAGACTCCTGGTTCCGCATGCACTTTGGCCACCACACGCCCGACGAGGAATCACTCACAACCGCTTCGCTCAAGGAAGCAGACGAAAGGAGGAAGTTCGAATGGCTCATCCCCGAACATCTTCCGAACAGCCCGCTTTGTCCGCTGCATGTCAAGTATGTAGGTCCGAGTAAAGGTCTCTGCTACTGGCATGGACGGAAGAGCAATGGCTGGGGAGTCGAGCCGGGGAGGGATTATGTCAGTCATCCTGTAAGGGTGGGTAATGGGAGCAGGGCTGGGTGGGATACGGGGAAAGCGGAGGGCCCGAAGGATGAGACGAAGAGTAGGAGGAGGAGGAGGAGGAGGTTGGAAAGTCTGATTAATCCTTGATGTTTTTGTTTGGGTAAGCATGGCGTGTGGTATTTGGAGTTTGTGTGTGAGCCTGGTTGCGTAGTCCTAATGATATCCATGAGTCTCGTTTACAAGAAATTCTGTGTCTCCAAAACCATCGTACAGGCTGGGAGACGCAGAATACGCAGAAGACTTACATGTTCATAAGCGAGTTACTGATGGCTGTGGAGACTTCCAAACGGGAAGAAGTGAGACGACATGCTCGCTGATCTCGATCGGTCATACCTTCATGGAAATGCCTACTTCCATCTTCGGCACCACAACAAGACCGTAATATCACCATGACCACGGCGTCTCAAGCTGACACCAATTGGGTTCGATCTACGTACTGTGCGCCGAGTGTACAATCGCACGGAAAGGAGTAGGTTTTGGATGCTGTTGTTCTTTGGGTTTGATGCGGATGCGGTATGTGAGGTGGTGCGAGGTTGTGCCGACGTGTGTTGGGGAGGAGGGGGGCGAGGCATGAGCCAATAAGTGGTGGTGGGGTGAGTGTGAGTTGGTCTTGGTGGGGTGGGAGGCGGGCTAATGCGTGGTGTAGTGGCGACGGCAGCGGTTTGCTTTGGCTTCGAAGCCGAGTTGAAAACCCACGGAGATGTGTGGAAGACAGAGAGTGTCTGCATAGTTTCTGCATAGTATCTGCATGGTGAGCGGCCGCGGGTTTTGTCGGTGGAGGCTTGGGGCCTATGACTTTGCAAGCTTGTAGATTCATATCACTAGTGTAGGATCTGCTTCTAAAGCATACCTATCACAGCTGCTACACTTATCCTGGCCAGCGCAGGTACTACCGCGTCGTTCTTGCCCGCCGCAACAGTGCTTTCAGGAGGAGCGCCTGCGGTACATTGCGTAGCTACTCGTCAACGTAGTCGCAGGCGCGGCGCCATAATTGCTGTACGAAGGCAGAGGACCATATGATTCAGTTGGATACGGGCCGTAAGGCTGTGTAGAGTATGAGGGTGGAGGCAGATACGCACTGCTGATCGGCGGATCAAAACAAGTGCCATCGCCATTCGGTATACCGCTCTCGCACTTACAGCTCGATGAACAGCCATCCCCATCAAGAGTGTTGGAGTCGTCGCACTCTTCGCCGTAGAGTTCATCCCAAAGTCCATCGCCGCAAGCCGCAGGCGTAGCTCCATGCGAGATGATGTACGGCAGACCAACCGATCCATCGCCAAACCTCTGTGAGCCTTCGCCAAGAACATCCTGCGCAATGGCGAGCGCCTGGAAGCCTTTGAGTCCAGTGGTCGGGAACAAGGAGAACGCTTCGTGCACGCTGCACCCCCAGTTTGACAGCGCGGCGTCGGAGAGGGAGTCTAGTGCGGGGCTGGAGGCGACGAGGTGAGCTTTGTCATAGCAGGAGAGGCCGCCGCGGATGGTGAAAGTGCCGAAGTAGCTGAGCTGCGGCTGTCAGTGGCTGGTTTGGTGTGTTGGATGCGAGACTCACGGCGTCGACGGTGGTGACGTTGACGTTGTTGTAGCAGCGGGAGAGGGCGAGGTATAACCCTGTTGTCTCTTGCGAGGAGTGGCCGACGGTGGCGAAGCGGATTGCGTTGCTGATGAGTGTTGAGGCTCCGCCGGTGCTGAAGTGATTTACTGGGTCACCGCCTGTATCCATTAGTCTCGGTCCATGTCCAACCATGGGCAGTCGAGGACGGCATACCGATGATGATCATACTGCCAGTGATGGCCGGACTCCACGCGTCTTTGGAATCCTCGAGAAACTTGAGACTGGTAATGTAGTCGGTGTTGAGGTCAGGCACGACGACGGCATCATAACGTGCGAAGTCAAGGGTGGTCATGTTAGCCCATTCACTTTCCGTAACGATGGTCGTGTTGTAGCCAAGCTGGGTCGCTGCTTGATCTTCTTTACTGCCGGCCCAGCCAAATATCAGCACATTCGGAACATTCTGGGAGATGGCTGAGGCTATGAGGCCGGCGAGGAAGCTGAGAGTAGAAAACCTCATGTCGACTGGTGCGCAAGCAATTTGAACAAGTATCGATCAGAGATGTGATGAAGAGAACTGAGCTATATGTAGAGCCTGAGCAGGCCCTCGGGGCTCTTATACTGGTCTGTTCCAATCTTTTCTTATTACGCTGGACGTAGCTATACTGTGTTGTAAGAAGGGTCCGTTCGCCAGGTAACGAGGCACTGTTGCCATCTCGTACGCCTGTGGGAGAGCTTCTTTCGGCCAAAACGGACCGGTTGTATCTCCAACACGAGCGTGAGTAATTGCAGGCGTTTCTTAGTAGTAGATTTTGGACCAGAACCTCGAGTAGCTGGAGGGTGTGTCTCGCCAAACGTACGTGGTACAAGCATACAGTGGAGACCTGTGGCGTGCTGGTCGTCGCGGAGGCTTGCTGCAACGTGCCCACAGTCCAAGATTCGGGCATGGTGACTCTTGGTTTTCAACATATGTTCGAGCCTATGTTGCTGCGATGGTAGCATTGTACGGTTGGTGTCCGTGGTACCTGCTGTGATGTAACGCTTGGCTTGTGATGCGTTCGAGTCCCCTCATCACGCTCCCAGTCGGCCGGTGACACGCGAAGAAGGCAGTCACAGATCGAGGGGCATGTTGCGTCTTCCAGCCAATCGTGTCACGAGGTTGGTGCAGGAGGAAGTGAGAGAGCAAAGCAGCTGCCGGCGTCGAAGCACCTCCGGGCTTGGCAGGCGCGACTTCGCGACTCCCTCCAAAAGTCGCAGCTGCGCGCATCACCAAAGCGGCCAGCTCGCCCGGACTGCTCCACACACATCGACCGTCGATTGGCGTGTTTCCTTTTCCATAGCGTTAGTATAGCGACGCCCACCATGGCACAAGCAGCGCAAACCGAGGTCGAGGACCCGCTCTACAACTTGCGCCTGTCCATCAAAGCCTCAGCGACACCCATCCTGAGCACCAGCGCCGAACCCACACCCGCCGACTACATCGACGACCTGGCGCGGGCGACACACATCACATTCAACGTCGACGGCGCGCATCGCACATTCGACCTCACATCAGACACGCGCTTTGCGCCAGACAGCAAGCCTGTTGACCTACGCACCTGTTACTTTGCCTGGGTGAACAAGGATGCCTCCGTCACCGACTACTTTGCGGCGGTGACGACATTGAACGAAGAGCTGCCGGGCGGCGCAGGCGGAAGCGTGCAGAACTTGACTTTCGCGCAGAAGATCGAGTTGATGGCGTGGTTGAGCGGAGAGACAGAGGGCAGCGACAGCATTGCGCCCATCGACAGCGGCGCGGCGACAGCAGCAGCGGGCGATGCGGCGGCGATTGCCGGTGGAAAAGGCGTGCCGGTCGATCGCAACATGAAGAGCACACAGGGCGGCTTGGTCGACGCGCGACTGCTTCAGATCTACGACGGCGAGAGGAACATGGGCGACCACAACACCATCCTGCGCGGACACAAGCCAATCGTAGGCAACTCAGCTCCCTCATGCACATCTGCCACGCTAACACCCTCAGGACTTCTCCCCCTACCGCAAAACCGCCGCCTCCTTCTTCCGCAACCGCCCCGACTCGCACAAACCCTCCGCGCCCCAACCCGCCCTCGTCTCGAACCTCACCAAGAAACCGCACCAAAAAGTCCAACCCATCATCCTGCTCTCACCCTCGGCCTCCTCCCTGCTACGAACCAGCAACATAAAATCCTTCCTCGACGACGGCATCTTCATCCCCCCGAACGCCGCCGACACGACGTCGGCAAACATGATCCAAATCCGGCGCCCGATGCCCTCCATCTCCTCGCAGCCCATCACCTTCATCCTGGTCGACAGCACAACCTCGTTCAAGCCCACATACTGGTCGCGCGTCGTCGCCGTCTTCACCACAGGCCAGACCTGGCAGTTCAAGAGCTACAAGTACCCGAATCCCGCAGAGCTGTTCAGTCACTACCCGGGTGTGTATGTGGGGTGGCAGGGCGAAGATACGCCCAAGGGGATCCAGGATCTGGGGCGTGGTGTGCTGAGTGCGAAGGTGGATAAGTGGACGGGCAGTGAGAAGGGGCGGTGGAGGGATAGGGAGGTTGTGGAGAGGATTTGGGGGCGCATTGAGGAGGGGATGAAGAGGGCCGGGTGGACGAAAGAGGGGCCGGGGTTGGCGGGGCAGCAGCCTGGGCGGTAGAGACGGCTAGGTTGACATGTGTGCGGGATGGTGATTGAGGGGGAGCAGAGGGGAAGAGGCGAAGATGTATTGGTACGAGGCGTTGGGCGTTGGGATCGAGGAGCAAACAACATGGCATACCTCGAAAAGCTGGCGTTGATCGGGCAAGGCAAGATTGAAATGAGATACTGTTTGAACACAGTCGAGAAGCCCGTACAAGTGATGTGAGGTGGAAGTGAGTGGAAGCGATGTGTGAACTGATATCGCATGTCGCGCTCATGCATTCGTAAACTATATGTAGAAAGCGCACAAAACCCGCCATTACCCATCATAACATCAAAGAAACTTTTCCGTCGTCCACTACCAGTCGAGGGGCTCATTCAACTCCTCACCGCGATTTGTCTTCGGCACCTTGGCGGCCTGAACCTTCACGGGTCCCTTCCTGTGTCTTGCGAGGTATCCGCTGCCATCCAACCACGGCCAGACAGATGTGCGCTTCTTCTCGTGCTTCTGGATCGCCTCTTCGCTGGCCATGGTGAGGCCGATGTCGTCGAGTCCGTTGACCAGGCAGTGTTTCCTAAACTCTTCGACATCGAACTTGGAAAGCTCCTTGCCATCCGCAGAACGAATAACCTGGTTGACCAAATCGACTTCAATCTCCTTGCCCGCCTTCGCCTCCGCGGCAATGGTGTCGAGCGCAGCTTGGTCCGTGATGCGCAGAGGCAGCATACCGTTCTTGAACGTGTTGTTGAAGAAAATATCACCGAAAGACGGAGCGATAATGCACTTGATACCAAAGTCAAGAAGAGCCCAGGGCGCATGCTCGCGAGAGCTACCGCATCCGAAGTTTGGGCCTGTGCAGACGAGGATCTTCGCATTGCGATATGGTTCTTGGTTCAAAACGAACGATGCGTCCTCCTTGTCGCTGCCGGCTTCGTAGCGCCAAGCGTGGAATAAGGCAGAGCCGAGCCCAGAGCGTTTGATTGTCTTGAGGAATTGCTTGGGGATGATGGCGTCGGTGTCGATGTTGGCGATGTCCATGGGCGCCGCGTAGCCGCGGAGGGTTTCGAACTTGGGCATGCCAGCGCTGGCGCCCTTTGTGGAGGTGGACGCGGTGTGCGACTGCTGGTTTTCTTCGGGCAGATCCATGATCTTGTCGAGGTCCTCGTCGCTCTCAGCGTCGTGGATGTGGGCGACTTCGACCTTGGGGGAGCCCTTGGCGGCGGAGGTCGAGGGCGTGAGCTTGCGGACGTCTGCGAGGTTGCCGACGATGGCGGCGGCGGCGGCCATGACAGGGGACATCAGGTGGGTGCGGCCGCCGGCTCCCTGGCGGCCTTCAAAGTTGCGGTTTGAGGTTGAGGCGCAGCGCTCGCCGGGGGAGAGGATATCGGGGTTCATGCCTAGGCACATGGAGCAACCAGCTTCTCTCCAGTCGAAACCAGCTTCGATAAAGATCTTGTCGAGACCCTCCTGTTCAGCTCTTTGCTTGACAAGACCAGACCCGGGGACAATCATAGCGTGCTTGATGTTGGATGCGATCTTCTTGCCCTCGACGATGCTTGCGGCCTGCCTCAAATCTTCGATACGGGCGTTCGTGCAGGATCCAATGAAGACCTTGTCAATCTTGACCTCCTGCATGGGTGTGCCGGCTGTCAGGCCCATGTACTTCAAAGCGCGCTTGCAAGCCTCCTTCTTGACCTCATCGTCGAAGTCGGCGGGGCCGGGGACAACGCCAGTGATAGGAACAACATCCTGGGGTGATGTTCCCCAGGAGACTGTCGGCGCAATGTCCTTCGAGTCGATGTAGATCTCGTGATCGAACTTGGCGTCCTCGTCCGACTTCAAGCTCAGCCAGTAGTTGCAGGCCTTCTTCCACTCGGGGCTGTCGACCTTGGGCGCCAGCGGGCGTCCCTTCAAGTAGTCGATTGTAATCTGGTCGGGCGCGACCATTCCTGCTCTTGCGCCACCCTCGATCGACATGTTGCAAATCGACATACGGGCCTCCATGCTCAGGCTGCGAATCGCTGAACCGCAGAACTCAATGACGGCTCCAGTTCCTCCAGCTGTGCCAATCTTGCCAATAACGTGCAGGATAATGTCCTTACTGCTGACGCCGGGAGCCAGCTCTCCGTCCACCTGAACCTTCATGTTCTTACTTCGTTTTGTGATGAGAGTCTGTGTGGCCAGGACGTGCTCGACTTCACTGGTACCGATACCGAATGCGAGAGCGCCAAACGCGCCATGTGTGGAAGTGTGGCTATCACCGCAGACCACTGTTGTGCCGGGGAGGGTGAAGCCCTGCTCAGGGCCAATGATGTGCACAATACCCTGCCTCTTGTCGTCCATACCAAAGTATGTGAGGTCAAATGCCTTGACATTGTCCTCTAGGGTCATAACCTGTGTCCGCGAATCGGCTTCATCGATGAACTTCTCAGTGGTTGTGAGGTTTTTCCGCGAGGCCGTGGGGATGTTCTGGAAACCGTTAGTCTGCGGCCACGCGCGGGCAGACTCAGTGGGCAAAAACATACGTGATCGACTGTGGCAAGAGTGCAATCAGGTCTTCGCACTTTACGGCTGGCATTGCGGAGGCCCTCGAAAGCTTGCTACGGCCATTGTTAGCTGTTGCGCCTGAAGGTGCGTATTCCGATGGTAGCCCTACTGGTGATGTCACTTCGTGAACAAGATGCCTGTCTGCGAGCTTTTAGCAAGTAAACCCAGGAACAATGATCGCAAACAACATACCAATGTAGAGCAGAACTGTGCCATCTTCCTTCTCCTCGACAATGTGGTCCTCAAAGACCTTGTCGTACAGGGTCTGTGGGGGTTTCACTGCAGACGGCATGGCGAATGTGTGAGATTTGTGGGTATAAGATGTAATTGGGGGTATAGTGGTGCAAAAGCAAGGTGAAGCCTCAGTGGAAGTGTGAGAGGTACAAGCAAGGGCAGTGTCTGGGCTACTAAAAGCGAAGGTCGTGACACTCAAATAGCTGATGGCAAAGTAGGATCCAGAAATGATCCGCCGATATCGGAGGTGAGGGCGGCCACGGCCGAGTATCGAATCACAGAGCCGCTGATTGATGGCTTTCGCGGTCCGTTCTCGGCAGATGCGCGCAGTCACCAGCGAGCTGTGCACGACGCGGTCACGATAGGCGTGCGATATCTGGCGATTGTTGCTTGATTCTGCAGGCCGAAGCTAGCAGACCTTGCTGGAATTTGTCCTCCTGCAGAAACCGTGTGCTTGTGCCGAAGAGCTTCGAGATTATTTCCGTCTGCGATGACGAAGTTCGTGATGACAGCTGAAAGTGCCCCGCCCCGCCCCGCATCTCAGACTGCACCGCCTCGCCGTCAGTCATCACTTCCATCGAGCCTCCGATTCGCCCTCCGCGACATGGCAAAGCTCATGCATCTCACCACTCGCATGCACATTTGCCTGCCGACCGCGCCTGTGCGATTGATCCGTGGTCCGTGTTGTGTGGAATTGTTGTATTACACAAAAGATGTCGACGATCCTCTAATTTCCCGCAATCAATGCAGAATGTGTGGCCATGCAGATGCTCTTACATGCTTTGCTTTACCAATTGTCCGCCGTGAAGATGAGCAGTGCCATGCGATGTCGAACAAATAATCCCAATACTCCGACTGCGAACTGAAACGCCAATAACTCCAACGCCAGCCGATCCTCCCGCATGGGACCGAACCTCACCAACCACAGATTGATTAGCGTGAAGTTGGAGGATGAGAGCACCTGCCCCTGCTCATCAACCTCAAGATCAAGCAACCGAAGCCGGTGCAGCACCTTGAGGCTCTCCGCTATCGGTTGTCGTAGAGGCCTCTGAAACTGTACGCGCGAGGGCTCGAGTAGACCTGTCCGTGCATTGAAATGTGGAAGCCGATGTCGGGGACACGGTATGATGTGGAACAACTGAGGAGCCGAGTACACAAAGTTGAACGCTTGCGGCAGGAGCAACAGGATTAGCGTCTTACTGAAGTGCCCTAGAATAGCAACCACTGCAAAAACCATGCCGGCAAAGTAGCAGTAAGTATCGCCTACAAATACCTTGGCAGGGTACCAGTTGTGCTTCAGTAGTGCTACTGATACTCCGATGAAAGGTAGCAGGAAGTACAGTGAGAAGAGATGCGAGTCTGTTGCCGGATGCGGGTAAGTCGTGAAAGGTGACAAATAGAGCATATCGTTGCCGGCTATAAGCACTGCAATGACGATCGACTGAGCGACTTCGATGCCGTTGATGCCTGCGAGAATGTTGATGCTATTCGAGGAGAAGATGGACAACAGTGCCATGTATACGTAGTATAGCCAGCCTGGAATGCGGTCAGCTTTACACAGAACGACGAGAAAATCTAACGCGACTTACCTAGGTCAAATAGCTCGCCCAAGTACGGTCGCAGAGGGAGAGGAACGACCATCTGCGTGACGCCAAAGTCCACAAAGTAGACGACAAGCATCGGTATGGACGCAACGGCCGGGATCAGGACCTTGTGTCGCCATCTAATGTCGAACAGATCGTCGCCAATTCCGAGTAGAACGATACATTGCAACGAAAGGATAGCTCCGAGGAAAGATGCAAGTTTATTGTGAGGGAACCTGTGAAGGAGTCGTCCTGTTTCAACCTCTTCTAGCTCTTTGATGACGTCTCGGTTACCTCCACCTGATGTTGCAACAACGATGTCCTTGTAGAACGGCCAAGGAATGAAAAAGATCACGATGAACAGGTACACCATAGCACACACTGCGCCCATGGTCTCAGGACTATTATTATCAGCCCGATGCTCGCTTGGATGCGTGTTGTTGCACTCACATTTCGGACTTCTTCACCTTGCAAAGGTCCTTCCCTTTGAACCCACGTCGAATGAACGCATCTCCAAGCCATCGTATCAATGCATAGCATGCCGCAAACGCGAGTGCACTGAATGCTATCGATGCAATGAGCGGTTCACCCTCACCTCGAAAGGTGTTCGCCAAGACCGCAATGCTTGCCCATGAGAGCGCTACAAGTGAGATGGTCTCAGTCGTAGTCAGCGCCGTCGATGTTGACATCTTGTTCCAGACTCTTATTTTTGGGATAGTGATGGGAAGCTAGGCACCCAGATGAGGTGGTTGTTACGAAGGTCACCGTCCGTAGCATCCGCTGAGGTGAACGTGAATTGACACAAATGCGGTAAGGTTCAACTCAACAACGGCACGATTGTAGTCGGCGCGGTGTGAAGCTTTTCTTTACTTTTAAACGACTGTGCAGGGTGCAGCAAAGACGTGCATAAACTTTGACCGATCGACAGCGGGCGAACGCCCTACGAATGCAGGGAGAAGCAGGAACAACAAAGGAAGGAGCGGCGAGCGACGAATTGCGCGTGTTGTTTCTGAACCGAACTTGGAGTCTTTGTGTTGTTGAAAGGCCACGTTCAAGAGTCGTGCCTGCCCCGGCTGGTTCCTGCTCTAGCCCCAAACGAGAGAAGGCTCATTCGAGACGCGCAGCCTCCATGGACCTCAACGCCCCAGCACAGCATTCACGATCCGATACTGTTCAGCTTCTAGACGCTGTGACACGTCGTCTTGCGCGTCCGGCTTTTCTCTCTAGCATCACGCCGTCGAGGCTGCCATCGCAGGCTGCGAGCGATGCGTCTCTGAGCCCCACACGCGACGAAGCACGGTTGCACTCTGGCCCGCTGTCCAACCATCGTCATTCTCATCTCAACCTCGCAGTAACTGTCGAGGATGCGCTTGAACACGCTGACCTCGTCTCACCGCTGATTCAGGAGCCTTGTGCTGACGGCAGCTCACCCAGCGTTGACCAGCGCGTCCTCAAGCACCTGGAACAGGACTTCATTGGAGCGCGTCACGCGTACGCAAAGATGGCCTCAGAACGCAACTTCACGACTTTCTCTCACGGCCATCAGGATCTTGTACTTGCCGTTGACTTCAACTACTTCGGCACACGCATGGTGACTGCGAGCTCGGACCATCGCCTAAAAGTTTGGGACAAGAAGGACGAGTCTTGGTCGCTTGTTGAGAGCTGGAAGGCACACGATGCTGAGATCATCGACGTAAGTACCATTGGATGCGTGCGTCAGACTTTTGAAGTCCAGAGGATATTTTGATCACCACGGCCTGCACGTTAACATCCCCTGTGCACTCGACACCATCAAATCTGACATGAATGCTGACACAGCGCAGGCCAAGTGGAATGGTCCCTTCATGGGCGAGGTTGTGGGTAGCATTGGCGAAGACGGACGCTGTAAGCTCTGGCAGGAGGATGCTACCGAGGTGCCTCTGTCAGGAAATCGCTTCAAGCTCATTGCGAACCTGGTGTCAACTGGCCACGCTCCATTCATGTCCCTGGACTTCAAGAACATCATGCAAGAGACTTGGCTTGCGTTGATCACCCGCGATGGTCGTCTGACTATCTATGAACCTTCTGATCAGAGTAGTCTGAACGAATGGACAATACTGGCAGAGCGTTCTGTTTCCGAAGACAACCCTCCGGATCGCCAGGATGAAGTAGGTTTCAAGGTCGTGTTTCACAAAGAGAAGCTGCCATGCTGGACAGCGATCATGGCCGGCTTGGACCGTAAATCACTTTCACTTGCTGTTGCTGCGATGAAGGATGTGTTGATCTTTAGGACTGACAAGGCCAAGCGTTTCTTTCAGGTGGCTAAGCTAGAAGGCTCTCGACAGATCATTCGCGATCTGGCTTGGGCCAACGGATCTATGCGAGGCTACGACGTACTTGCAACGGCAAGCAAGGATGGTGCTATCCGCATCTACGAGCTCTCAACGCCTAGCTCAGGCAAAGGTGCCGCTGCTGGATCATCGGCTGCTGCTGCAACCTTCACGCCCGTCGAATCGCCTCGCACAGACCCTCGCAGCAATGCTCCTTCTGGTATAGGAGCCGGACTGGCCGGTGCATCAAAGAGCTCTGAAATGCCACGTGAGAACGAACAACACCCCGGACGGATCACGCAGCTGGCGAAGCTCACAGATGAGCTTACGAACCATCACGGAGCAGTCTGGCGAGTGGCATTCTCGCAAATGGGTAGGTAGTACCCCACTACCTTCTACGCATCTTCTGATCCTCTTCACAGGTGATTTGCTTGTCTCAACAGGCGACGACGCTTCGATTCGCACTTGGAAGAAAGCTGTGAACGGACGATGGGCAGAGTATGCCGAGATCGAAACTGCACGCGAGAACTAGTGTCCTTTCTGCGCAAGAATCATCCGCGCCTGATTTCGCTGCGCATGTTCATTTGACTGATGAGGATAAGAGATGGGAGTATAGGCGTTCTGAGGATCCTGGCAAGGAGTCATAGCTCTATAGAGGAGCAGGGCCACACTCAAGAAACACCTCGCATGGGTGTTGTACGACGTTGCAGATGCTCCAGGCCAGACGCCTATAGTGACAGCAACTGCTACGTCACTGTTGATAGAATTATAAACTTATGATTTACGTAGGTCGCGTGCCCAGCTGCGGATACTCGTTCAGATATAGTGGTCGCCGTTGCGTGATGTTCGTGAACGTTCGCGCGACACATTCCTCCCCAACGCCATCCACGATACATTCCGTTCCGGCCTTCTACCACCTCTGACCTCACACGCCCTCCTAAAAGCTACCTTAAGCCTCAGCAAGCATGTCAGAGCCAGATTGTACTCCAGGTCTTCTTGCGCACTTACCGTATTTGACCACTCATCCATTACACATCGCCATACTCTAAGCTGACGTCTCTGGAAGATCCACACACAACAACACATAGATCACTTTGGGTGAATAAGGGTTATTTGTCAGCTGGAGGTATCCTTTCGCACACTTGCCCTTTGAAAATCAGAGACGACTTGTGGTCATCTTTCTTTTAGGACACAACACGAAGCCACCGTTCGCCGAAAGCGATGATCTTTGTGGTGGTATTGTAACGTATACACGATATTGTCAATGCCGAGGCTGTACATGTGATCTTTGGGGAGGGAGCATGACGCCTTCTATGCTTGTGGACATTGGTGAGATCTGAGCTGACTGGAGAATACTGCTAGGTGCCTTTCGTTGGTGTCTGTGTGGTAGAGTGGTTGCTTTTCGCTCCAGCTGCATGTGTATGTGTATTACCAAACTCTTGAAAGCAGAGTAACATTGCGAAAAATCATTTTTAGGTCACCAATTGAAATCACCATTTAAAACAACCGGCAAAAGATTTCACACCTCTTACTCTCTTGAATCCCGAAATGAAGAGACAGCTTTTAAGGAAATGGTGTCAGTGATTTGAGGTAAAGTGAAAAGGGGGATTGGTCCAACAAGAATCAACATTATAAAGTTGCTATCATTCCAAGTTTTCATCAGTCAAATCAAACACAAGCGCGCTCTTCACAGGCGCTCAACTCCGCTTGGTGTAGTTGGTTTATCACGTTCGACTGTAATAGCAATTGTTATCGAAAGGTCCCTAGTTCGATTCTGGGAGCGGAGATGTTTTTTTGCAGCCGTGCTGTCATCGAGCTTTCTGAAAGAGAGCTCAAGACAGCCTTTTTTGGTGGGGCAAAGCGTTCCCACAGGCGCACAAATCTGCTTGGTGCACTTCATTTATCACGTTCGACTATAAAAGCAATTGTTATCGAAGGCCCCAGGGCGGCCTCTTTGATTGATTGATTGATTTAACGTCCTATCTGTGTCTAAGACTATGGAAGACGAGAGAGGCAGTAGCCCCTCTGGTAATGCAAAGATTTAGTTACAAGAGAGTGAAGTCAATAGAGGTATAAGGGATGGTGAGGGCTCAGGCCCAGAAGGGCGGCCTCATGGGCCGCTGTCTTTTTAACTGGCGATAGAGTCAACATGAAACTGTACAAAATGAACCTGCAACCGAGCAGCTTGTTGCTGTGCTGCGGTCCAGGCCGTTATTTTTGCTAGGCAATGTGGGGCGGTGGGGCTAAAGAGCACGGCTGCATGTCCACATGTCCGCATCGAGAGATACATAGCTGCACGAAGCGGGTCCTCATCCACAAGACAGATTGCATGTTGCGAATAAATTGGAAGTCGTTGCATTGCGGGGTTCAGTCGACTCGACAGTGTTGCTCTGTAACATCGTTATTGCCTGAGATATAGAGTGCTGCTATTCTAAATTCTTCATGAAATCGAATGACACGGTTTAAACCGGCCCGATGGCGCAATGGTAGCGCGTCAGATTCCAGTTAAGGTGTCTCCTGAAGGTTAGGCGTTCAAATCGCCTTCGGGTCATTCTCTTTTTGCTTTCACCTGCTCAGCGGCCATTGCCAATGAGTTCTCTTTTTGCTGGAGACAATTTCGTTCCCCGCCTTCGGAGGATGATGTGTGCGGTTACTTTCTATAGGATCCGTCACGCGTGTTATTGTTTGCTTTTTGAACAAGTTGTACGCTACCCAAAAGAGCCGAAGACGACAGCTTTGCCAGATGAATTGTCATCTTGTACCATAGACTTCTCGAGCATAAGTAGGAGGTACGATGTTCGTATCAGAAGCTCTGTCATGCATGTCAGCGACTGGTCACGCGAGCGGCGCAGCGCTGAAACTTACCATCATATTCGATATCGTAGCTGACCGGCAAGTCTTCGTCGTTCCTAACAAGAATTGGAGCGTCTTTGCGCAACTTCCTTTCCTTCACAGTGAAGCGTATTCCTGTGTTCTTCGCTTTGCTGACCCACAGTATGCGCCCATCATTAGGATCGAGGTTCTCCTCTACGACCTCGCGCACGACTTCTCTTCCTTTGCCAACCTCTTCAACATTCTCCTTTTGTATGTCTGCACTAGTACTGTTGTCCCTGGCGGCTGTATCGCTGAGCCATTTCCTCCAGACCCTCAGTACACCTTCCTCAACGTCAACGAAGGCGCTGAAGAGGCCGTTGTAGGGTCCAACCTTGACCAAGTTGGTCTGAGCGACGAGTTGCGTAAACAGCTCATGCCCATCTAGACTGACGGTCTGCTTAACAAGCTCGCCTTTGAACTTGTCTTGAGCAGTGCCAGGGTAGGTACGGCTGCCAGGTATGTCGCCAGGTCGGCGAACAACTCTGCGCCCACCATCCTCAAGCTCTCGTCGATATGGGCGAAACCGGGAGTACATTTGGCGCATCTCCCCTAATCTGGCAGTGATGGCTCGATCGGGCTCAGAGGGGTTCTCGTACAGCGACAGGCCATCGGTGCCCCGGTATGCACAGAAGTAAGGAGGTTCTGTGAGCTTCGCGGAGGGATGATAGCACTCAAGCAGCAGTGAGTGCGAATCGAGTTTGGCGGCGGCGACGAGACGGTTGTGCAATATTCGAAGGATGATGTTATAGATGCGATGGGAAAGCACGGTCAAGGGAAGGAGCTCAGGTGTCGGTAGTGGCACGAACAAGTGCAAAAGCAGCTGTGTAACACAAATATTAGCAGGCGTCAAGTGGAAATTTGGTCTATACAACATGCCTCGTTTGGTAGGTTATAAAGGTGGCACCGAGACATATTCATGCTCTGATCTTCGCTTGCAGTTTGAAACGTGCAGTCAAAAGTGAAGACTGATAGTTTAAATCGAACAAGGGTGAAGGGAAGCCAACGGAGATAAGATATCGTCATCGCTCATTGCGACTTCTGGGGAATGATGTCCGAGGCGATACTGTATCCGGTTAGTGCCAAATATGACCGCGCTTGCCAATCCCGGCTTTACCTCACCTTTTAGCTCTCACATCTTGACACCAAAACGCGTGACATCAGCCAAAGGCTGCTTCTTGACGTTCGAAACACGCGACGGAGTGTAGACGCTATGTCAGCACTGCAGAACTTCGTCAAAGGTAGCCGCAATGGCCGACCAGGCAGTCCTCAGAACGGGCAGCCAGTCAACCGACAGGCCATCGCAGCAAATGCGAGAGTTCAGATGAAGCCAGGCGTCGCTCGACCGCCCACAGCACAAGGACTCCATGCACGCGGCGAGAGCGTCGCTCAGCATCAATCTGCCTCTCTGCAACCACAGCACCTGCAGCGACGACCTTCAGGTGAAGGTCGAAAACGTGATCCTTGGGAGACTGACGCTGAAAGCAGCATTGATACAACAGTCAATCAATCGGGTGTTGAAGTCGAGAACAGTCCGCAGGTTGACCAGCAGCTGTTACAGCCTGACAACGAAGAGTCTGAGACTGGTGGTGACGAAGAAGCTTCTGGTGAAGATGAGTTCGATGAGGAAGAGGAGCCCGAAATTGACGAGACGCTGAACGAGTACCTTGCCCAACACAACATGGCTCATGCCAGCCATGAAGAGCGCATGCGGTTCTTGCAAGAAACTCAACCACAGCTCTTTCGCACAATCGACGGTGACTCATACCCTACAACAACTGATGGTAATCCTACAGAGTTGGATGAGCAGCAGGAGCCACTCTTCGAGGACCTCGGTTCGCCATCGCCCTCTCCACAACGCCTTCCTCAACACGGAACAAACGCACCGTTATTCAATCAGCAGCCTCTGCAGCGAAACTCGGCATCAGATGTACCACATGCCAATACTGCCATGCCCCAGAACTCCAAACTTTGGCGACAGGGTGCGCAGATTCGTGGACAACAACGCACTGACGGTGCTGTACATGTTCGTGGACAATCAGGCCAACAGCATAAGACAGCCCTTCCACCAACAAGCCGACCAGCCACGTACAGCCAGGTCAGCCGCGAGCAAGGATTGGCTGCACCTCCAACCGCTCATCCTCGACCTGAGGTCGTCATTCAAGGTGATTCGGGCGGTCTTCCGCAACGATCCTCAAGGTTGCCAACGGGACCACGACGTATTCAGAACCCAGTTCCAAAGATCACGGAGCCCGCAGCTATCTCGAAGCACGCTTCGACGGCCCGTGCTAAGGTAGTACCTATTGTCCAGCAGCATGTCGAACCTGCTCCGATCGAAGAGCCTCCGACCCTTCCGGACGGCGACTACAATCCAGATGTCCTCTTCAAAATGGACTACGACCAGCTAAGAGACGAGAGCTTTGACAGGAATCCACATGAGGCCGACCCTGTTCTGCCTGAAGATATGCGCGACAAGTCTTTGGACGAGCGTTTGCTCTTCGCGCAACACAAGCTTGACCCTGCCGCCCAATTTGAGTTCTTCAGTGCGCTTCCGACCAACGAGTGGGAGGATGCGGGTGATTGGTTCCTCGATCAATTCAGCGCTATCATCAAGAGAACTAGAGAAGCACGACAGAAGAAGCGGAAGGCCGCTCGGGATTTTGAGCAGCAGATCGAGGAGCGCCACAAACACGTTGCGAAGAAGCAGCGCCTTGTTGAGGGTGCCATGGCCAAGATGAAGGCGCAGGGCGAGGGGTTGGTGCCGAAGAGCCCAAGGGCATCCAAGAGTCCTCGACCGAGGAGGGGCTAAGAGACATGATGCGTCATCAAAAGACATCGTTTTCATCCATGAGGAAGACTGTAAGGCTGTGAAAGGAGGAGCGTTGCATCATGCAAGAGCAGCATCACTTTCAGAGATGCGGTTATCGCAGTGTCAATGTTGTTGGGCCGCATCTGTTCTATACCCGTATGTCCATGTGTTTGCCAGTAGGCTTGAGAGATTCACATTCTGTTCACTTGTCAGCCGTTTACCTTTCGAATACACAGCATGCAGCGGAGTACTGCTCGTCCCAGGAGTCTAGGCACGGAACGCGACATCGGTTCGCTTCCGTGAAAAGGTGGTTATGCCTGCCCTTCTATTGGTGCACCCGCACAACCATCACGAACGCCTTCGCTTTTCCTCGTACAAACCCCTGTGTTCCGGTTACCTGTACCCCTTTCAGCGATGCATGTCGCCAACCAGAGGTCGAGAGTCTTCGATATGCAGCCACAAAGGTTGCGTTCAGTGCGGCTGAAGCCCTGCACGGCCTCGACTCCGTCCACCACTTTCAGATTAAGTTCGATCTGACGCGCCAGTACGCCTTCCTTGGCCTCAATCCTCTTTCTCTGCTAATTCGAGTACCTTGGGGTCGATTTCAATCATGAACACCGAAGTAGCAGTATCCAATGGCGATGTGCGCATTCAGACCGAGCAACAACGGGCCGGCGACAGACAGAGGCCAGTGATGTTATGCAAACCTTTGGTTTTTGAGAAGATGCAGTAGTATCGGAAAGCCTGCAGCGCAAGCCCGAGTTGAGGATGAGGACGAGCTCGACCTTGCCGGCGACCTTCCTCCTAGGCCATGATGACTTTCTTCAGTCCCGCCCCTTCAAGACCAAAATTGGACAGCTATAGCAGCTCTCGCCGAAGCCTGGGATCAGCTCATGGAACAGTCGTCAGCGGTCCATCGTCTATTGGTACTCCACTCAGTTTTCACACAGCTCGATCTTCTGCTATGTCATATTTCACCGCCAGCCTCGTGATATTGGAAGACCGCTTAGCATGGCTGACAGACACGACTCAGAATGGGGTCACCCCGAATGGGAACAACAAGCCTACAATTCTCAAAAATACAGATCGATGGCTACAGACAGTGCCAACCATCGAAGATCCAAAGAAGCTGAAACAAGCATACTTTCAATACGTCCGCGATGCGATGTAAAGAAGCGAAAAGGTCAGGGACGCTATCATATCACGAGTACTGGCAAAAGGTCCGGTGTTCAGTAGTGAGTGGATGAAACATCTGGAAGCCCGTGGAATCCTCACCAACGAACTCAATTGGTCCGGACGTGGTGAACACGTGGAGTATACCTTGCGAGACGAAAGCAAGGTCCCACTCAGATCAGAAAAAGCCCTTGGACGTGACCAGTCCGCAATTGTGGAGTGCGTAAGGTGCCGCCGAGTACGACTAGTGCAAAAGACGATTTTCTTGTCGCCTTCCACAAAGAAGACAGGCGATCCCCGAGGTTGAGCATTTGGACAAGCTGCGCCATTCACACGTCATTGAGAGACGCCTGGTCATCTTGTTGTATCCCGTAGCACAGTGGAATCTTGCGGAGTTTACGGACGAGATGAACAAGCGAAGCAGTTCGCTGAGAGCCAACCTAAGCGAAGACTTCTCCAACAGTCCGAAGGCACAGGGTTAGATCGGTACAGAGGCCCTCACAACATTTTTCGGCTACATTTCGAATGCGGTCTCATTCATACATGCCCACAATATCAGGCATATGGACTTCAAACCAAGCAATTTACTGGTTCGACCCACCAACATGGAGAACGACTGTTTTCCCTACCTACAAGATATACGTGGCAGATTTTGGGATTGATCGAGCTTACAAGTCTGCTGCAGAGTCCGAGACTGACCCAAGAATTTCCTTGTTCACTCCCTGTTGTACGGCGCCTGAAGTCGTAGAACAAGAGAGGAGAGGCTTCAGTTCCCACATCTTCTCTTTCGGCTGTGTGTTTGTGGAGATGATGGCTACAATACTATCGTCTTCGGTCTATGACGAGTGGAAGAGGCTCAGGATGCTGTTCCGCAACTGCGTTGGCAGCAGTGAGTCACCAGCGTTCCCCTATTACATGAACATCGAGGAGATCTGTTAATGGCTTGGAGAAGCTTGTGAGCGAAGTGCCAGGAACAACCGCTGGCATCAAGTATTGAGAAGGATCGATACAAAGTTTTTGGACCTGCTTCCAAAGATGTTACATTCCAAGCCCGAGCATCGTCCCACTGCAGGAGAGCTTAAAGAAGCCACTCGCTCATTGCAACGTGCGCACTGAATACTGGTCCTGAGCCCTCCGAGGCCGCAGAGACGACTACGTACTAATGCGAAAACGTCACCTCATCCGGAAGTGTTGCTTACACATGTTTTCACGCCAAGAATGACTTTGCGAAGGGGATCGATATGGCAAGCCAGCTCAACACTAGACTCAGGCTTATGTCTTCACTCAGATTAGGGCAATGATTTGACAGAATAAAGGTCTTGTAGGCTTGTGCCTAATCTTGGGCTGGCAACAATTAGATGAAGCATTAGCCACCCACAAAATCTAGACACGCAGAGTATCAAGCATCTTCGCACTCAAAATCCCTGTCTTCCTCAGAAGCATATGCCCCTTCATCGTCTGAGTCGCAAAAGCGGTCGCGAATGTTGTTCGGATCGTAGTCTGGACGGTGTTCTTGGGAGTACTCCCTGTCTTGAAGATCGATTTGGCTCTCCTGCGGTAAACTGCATTAGCACCTGTACTGTGTATGGCTCGACTGTCTCTGTACGCATGTTCTCAAGAGAGCCTATCAGCTCCCTCAACCAATTTAAAGTATGCCACTTTGCTCCAGCCCAGTCTGTCATGGGTCTCTCGATCTTACTGCCGTAGCCGGAGTGTTTCACGCGATAGACCCAGACGGTTGTGACTTTTGCGCCGCCAGGCTCGAACGCTTCTACGACAGGCGCTAGCCTTCACATTATGTCGACTAGTAAGCGAGCCCGTATGCGCGTCTGCTCCAGCCTGATCTCCAGCTCGAATCCCCTTTTCCTAACAACTTGCAAGAGTGATCTGAAGGTCATATCTAGATAATATTGCAGTGAAAGGTCCGAGTTGAAAGCATTTGGGCGTGCAACACCACAATGTCCAAATCATATGGATTGATTGTAGTCACCAAAATACTTCTTGCATGAGCAGACGCTCCACGGTATGGCCGAGACGTTCGACACTCCTATTCTGTGCAAGCAGATCTTGAATGTCGGTACGCCAATTGATGAATTGAAGCCCAGCTCCATCGTGATACGAAATAGGCTTTAGACAGTGCTTTGGCGGTACGTGGGTGTGGCTTCCCTTAGCGCGAACGGCCCCCTTCCCCACTTGCGATCGAGGAAGCGTTTGGTTTCTCAAACTTCCAAGTGCAACAACAGACTTTGGCAAAGTTGTATGCACGAACATACCTATGCATTGATATTGTACTGGAAGTTTCAGTCGCTTTACTACCAGTTCAACTCAACGAGGAAGCTTTGCAGAAGATCATTCCGTTCTCCATCCTCCATTCTGTCAATGAAAACCTCTGCCTCATCCCGAAAACGGTTTGTGTTCTATTCGGGCGCGAGTGCCCTGCTTGAAAGTTCCATTGACGGAACCATACGCTCGGTGCAAAACGTGCTTGTAGTCCTCAGGTGATAGCATGATGTACTCGGCATTGCGACTGCGACTGTCAATTCCTTCCAAAGTAATCTTGACCTAGTTTTAATTGACACTTCATATCATCATCACCGTCTTCCTCAGGGAATGAGAAGAAGCTTGACACAGGGCCTCCAGGAAGATCTTCTTCAAGTTATTCTTGGTGGTAAGCCCAGACCCTGGAAGTATGCTGTTCAAACAGTCAGCATTGTGAGGCCAAGTGATTGATCGGGGCAAAGGGGGGGGGGGGGGGGGGGGGGGGCGAACTCACTTTGTTCAGCAACTGCAGCACATCTTCTTTGCAGTTGACGCTGGGAATCCTGATATAGTTGACCAAGACAGGTGAAGATGATTTTCGGTCTCTTGCTCGTCCCATGCCCCTTTGTAAGACTAATCGATGGAGATTTGTCCGCCGGCGGACTCGAACTCTCGGAGGACTGGCCTCAGGATATGGAACAGCTTAGACCAGTCGTTGAGCCTATGCGGTACTAGAAGACCTCGATATTCAGTCTGAAGGTCCGCTTCTTTTCGATACATCTAAGCATGTCGAGTTTTGCACCGAGCTCGGTCATGAATACAGGCGACACTTCACTATTTAGTAGCTTATGGGCCGCCCTAGTTCCAGTGATTAGCAGATTGCAAGAGGTAGCTGAAGATCTAGTTTCTGGAGTACAGTCGCTGGATTCAGTTCAACGTTGAACACGCCTTCGTCAAGGAACCTTTCGAAGTCGGAGAGATTGGAGACGTAGAAATCATGTGGTGATTTTCCAGGGGGTTGCGTAGAATGCTTCTACGGCCTCCCGAGCCACCACAGATCCCACATGCTCTGGGCCCCCAATAAAGGGCACCTTGTCGTGCTCTGTGGTATGCGTCATTTTGATGTCATGCAGCTTAACGTCCATTGTGCGGTAAGCCGATGGCGACTCTTTCCAGAACTGTACGTATATCATGTCGCGAAGCTCTTGAGGCAGACGCGCAGGTAATCGGAGTAGTTGCGGTGGCATCTTTGCAGTGTAGGTGGAGTTCTACGTGGCACAGTAGGGTTCATTGACAGGATCCAAAGTAATATTGTTGTTCCGTGTGAGCGAACTGCTCGTGGTACCGCAGCAGAGAGGCACAAGACTACTCACGAGTAGAACATATCTAGTTTTTGAGAACGGTAAGCATTGAAAATTCATGATTCAGTTCGCGTAATTCGTCATTGAGCTCGGTCAGTCTGGATTGAAAGCTGCGGGTCATCAGCTTAGGCTCCAAGTGACTAAGGAGAGTTCCAGCGTGCATACTTCATTGTCGTGGAGTGTAGGGAGCACTAGGAGGGGAAGAATGGAACACGGTTTGCGGCGCCACACGCTGCTCTCAGATAGCAGGAACAGCCGGCTATTGTTCGTCAGAACTGAGGGAGATAGTCAGCATAGAACTGCACGCTGTCCGTGACTATGCAAAGTTCTACAAGACTACAACGCTGCGTGCAGTTAGCTAAAAAGATCTATTTTGAGGCTGGTCGCCATGACGGTAGTTGGCTTTATCTCCAACGCAAGAAGTGTTGCAGAGAGATCTTACAAATGATTGAAACATGCTAAATCACTCGAAAAACTACACACAGATATGCTACTTATAGCTTCGACTTGGATACGATGTACCCATTGGTGGTCTGCAGCCACTTGACGGCATCCCCGACCAGCTCATCAATGATCTCCCTTGCGTTCTTCCTCTCGTTGACAACAGCAGCAACCTTGCCCATCAAGAACGGTCGCGCATTGTCCATTGTGTCATCATCAAGGTCATCACCCAGCTTCTCAAGGTCGTGCTCAACAGGCAAGATGCCTTTGCTGGTCAGCTCCTTGATCTCAGCCGCTCTGTTCTCTTCCCAATTTGCAATGTATGGGTTTGTGCGGACACGGAGGGGTCGTCCTGTGAAGATGATTGTGCGAACGTTGTCGTCGAAGCCAGCTGTGCGAACGGCTTCCTGGTGAGCCTTGGGGGCGCCAGCCTCTTCAGAGAGGACGAAGCGGGTACCAACCCATACACCAGTGGCACCGAAGTTGAGCATGGCAGCGACCGACTGGCCGTTGAAGATACCACCAGCAGCAACGATCTGCACCTGCTCACCGGTGAGAGGCGACTTGTGACCCTCGACCATCTTGACTGCCGCAGGGATGAAGACAGATGTTGGTGTGTCGCCAGTGTGTCCACCACCCTCACCACCCTGTGCGCAGATAATGTCGACGCCGAGATCGAGGCACTTCTTGATGTGCTTGGGGTGACCGATCATGTTCATGTACAGAATGCCATGCTTGTGCAGCTTCTCAACGACGGCCTTGGGAGGTACGCCGACGGCGGAGACGAAGAGCTTGGCGCCAGAGTCGATGATAATGTCGACGAGCTCGTTCAGCTTGCCCTTTGTGTAGTCGTAGCTATTGTGTGTCAAAACAACTCGCCTCAAGAAAATACCATATGCACTTACTTGGTCTTGCGAGCGCTACCACCAACCTGAGGGAGCAAAAGATCGATACCGAACGGCGCATTCTTGTCGTTCAGATAGCCCTTGAGCTCGGCGATCTGTTCTCGCAGCATGTCAGGTGTGTAACCGACACCACCAATGACACCAAGACCTCCAGCGTTGGTGACAGCAGCAGCGAGCTTAGGGCCAGCAGCCACGTTCATGCCAGCGAGCAGAACGGGGTGCTTGATCTTGAGCAGATCAGTGAGCTTCGTGCGGAGTTGCTCTGCGGCACGTCAGCAGTCAAACGTGAGTGGTGTGAAGCAGATACGTACGTGGAGAAGACATTTTGACTGTACGGTTGATGATTTCGGGATATGTAGTGGTACAAGGTCTGTAGAGAAACAGCTGAAAAGGAAATGAAGAGGAAGGAGGAGCACGGGAACTTATGGGGTGAGGAGTATGTCGATTCTCCAGCGCATTCAAGCCGGATACCGAGGCACAACATCAAGTGGAGGGCGCTAGGCCGTATTGGTCAGGATCTGGGGTAGCGTGCCGCCAGTGGCCGGGCACTACAATTTTCACCGAACACCCGGCTGCGTCACATGCAAATGATCCGGCATCACGAGCGCTCCAGGCTTTAGTGATCATGTCCTGCACCGCAGAGTTGCGCGCATTGAGCTCGTTGAGACGCTTGCGACCAAATTCGAGGTCTTCGTACAATGTCGTCACATCACGAGCAACGCCAAAATGCACACAATATCCGACATGCTATTCAACCCTGAGCTTACGCCCGGCAGCATCAACTCAGAAACCTCTCGCAAGCTCGAGACACAGCCGAACGCAAGATGTACGGTTCATATCGCAGGTTGCTAGCAAGAAGAAGCATCGTGCTTATGTGGCATTGGGAAGCAACATGGGTGATAGAGTGGCTATGATCGAGCAGGCATGCAAATATATGGAAGCTGGTGGCAAGATCAAGATCCTACGTACTAGCAGTTTGTGGGAGACCAAGGCTATGTATGTGGTTGATCAAAACATGTTTGTGAATGGTGCATGTGAGGTACGTCACATCGGCCCAAACCACGCTCCAAGTACCCTAACATTTACAGATAGAAACATCACTCTCGCCAACGGAGCTACTGGATGAGCTTCAGGCAGTCGAGAACATCATGGGTCGTGTCAAAGTCATCGACAAAGGGCCCAGGAACATTGACTTAGACATCCTACTGTATGAGGACGTTACAATGAAGAATGAAAGACTGCAACTACCGCACGCTCTGATGCTCGAGAGAGAGTTTGTGCTACGACCACTCTGCGAGTAAGCGCCATACGAACATATGTATGCCACAGACTAAGTAGCTGCAGGTTGATACCAGAGGAAAGCCTGCCTAAGGATGAAGCTCTACCAGCAGGTGCGCTCGAAGAGCATCTATTACGCCTTCCCAGATCGGACGAGCCTATGTCGCCTTTGACACCGCTTGCAGCCGGACAGCCCAATATCACAGCTTATCAGTCGAATCGAGATACGCGTGTCATGTCGATTCTCAACGTCACACCAGACTCGTTTTCTGATGGAGGCAAGAACTTCAACAACAATGAAGCCACGCTTGCGAATACGATCAGATCGCACATCTCAGCTGGAGCCACCATCCTTGACATTGGCGGTCAATCGACCCGGCCTAGCGCTGTCCAAGTCTCAGCGAAGGAAGAGCTTGCCCGTATACTGCCCGCTGTCGACTTGATTAAGCGTTTGCCCGAGGCAAAAAATATTGCAATCAGCATCGATACATATCGCGCCGATGTAGCTGAAGAATCGATCAAAGCTGGCGCGCACATCATCAATGATGTAAGCGCTGGTCTCATGGACGACAAGATGCTCTCCACAATGGGGAAGCTTGGATGCACGGTCTGTCTCATGCACATGCGCGGCACGCCAGAGACCATGACCAAGCTCACTTCGTATCCTGACGGTATCATCGAAGGCGTAGGTCGCGAGCTCCTCGAACGCGTGCGTGCTGCTCAGGCAGCAGGCGTCCGCCGCTGGCGCATTATTCTCGATCCGGGCATTGGCTTTGCAAAGACACAAGAGCAGAATTTGGAGTTGCTCCGACGTCTGCATGAGCTGACGAAGTACCCCGGCTTAGAAGGCTTCCCATGGCTTGTAGGTACGAGCAGGAAGGCCTTCATTGGCAAGATCACCGGCATACAAGAAGCAAAGGACCGAATTTGGGGCACTGCGGCTGCTATTGCAGCGGCCGTAGAAGGTGGCTCTGACATTGTGAGGGTTCATGACGTAGCTGAGATGAGACAGGTTGCTAAGATGGCTGATGCTATCTGGAGAGTGTGAGAACTCTGACTACTTGCCTAAGCGAGTGCCTGCGCAAGCCCATAGTAGATCAAGAGTTGGAAGCCACCGACGTTGCAACGTCAGAAATAGATCAGTACCCTCTTTACCCACCAAGTTTGGCTAGCGCTCAGCCGCACTACCCCAGCTTCCCAGTTCCCCTGCCCTACGCCCCGCCTATCATCATGTGGCTCTGGCATTTAAATGCGATTTACGAGAGCTGCGAACGATCCGATTTGCTGTGTCTAATGGGACGCTTGGGTTAGTAGTCATAAGCGGATTGCGGAGCAACAGTTGACGGCAATGCCTCCACCACCCCAAGCAAACTTGGTCGCGTGAAGCTGCGCCCTTCGTTGAGACCAACACGATGGCTCTTGCCATTGGATGTGGCTTTCTGAGGTTGCATGGAGGTGCTCAACTCTAAACGTGGACTCTGAGTAGGCATTGCAGCCTACGTAGATATAAGATGTATTTTGGAATGCTGAAGAAAATGTATAAAGAGACGCAGAGAGTTCACGGCAGTTCAATATCACAACACCATCAGCTTCTCTCATCATTAGCAGGCAACAACCAACCAAACACATATCCAACACCCTCCCACAACTCTCAACACCACAAACCCACCAAATACCAACAGTCACAATGCATTTCACCACTATCGCCCTTACTACCCTTCTCTCTATAGCCTCAGCCGCCCCGGCGTCCCTCGAGGCCCGTTTCCCTACGGGCAGATACAACAACATCCTCCCACCATCCGCCATCTCCATATACCACGGTCAGAACGGCGCCATTGACTACGGTACCTACCGCGGCGAAGTTTCCCGCAACAACTGGGACGGGCGTGACAACAGCACGCTCGTAACCTTCGACCTCAACGGCCGCACCCTCCCCGATACGTGCTTCCTGCGCTTTTGGCTCGAACCCAACACCCAGTCCTCTGATCCTGAGACTGGCTCTTTCGTGTCTGGCACCGGGCTTATTGACGTATTCTCCAGTCTGCAGCCTGCGCCTAAAGAGGGCAGCAAGGGCTGGGGTGGTCCAGGCAACCAGAGGAATAACCCTCTTGGCAGAGTGAAGGTTAATTTCAATGGTGATGCTACGGTCCTGGATTTTGCGCCCAATCAATTGAACGGGTTTAAGTGCCCGAAGGTTGGAGACTGGAACGTTAAGAATGGACTTGTGGGATATGAGCTTGTGCCTGTTGGTGATGCGGATCGGGTGCAGTGGGATGGTGCGGTTAGTGGGTTGACCTTGAACTGGTAGAGAGTTTGGGACGGAGGTAAGAATGGGTGAGAAGATGGTAATTTGTTTTGTGGTTGAGCTTGCGCTTCAGCGATCTTGGTCCTTACTTCCAGCGTTTGTTGTAGACAGTCCTTATTCAGACGCTACAATCGTTTGCGAAATGTACGGACCCTCCTGAGTTTTGGCACAGTGACTGTACGTACCACAGTATAGCATGCAGGGCACATACGTGAGTGGTTAATTGTCTTAGTGCCCTAATGTATCTCAAGTTCTGCCCTGCATCCTGTCATCCGGATTGTCACCCATCCTATCAACCAGCCTTAGCTAGCCACTTGGAAGCTCTCGCCCACCTGTGACGTATGCTTGATGATATTGAGCCAAAATCCAGGGGCGTTCGTACATTTTGCAAGGCACCGATACTAACCACACTTTGCTCTTCGAAACTATGCGGCTTCATCTTCGATCTCCAGGTTACCAACTTTGAAACTTTCCCCCTCAATATCAGTTTAGTCGTTGTGGTTGTGATGGTTCTTGACTCGCTCCCTCACATACTCCAGACCTCTGACTGGCTTTGCTTCTCTTGATCCTCAGCCACAAGGCCCAAGCGCTTCAGCAACGGCAATGGTGCCGGCTTGATAGCAACATTATTGCCCGGTATTACAAAGTAAAACAGGTATAAGCGGTTGATGTGCGTTCGATCTTCTGGCGGTCTGATAACTCGGTGGATGGTCTGACTTCTGTAACCACATGGTCTGTGTCACATGGTATCCTATCGTAGTAGGTACTGCCCGAGGGCAAGTGCACTTACCTCTAAGCTGAGAGCTCCCGGACAAGAATGTCATGCAATACAACAAGACAAATAGCAATACATCACGTTGAGATACAGCCTCCAATCTACACCGCTCACGCGGTAACAACTTCAGGTATCCGGCAAACCAGAAAGCTAGCGTGTCGCCGACGTTGCGGGTTATGCCGTCGTCGACAGGTGGTACGTACTTCCACTGCGCCCTGGTGGAGTCTTGAGTTGTAGCACGGCGACATTCTGAGACCACAGGAGGGTGAGTGAACCGAAGTCTGTGTGCGCGCGAGACCATGCATTCTCCACATTTGCATCTTCTCCAGCGGGCCGTGGGCGATATATCATATACTGGATGTGGTCTGAACAACATCGCTCAATGGTTCACCGGTCTCGTAATATTGTAATTACCTCCGAAGCGTCCTCATACGAGTGTTGCTTCGAGAAGTAATCCTCTGGAAGCTCAAGACTGATGGAGAAAAGTGTGAGGATCTTCGAAGCGATATCCAACGAACGTCTCGAGAACTCTTGGATCTCCGTCGAAATTGGCGCAGGCAAGGGCGAAAAGGCTCATGTTCGTTAGATGTAATGAACTTGGGATATTGACTGACTCCACGCTGCCGAGGACTTCAGTGCCTATAATCTTCTTCTCGTACGCAGCGCGATAGACAAAGTAGTTTCCGTTGGCGAAGTCGCGTCGATAAGCTGCATCGCCCTTTTCTTCTAATGGAAGATCAAAGTATGCTTGCCCTATGTCGTTTTGACGGACCACCTCTTGTTGTGTGTCCTGTGTCAACAACACTGAGGAACCCCGTGGTGTGAACAGCATCTCTTAGCCCTCCAGCTAGCTCTTGCTTCCCACTAGGCGAATTGAAAGTAATGGGTCAATGATCTTGATATTCTACCCAGTCAAGTATGCCAAGGTCGTTTCCAATTTGGGATGGTAGGTGGTTCCGGGGTTACTGCGGAAGGCATGACCTGTGGCTTGGTTGTTGTTTCCAGCAGGGATGTTATGAGGCCGATTACTTCGAAGAGGATCTAATTGTTTTCGATTCTACATGTGGGCTGTTGCTTTTGGGCCGTGACGTTACGAAGGTGGAGGTCGTGATCTTGGGAGCACACAATCGCTCGCTAAGATTCGTGTTTGCGACTTCGACATCTTCACAACCATCAATCTAGGAAGATGGCATCAGACCTGCTGGTCTTAAACTTCTATCCTATTTCCTTATCGATGCGAGTTCAAATGCGCGACGTTCGATCGGCGTGTTTCTTCGTTGGATTAATCTCTGACGAGCTAGACAAGTAGACCCTCTTCTGTAAGGTGCTTGGTCTGCTTTAGAACGTTGTGATGGTCATTCCAGTATTTGAAGTGATGTCGAACCTGGCACTGTCAGATGACACGTCGATTTTGACGAGTGGCAGACCAGAATTACGGAAATAGGAAGTGACAGAGGAGTACCCACCCACCTTACCTGTTGCGGTGTCTATAACCTTTAGGACCCGAGGGTCAGAATGGTCGGCCTTTTTGTATCGCTGCGGGGCCGCGACATTACCCAAGTGAAATATTGTCTTCCTGTCTAATCTCGATCTGCCTAAAACGCAGAAAGTTGAAACTGAGATGCCTCTAGGTCTGTCCACATGCTGCAGTGTTCGCGCTGTGCTGCAGTGACACGATATTTACGTTGGTTTTTTCGAACGTTGGTTGGCTCAGGAGTGCCAGAACTTCACATTCAATGAAGATAAGTTCTTCCGATACATCGTGTCTTTTGACATGCTATTGTTTGGCTTTCTGTTCGTACTGGCTTGACGGCGGCGTTTTGTAAGACTTCAGTATGCCGTGTAATCTGAGAGCATCACAAGTGTGACATAACCGTAATGGGGTATTAGCCTTTAACATCAACTCACATGAATATCGGCGTTGATCACTAGTACATCTCCGTTTCCACCCACATAAATCTCCTCTGTGATGCGCGCTACGGAGTCGATGTGCCTCTTGTGGCCCTGAGAAAGCTAGAATCCGACCAGTACGTCAGGTGGTCGTACAAAGCATGATTGCAGTCAGTGTTTGTTGGCGAGAGGGCTGCATAGAACTGCCAGGTTGCAGACTGGAAATTCACGTTGTTGTTAAGGTGTGGGCGTCTCTGCCCAGGTCACGGGGTCTGGCAGGTATTTCGCAAACGCCTATAGAGTCACGTCGCGCCTGCCACCTGCAAATCATCTTCCATACACCCATCTACGCACCGCGCTACAGTCACTTCATCTTCTGTTGTCAGCTTGTAACCTTCGTCAGTCAGTACCAATCGATACTCAGTGTAAAACCTGGAAGTCAGTCCTGCAGCCTTCATGGGAACAACACGCGTTTTAAGCACTATGACGTCAGACACTGATGATACTTCTTCTACGATGCTACCTTCCTCTAGGCCGTACCGGTGGAAGAGCTGACAGGCAGCGTGACAGGGGTTGCTGTTACAGACGGTGTAGACGATGCACCTCCACCAGAAGAAGACTTCTGGACTGTGGCCTGAACAACTTGTCCTGCACGATGTGTTACTAGGCGCTAATGAACAGAGCAAGAAGATCGGCAACCTACCGGCTGTGTTCGTAATGATATCGATGAGCGCACTAAGCGGCTCGTAAGAGTAGGTCTTCTGGGTGAGACCCTGGCCAACCTGCTTCACGGTTCCTGCGACTTCCGTCATATTCAACTGCGATAGTTCGTTAGCATATTGTTATCTATTCGAAGGCTCAAAGCTCACCTTATAATTACCGACGATCTGCGAGAGAGTATCGCCGCCGCCTCCGACAACCTCCTGGACGATGTTGCCCAAGTTGTCAACCAAAAAGTTCAGCGTCTTGCCGCTTTGTGTGATGGAACCAATCTACAATCGTCAGCCAGCCTGCCTTTGGATCTCAGCACATCAGACAAGCACTCACCAGACCATCCACTGCGCCAATCACCTCTCCTACCAAGTTCGTCACATTACCAACCAAGCTAAGCAAGAGCGGATTCAGGTCCAGGGAATCGAATACACGCTCAACAATTTCCACTAAGTTGCCCAGTCTGACCACGAGTTCAAGGTTCACATCGACGTCGGCGATGGTGATGTTGACCTTCTCAACCGCAACTGCAACTCCGGCATTGATCTGGACAAGGCCTGCAACTTTGGCGTTAAGGTTGAGGTCCGCTTGCAACTTTTCGACCACAAGTTCAATTCGGCCAACGTGGAGCTCAGGCACCTGCAGAAGGACATCTGGGGCCGTTGAGGTTCTAGAGACACTTGGTGCTGAAGTTGTCGGGGTCCTGGTTCCAGAGGCAGTCGCGCTGGCAGTAGCACTGCTCGTGATTGGCGGAGTGTCCAAAGTCGCAGACGAACCGGTTTGCGCAAGCACTTGCGCTACGAAAGCGAAAAGGATCGAAAGCAACAGGAGACGGATAGAGAGCGACATGTTGGCAACTTGCGATGAACGGAGGAATAGAGAGAGCGACACAGACAGCAGCCGTACAGTTGAAGAGAAGAAATCAAGATCGAAGCATCGTTCCAAGCGAACCGTAAAGCGAGTCAATGGACATGCGAAATGCCGTGTTCTCCATAAGGCTCATTTCGGGTAAACCTCTGAAACAGCCTATGACCCGCGATCAGAACAGGGGTTTGAGCCTCAACGGTGAGTTGCTCTGGGGTAGAACCGTCTGGACCTTGAATCGCTAACAAAAGTCCTGCTTTCTATAGCACAACTGCCGTTAGTATTGGCCCGCTTCGACGTTGCAATGGCAGGGCGTGGTGAGCTGTGGCTTGAAAACGCATCATACCAATTACAGATCCATGCCGTTAATCCACCACCTTGTCGCATACAACTGCGCATCATGCCTCTGCTTTCCTTTTCTTGTTGGGCAGTCGCCGTCGAAGCTGTTCGTCACCATACTCTCTCCTAGCAGCTCTTGCAGTTGCGTCCTTTCTTTACAACTCGATCTTCCGAAGTGCACCACATTCACAGCTCATCATGCGAGCCTTCACCTCAGTACTTGCGACACTTTTTCCTTGTGCGATTCTTGGACAGCTGACCGATAGCGATGGTTACACCGGCTACAAGCTCGACATTCGTGAGGACGGCGATCCTCTCGCTGTACTGTACGAGACTGAGAACACAACCCCAAATGTCTCCGCCCTAGTTCCTGAGCCGGATGTCCTTCTCAACGCCTCAGTCCACGTCGGAGAAATCTACGTTGGCGTCGACAACCTGACCGCAAAGGTCAATCTCGATGCACAGGTCCTCTCGTTACTGTCGTTCAACGCCGGTGTCGACCTTTCCATCGACAAAGTCTCACTCTTGATCCAGAACGTCACCGCGAAGGTCTACCTGGAAGCACGCCTCACAAACCTTGTCACTATGGTCAGCGATGTGCTCGACAGCATCGACTTGAATCCCATCATCGCAGAGCTAGGCAATGGACTAGGCAGCATCATCAACGACACAGCCGGCTTGATTGGAGACGTCACCGATGGCCTAACTGGATCAGGATCAAACTCGACATCTTCCGGCTCGTCAACTTCTGCAGCAACCAAGCGATCCGAAGACCTCATGCAGTTCGACATCAAGAACAACATTCTTTACTCCGCGAACGACTTCTCAGGCAACACGCACACTCGTCGTGTACTGGCGCAGAACGGAGACATTATTGAGCAGAAGCTGAACAACTATGGATCTATCTCGAATGAGCGCGTTGTGGGTAATTATCAAAAGAACATGCGCTTCAACGGGTTCAATGAGAGTGTTACGTTCAAGGGCGAGAAGGTCAGGGAGGAGGAGTACGTCTACGAGCCGTTTAAGGGCTTGTTCTCGATCGTGGGTGTGTTCAAGGATAAGAGCACAGGTGAGGTAGTGGGCACGCAATTGTTAGCCGAGGCGAGGGGAGGTGGAAGCGCGACGATCGGGAACGAGCAGGACCCGAGGTAGTAGAACATTAAACAGTGAATCGATCTCCCTATTTGTGAGGGTTGCTGGCTTCGAAACAAAACCATGTGAGGGAAGTGACACTGACCCATCCGTTTGACAGCTATAACGTCTTTCAAGCAGAAGATGAACGCAATTAATAGAAAACATGACACATACAAAAGTATAGCAAGGTATCATGGCTGGGCGGAGTCAGGGGACACAGGCAAACCTCAGGCGATCAGACTGTGACCTCAAAACTCGCCGGCCCCTCTCACGCGTTGGACAGCGCCAACGAAGCCCTTGACCCAAGAAAACTTGCCCGGGTCTTTACCAATTGCGCCTTCAACCTCCTTGCCATCCTCGTCTCTCCATATCCCATCCTCTTGTGATGCTAGTCCATAAAGATGGGTATCTACCCGCAGGTTAGCATTTGTCTTGCAAGTCGGTGACAGATAGGTACATACTTTGATTTCTCCGAAGTTGTTCTAGCCAGTCTTTGCATACTTCGTGCGAATCGATCATGATGTTGACCTCCATCGAGTGGAACCATGACTGCGTGTCTTGATTGCCATTACCTTGGATGCCAACATGTTCATCGACGATCATAAGTTTGACTACCATAGCCATTAGAATGTGCTCAACGGATGGCCACATATCGATCGTTGACTTACTGTGACAACTCCTTGCCTTGAACTTGTTGTGAATAGGCATCACCTGATCCTTGGCCACGTAGTAATGAATGCGCATGTTCTTCCTGTGCTCTTCGTCCATGCTCGAATATATCTCATTTGCAACCATTTCGTTATTGCCGCCCTGGAAAGGGAGAAGTTCGCCAGCATCGTTGTAGCCCATGCAGACATAGTATGTGACTTGGATGCCACGACAAGCTGCTTCTCGAAGTGCAGGTAACAGTGGCGAAGCATTCAGGTTCGGCGTTTGGATAAATATCTTTCTCTGAGCATTTCGAATGGCTGCCAACCAAGCTTCGTTCTGCGGTACGTTGACGCATTCGTGGTTCGGAGCACCCCATGGTCTTCGATTGACGAGTGCCATGGGGAACGGGGCGTGGGGTTTGTGTGGATGTATTGGTATCATGCCGTCTTCTGGATTGCATTCTGGCGCTGTGCCTTTGCGATCTAGCTTCGTTGCGAGATCTGGTAAGTTTCAGCAGTCTAAAAGCATGATATTGACTGTCGACAGGCTTACTGAGATGTCTTGTAATTGCGTCCAGCTGCGTCTCCCCATCGCCCGGTAAAAGCACTGCTTGCATACGCTCGATTTCAACTCCAACGTCTGGGTCATTGGATCTGTTCTTGTGATCTGGTAGGGGGAAGTTCTGGTTCCTGCTATCACGATCTCTTTTCAGAAGACTGTCTTGTCGCACTCGTAGACTCCCCTTTTCGTCGAAGAGGCCTCGAAAAGAGGGATCGTGAAACATTGCTATATGCGTATTGCTCGCTCGGCTGTTTAGGGATGGTAGTGGAGGGTTGAGGTGCCTCGCCCAGGAGATCAGTGCAGTGTCGTAGATCGAGTTCACGATCTCGCCCTCGATGTGCGTCATCATTTCTAAGTTGTCGTTATCCTGGATATTGTTGCTCTGCACAACAGCCATCCTACGATCAACGACCATGAACTTAGAGTGGAATGTTCCCAGCATCGGTCGGTGGTAGCTCTGCACTTCCATGTCGATGTGCGGTATCTCTTCAGGGGCTGGCAGTCTTACAGCCTTTGCAGTGTACTGCTTCGGCGACATCATCTGGTGATTGTCGATGACTTGCTTGATGTTTCCGCGATCATACATGATCTTGACAACAACTCTTTTTCCACGCTCGCCAGCACGTCTTGAAAGCTCCTTAATGGCGTCTGTAATGATAGATGCCGCACCGGAAGCAACCCAAAAGTTTGTTGCCAGAAAGACTTCCTTTTCCGCCCGGACGATAAGGTTCGCCATGTGGCGACAGATGTCAGGCACTGGCGCAACGACTGTGATTGGAAGGACTCCATTGCTACCCATAAGACTAGGGCTCACCATACCAGCCAGTGGATCGTGTTCGAGCGAGCAGAGAGCAGCATGGTAGCACTGTAGGAAAAGTTCGCTTGGTTCACTGTCGCCCCAGTTGCCGCACTCTCGAGCGCGCTGGATTTCTGCTGGACTCGCGGGTTGTCGGGAATGAGACTTGTGTTTGGTAATGGCCAGATGTCCTCCTCCGTAAAGCGTATCAGCAAGATGCGCAGGCTCTTGAGATGGATGCTTCGCGAGCTCAGATGATATGCTTGCAGGATTTGTGCAGAATCTGTAGATCTTGTCGGAGATTGCGGTCGCCATTTCCCTTCGGAGTGCCCAGGGTTGACGATGACACAGAAAGCCGGAAGTGACAAGGAGTAATGTGCAAGTGAGCAAGGACACTAAGAAGTCAAAGTCAAGTAACAGGTAGGACGTGCAGTAATAAATCATCATTGAGGCCTGAATATATCTCGAAGTCTGGCGTTCCAATCCGGTTGTTTGGAGGGACTGCGGAGGAGGAGCTCTGAATGACAGCATAACCACGCGTTCACTGCCACTTTACCGATTGCAAAAGCTTGGTTTAACCGCTAAGAAGGCTTGTCGCAATCTGTCAGGTCTCTGACTGGCTGTCAGAAAGCTTGGGTGTGCACTAAAAAGCTTGTTGACTAGCCCTGTGAAGATTAAGCCACAGGCGCTAGGCAAGTGCTATCCGGGCGATGACGCTCTGTCCAGCCTACACACAGGGAGAACCTGACAAATGTGCGCAGACGGATCCAATCCTGAACTCTGCGACCTTGTGCGAAATCTTCATAAATAGGTACATGCAACGATAATAAGCGGTCCGGATGTGCCAAAATTGTGTGGTATGATGACTTCAAGCAAGGATGTCAGACCGGGACTCCTAGAGTCACTCCCGTTGATGGCTACAATTATGGTCTTGCAAGCTATCGATGATACACAGTTGACACAAGCAGCAATAAGGAACGGAACGTCCGAAGTAAAATGGCCATTATTGGAAACAGCAGTGCGGTATTGTTGCTACTGATGTTTCCAGAGCAGAACAACATCCCCCACCGAATCCGACAGACATTCCGAAGGATCAGCTCAACGTCCATGAGCCCTCAGTACTCCAAAGAGGTGAGGTGCGGACAAGGAGGACGTGCGTAATGAGGCCGAACATCCTATGCCGGTGTTGTTAAAACATACTCCGGCCGCAAGAGAAGAGGCTTCAGGCGATGGTGGGAAGACATACCTAAGATGTGAGATGGGAGATTCAGAGCTCCTTTGGAAGCTTGTTCATCTCTTGGAGCTTGCGCGCCGCCTCATCAACTTCCTCGGTCAGAACCGGAAAACCTTCACTGGCGAGCTTGAGAGCAACTGTGAGCAGTGCGATACCTTTTTTCTGGGCTTCGAAGACCTTGGTGACTTCATGTAGTTGGCTCATAAGCTCTTTACTACCCTCCAATGATCCCGTGTACTCCTTCTCGCTGAACTTATCGCAGATTTGTGCGACAAGCTCGAGAAACTCGGCGTGCTGATGCATGAATTCGGCTATCTGAAAGAACCCAGAATTGATGATGTTGGCGGCTTTGAGGATATCTGAGGTGGTATCGTTGCTGGCGAACTGGACGGCGGTGGCTACACCGCATTGAGCAGCGAGAAAGAGGAAGGCGAAGAGGGCGCATAAGAGCTTCATGATGGCGGCTGGAGGAAGTGATGTGGACGTGAAGAGCTTGCAGTCGTCGTGATGGGAGTAAGTTACAGATTGCGGATTTCAAGAACTCTCGAATGGCGGCGCAAAATTATGAAAGATCGTTTGTGCGCCAAGCCGCCCTTCACTGCGCACAGTCAGGGACCAGAACATTCTGGGCAGTGTCTTTGGCCAACCAGCTCTCCTTTCACCTTTTACAAGCGCTTTTATGTTTACTTTCGAAGGCATACTAGTGGGTCGAGTTCAAGTCGTAGTACGACTTCATCTTCTTGTTGTTCAGGTCTTCCCAAGGAGGCGTTGGTGTCCAATCATCTTTGCAGTAGACGAGTCTCTTTCGCCTCCAGTAGCAGGTCTCTTCAACTGTCAAAACCCGAATTAGTGACATCAGGGAACACCAAGAAGCTTATCATATACACCAAAGTCCTTACGAGGACAAGTATCCCTCTTTGTCCATCTTTGGCATTGCGCCACTTTCTTGTAGAAACAGTCCCACCAACGCTTCATGGTTACTTTTGCCAGTCTCTCCGCAGAAGCATGTGATTTTCTCAGGTGTAGCTGGACGCCTCCAGTGGAGATGAACGATGTCTACACACGCTTGTTCATTGCTGCCGCTCGGCGTGAACTGAGTGTTGCAGTGAAAGAAAGCATCGTTCTGCTCAGTGTCAGCGCAGTTCCATGTATTCGTTATGAGCATAGATGGACTTACGACGCAAGCTCAAACAAGAGTTGGAAGCTGCAGCAGAAGTGCACTAAGTGCAATGGACCGTGTGACGAGCATTTTGACCTAGCACTTTCGACAGGTCAGGCTCGACATAATAGACTATGACCCTGATCATGTATAGTGAGAGAAGGTACGTCGAGGGACAACGCGATAAGAGTCGTTCTGATCAAAGTGTGACCGCAATTGTTGCAGACGTCGAGATGCTGACGGAAGAGAGATAGTATTTGTTGAAAGTATCATGGAAGCAGACATCGAGATGCATTCGAGAAAGCTATGGACATTAGCGCCTTACTGCTTCACGAGATTCAGAACGCTGGTCGCGCCGAAAGAGACCCAGCGAACCCAGGAGCTCCAAAGAGAAGAAGAGAGAAAATCTAAGGGTATCGGTATGCCCGAAGGCGAGAGGAGAGAAGAGAAGAAGGGCGCCGTGAATGATGAAAGATTAGCAAGAATCTTTGATTGCACGGCAACATAGGATACATACCTCTAATCATCAACCTTCTTGGTGGAAGTTATTGGACTTCTTGTCACCATTCTTCTTGCTGCAGAGGCTAGGGTCACACTTGTCGCACGTCTTCTTGCGGCAGAACAACCAAATTGCCAAACTCCGCCCCCGTACACCAACAAGGAAGCTCGACCATCCAGAAATCTGGCCCGAGACAACCGAGCTCAAACTGCCGGGTGCTGTGGAAACCGTCGCATCCTTCATTGCTTCGATGAAGCGAAGAGTGATGTTGCGGGAGACATTGACCTCTTTCAGCTCAGCCCTGACCCCCTGCATTGCTGCAAGTACGTGTAGTCGCCATATGAGATATTAGGATATGCCTTGCTTACGCTAGAGATTGGGGAATTGGCAGTAGACGTCAGCGAAAGTCAATGTGAGGAGCGGTGCAGGGTTGTAATTATGTCCCAATCCGACCTTTGAAGGACGACACATGACGCGGATGTAAGGCTTTGAAATAATCGTGGTAGATGAAACGAGATGAACTGCGTAGCGGATGACAGAAGAGAAAAGGCTGTTGAGATAAGGTGCAATGTACACATTGATGGACCGATGACTACAAGTAAATAGGTCACCTACAGTCTAGCCTAGTATCGAGATTGGGTATCGACTTTTCCTATAACACATATGCCGCCTCCTGAGCTTGCGCTTCTCTTCTGCACTTACAAGTGCTCACCAATCCACGACCACCAGCCCGCAACATCACCGGAATTCTTGCCCTGACAGACATTGCCACCGACAATATCGACCGCCGTACCAATCTCCCTCATCTCATCAAACTCAAAACTGCCCTCACCACCCTCACCAAGCCACTCCTTCTCCTCATCCACTTCATCACCACCACTCAGCGCAGCACCAGCATCCCTCAGCGCCTTAGCCCTGTTATTCCTAACCTCACTAATAGCCTTCTCAAGCTTAGTCTTCACCGAGCTCGCCGGCAACGCAGTAAACAAATCCATCTTATTCGCCGCAATTAGCACGGGGATCTCCTTCGGCCCCTTACTCGTCGTTGCATTGGTGTACCTCTTCTGTAGACTCAGCAGCACATCGTGCAAATACTCTGCGGCTTCGTTAAGTCCGGCCTCCTCGTCAATGGCAGCGGCGTCGACGACGAAGATGATGCCGCGGACATTCCCGGGGTCGGCGAGCGTGGAGGTAGCGTAATTACGCAGCTTGCCGTGGCCGGGCGTGTCGAGAATGATAAAGCGGCGCGAGCGCTCGAAGGCTGGGTCGCCTGGGGAGCGGTAGTGCGAGGAGGCGGGGACGTGAGGGTCTGGGAGGAGGGCTTCGATGGAGAGAGGGGTGGTGGAGGGGTGGGTTGTGGGAACGGTGCCGCGCTCGGTCTGTGATGGCGTTAGAATGAATGCACAGCGCGTAGGTATCATGTGCGCCCGGACGGCATGAACGTAGCGCATTCAGTAGCATCATACCAGAGTAGTGAACGCAGTCTTTCCCCCACCACTTGGCCCCACGAGCAAGAACGTGGGCAGCCCTGTCGCGCTGGCGGCCTTCCTGTACAGGAACGAATGCAGCAGAATAGGCAGGAAGATAGCAATCGCCAGGGTAATCACAATAGTCGATAGCTTCGGCGACAGCGCCTGGGTCAGCCAGCTATCCTCATCGTACCAAGCCATGGTCCCGTGCCGTGCAGTCAAGCTCTCCCCTACTCTTTCTCAATCCAGATTCTCGGGCAGACGCTCGCAGTAGCGCAACTCTATCCGTATACTTGCGCAGGCGAAGGAGATGCGCGCAGTTCTGGCGGTGAGTTTTGTGTATTTGAAGACCCAGGGCTGGAAATTCTGACAGGGGAACGCGTCCGTTGGCGCTTTGGTGATCACGTCACAAGAGACGTCGTCGGGCCTTGCAGTTCCGTGGCAGCGCTTGGACTCGATTCAACTTGGGCTGGGGCTGGCAGAACGAAAATGCGAAGCTCTGCTGTGCCGCTAGGCGCTCAAAGCCGAAGCCTGGCCCGCCGCCGCTTCCATGCTTCCCCGCCGCTAACCAGATACCGTTGAGCTTCCTTGCACCTCATCTCAAGAAGTGAGTGGTCACTTCTTCGACGCAAAGAAGAAAGTTGAGGACATTCTGGCGCGCTTGTTGAGGGCGAGGCGGTGAGGGATCAAGCTGACAGACGTACAGTAGTGTGCGTCGAATTAGACAGGAATGAGATGGAGGGATGCGTAGTGGAGGTGTGGTTGGGCATGACTCGCGGCCAGTCGGAGCTGTGAAAGGCGCGAAAGGCACGCAGAAGGTGCGAACATGTGAAAGCGTGGAAGGTGCGAGTAAACAAGAAGGGCCGCCTGCATTCACAACTATCAGTAGCTTTTAGGGGCTATATATTCATACAAATGACAAGGGCCACCATCATTAGTCGCGTTTGTTCCACCACCGTCGCTCCCACGCTTGTGCTCCCCTGCCTGCCTATAGTCCGTGTTCCCATGATCATATCGAGAAAGATACCATGGCCATGACCCATTACTCATACAACCGTGGCCTCTGCCACTACCAGGTAGTGCAATCCCAGTGGTGGCAGTACATAAGAGAGGGGGTATGACCATCGACCTGTACCGTTTTTACCCACAAGCTCCATGCACGATGCATCCGTAACTCGTGACAATTTTCCTGCGCCCATATATCAATACCAGTTGTATCGCGCCAAAAGCACGATCGTAGTGTGAAACGCCATAAGGGAAGGGTACCGAAATACGAAAGAAGCAAAGAAAACGTTCGCTCATGCGGATCCTACAGTCGTGTCTGACGGCAGCGCTAGGTGCAGGATTAAAGATATTAGGATCAAGGAGGATGAAAGAAACATTGAAAGACATGAGACGCCCAACTCCATTGCAGATGCCGCGCCAATGTATGTTCAGCGAAACTCTGCGTTGTGTGGTTGAAGTCAAAGTCGAGACGTTGCATAGCGTCCGCAAGCTGGGAGGATTTGGCATGCGCCTGGCATGTTGTTCAGTTGACTCGTGGTGGTGTCTCTCCTTCATACTTGCTCTGATGACAGATGTTGGTCGACTTCGTGAAGGGTGAGAGGAGGGTGGCGGTATGAGATCGCCGTAGATGTCAAGGGGGAATCGGTGGCTTCTATAGTAGCTGTGACGGCACAACCACCACTCGCGTCAGGCTGACAAAACATGATACAGACTGCACTCAAGTCTGCAATTAGCTCAGTACCCGGCGTGAGCATGCACGTCTGGGTAGTACCCGCGACTGGTCTCCATGCCCTGAAAACGCCCACAGCCGCCGTTGTGCCAGCCAGCGGCTAGCGCTGCAGGACCCGGGTACTCCTCTTTGATAATGCGCTGCGGTAGTGGGAGTGAATGCTCAATCTTTGCTGGGATACTCTCGTAGAGTGGAGCTGGGTAGTAGGAGTAGTCTTGAGGAGCGTCATTCATCTTGTTGTCATCGTCGACCATGTGTTGATCGCCAACAAGACCCTCGGGGGGCCCACCGCTCAGGGAGCTGGCAGAACTCACAGAATGACTTCCGATAGGGCTTGGATCGAGTGAGTAGGTGTTACCTCGGTAGGGGTTACCGCCCATGGTTGCACTACCGTTCGACATGCCATTACTGTAGGATCCAAAAGCTCGTGTGCCATTTGAACCCAAGCCATGATGACCAGGCCCACCGAGACCTGATCCTCCAGCGCCTCGACTGGCACCGGCATTGTGGGGACCCTCGTGTTGATAGTGGCTTGGTGATCTCCCACGGACGACCACTGGGTGTGACGAGCGAGCGGCGATCTTGACCCATTTCGGGTTATCATCTCGTGGATTCTGAATGTTGGCCCAGAGTTCGACAATCAGATGATAGTATTGCTGCTGGGCTCGCCGCTTGCCGTTGTTGGCGGTAGCTGATTTGAACTGAATGCGTTCAAACCCGTGTTGGAAACTGCTACTGGCATGGCTAGTAGGCGAGTATTGTTGCGATGAGTCGGAGTCGTTCTGTAAGGGCAACTGTGGGCCTGGAACACTCGAGGACTGGTGGAAACTGTTGAGGCCGTAGCCACCGTGTTCGTGGCTCTTTCCAGGTGGGGTGGGAGCGAGGAGCTCCTTCTTCATGGAAAGTTGAGGGCCCTTGTCGCGTTTCGGGGTGTGTTGGATGAGCTCAATGGTCTTCCCTGCCGAGCCATCAACAGCCGCAGCGAGAGAAACTGCCATCGATTGGATCTGCTCTGGTTGCTTTCCATTCCCTTGATCAAGGTACAGGCGAGCGTTCGAGATCCATGGGTTGAGTCCGTACGAGACATTGACAGCGAAGTAGTTCCGGCGGTAGCATGTCCAGACGCGGTCGCTAGAGTAGAAGAATCCTTTCTCAATCTTCGCATCGAGAGTTGGCACTACTGTGGTGCCCTCGCAGCTGATTGTCCCGTATGTCTCTTGCGCGTTGAAGGGTGGTGTCTCTGTCGCTTGACCGTGGCTTGAGTAAGAGGAGCTCTGGTAGTTGCTGTATGCCAGAGGCATGGTGGTTGACAGAACACTCCTAGGAGTGTCGGGCATAGAGTTGTAGCGAGAGAGTTCAGAATGACGAGGCGATAGGGTGTGGGGATGCCTATGCAGGCCCGACGTTGTTGTATAGTTGTCCCGAGCCGGCACACCCATGGGCGGTGACACAGGGTTGCTCAGCCCTGGTGATCGTGTCGGAGGTAACATCGCCGACGATGAAGCATCAGTTCTATTGTGTTGCTATCAGCTGTCATGCATACACATTAGGTTTGTTGCGCACGAATGCGCCACAACGGCTACCTACATGGAGGACATCCGTCGAGTCGACATGTTACCGTAACCACAAGAGAAGCTGTTATAGTTGTTTGCTACAGGGTACTGGGAGTAGGTTGTGGCCACTGTCGGAGAAAAAGATGAGTAGGAGGAGTAAGCTAGTGCAGACGAAGCGTTGGAGCTGGGCGAGGTTGAGATGGACCCAGACCCCGAATCGGAGAGGACAACACCAGATTGGTAACTATTGGCAGTCAGTAAGCTCAGCAAAACAATGCTACTTGGCCCAACTGATGCGAGCGACAGCGATGTGTAACCGAATGTAGGGTGACACGGTATAAGTTGTCAAGTTGACCAGGGACGGTATGGCAGACCCGCTAGGCTCGTCGTGTGATCATACGTGACAGACCAGCCTGTTGGGAGAACTAGGTGTGCCATGCATCCGATATGTGTGCGACGACAAGTATGATGAAAGGCATCGTCGACGTGTTTGTTTTGGGGTAGGGATTGCCAGCACCAGGCAAAGAGGCATCGAGGATGCAGGCTGGGGTCGGCAGGCAGCACTACGGAGCCTGCATGCCAGACCGGGAAGAGGGAGACCAATGAGAGAGGCTACTTACGTTGCGTCGGGACGGGGTGCACCGTAACGGCTTGTAATCGCGCTCAAAGGCATACCGGTCGCTGTATGAGCTAGGGCTCCGTCGCGCCTTAGCTGATCGGGTACACCAGCTGCGAAAGAGTTATGATGTGCATGAGTACCAATCTGGTCGATGCATGCTTCCTCTGTAGAGAAATGGTTGTCCGATGCCATTGACAAAGGAGGATGAAGTACTGCTAGTCCTGCAATCAGCCAATCGTTTTTTTGACTGCAATGTTTGGTGTTGGAAATCAATGCTGGCGACAAATGCGAAAAGCGTGCGTCGTTAGGTGGTTGAGCACAGCAGGGCATACGCGCGTGGGGTGTTGGTTGTACGGGTGGCTCCGCACTCGGGCCAGAAGAAGTGTGCGAGAGCGCACTACAGAAGCTGCAGAAATCGAAACAAAGGACCCACAGCGTGTAGCAATAAACAAGTACAAGACAGAACGCGCATGTTGACTGTTTTGTTGACCAATATAAGAAAGAGGCGCAGGCGGAATGCAGGATAAGAATGCGGAGAAGGGCGCCAGCTTATGGCTGGAAGGTGCAGCGCTTGGAAGCCGAAAAGTGGAGAACTTTCGCTCTGTGTAGAGCACGCAAATACAAAACAAAAAATTCTTTACTCACTCGTGTTCATCTTGTAATAGCGACAGAATGTTGACGGTGCTATTTTATTCGTCAGATTGCTGATCAAGCTTAAAAGATTCCAAGACAACAGGTGAGTGTCTAGTTGCTGCAACTCGATACTGCGGATAAATGGTGGCTATAGTACTTACAAGTGTAATGTTGAACAACAGCGAGTCGTCCTTGCCAAACAGTTATTGCTTTGTCGCGAGGCTCAATTTGCACCGAAAATCCAGGTGGCCGTTCCGGAGCAAGCTCTCAAGGCTGACGATCCAAGCTCGAGTGGAAGGCAAAAACGGGAGTGTCGATGGTCGTCACAGCTTCGTTTGATGATGCTGTTGGTTCGCTTGAGGACGGTCTAGCCGGCGCAGGGGTACGATTCGATTAGCTGCCGCTGCGCGAGTTACTGGTGACTGTGAATACGCTGCTATTGTCGACGAGCAGCTCGAAGCGTGGGATCGCGGGGAAGGATGTGATTGACGAGGTACGTTCCGGGAAACCAGGTTAGTAGTGCGCGTTGATATGCACCACCCGAACTTCTCGGCTCTAAAGTCTATCGCAAGGCTTGGTCAGTGGGCTCATGTGGACTGTAAGGAATGACGGGCGCACCCACAGGTTTCAGGCTTTCGAAGATACTGATATCTGGCGTTTGTTGATGTCACCTGTTGCGGCTGCGCGACACCTTAAACCCTGAGATTGAACGGTTCGTCAAGGCGGATTGCAAGACTAGATGGTGCGCTTTGCTTCTTCCCGCAGTCTCCACAGATCTCGAATGGCGAGCACAGACAGGTATGGGCAACGACCCGGCTGCCTACTGCTTGCAAATCCTTGTTGCGACTTAGGCGGTGTGTATATTCGCTGTCGCCGCTGCACTGCGACCTGTCAGTCCTTCGCATCAAACAAGGGAGCATGTCGCAATCCCAGTAGAGCTTACAGGGTCCTTCTGCAGAGTTCCTAAAAGGAACGACGTGGCGTCGCCTGAGCCTTGATCGTGGCTGTTTCAGCGAGGGTATTGTCGTCAAATGTTCAGCGATCTACGCAGAGGCCTGGTCCACGGAACAGCCTGACCGTTATCCGCTGCTTTGCGCCGATGCAGAGGATGCAGGTAAGTCGCGACTTCTCAACAACGTTGTAGACAAGAGTATATGAATGTTGTAGGAAGATATGTTAAGGAACTCCTCTTCTGACTCGACTTGAGCGGGTGTTAGCCGTCTGAAGGGTCGAAGCACATATGCACCGTGCCTTCAGTCCGAATTGGCTCCTGCTGGGATCGTTGTACAAAGCCGCTAGGGTTCGACGCTCCCGTGATGCTAATCCTCGAGGCTGCCTGGTAGGGTACCAAATCCTGAGATATCAAGACAGTGATATGTGGTATATGGTGCGGTTCTGTGTAGAACGAGGCTTTGTTGATGAAGGTGCTTAATCAGAATGAGCTTGAGAGATGGTAGATCAAAGAGATCGTGAGCATATAGAATCTGGGCAATAGATGTACGGTTCGCAGATAGAAACCGCTATAGCTCGATCCAGAATAGGGTGAGCTGGGGGTCAGGTTCGGGATGTTTGGCTGAAAGGAGAAGTGCCTACCCAGCAAGTATAGCCCCATAACATCATTTAGGAGGATGGATCAAGATTTCAGCCCACAAGCAAATGATCGGTATTGCAGACCATGACCGTTTTCCCTAGCACCACGGTAGTATTGGCAAGCTGCAGCAGCGAACCTTTCCTAAAGCGGCGGCTCTATATCTCCGAGATGCCAGGGAGATGACTTGCCCCAGCGCCCAGGCTCGCGTCTTGCTCGAATGGTAGCTGCTCCACGCTGAGCTTTGCATTCCTTGCACCGGAGTATGGCCTCTGCTGCCCACTCACTGTCTTGCAACGAGGAGATTGGCTCGCCGGACAGGCGCATCACGGTCCCCGTGCAGCGATGCAGGAACATTGACCACGGCACCACACTGAAATGGGTGGCCGACTCGACACAGCATGACATGAACCGAGCAGTTGGGACTTCGATGTTTCATCTCGATCAGACGCCCAAGAATAACCCATGAAGCGAACAGATGATCAGGGTTCGCTCTTGCCACACCGACGTTGGTTGGACACTCACTGCCCGCGGCGCCCAGTCAGCAGTGGATCACAGGTGGGCCAAGAACAAGCTGGGATAGAGCGCCACGGCCCGGTAGCCGCAGGTAGACGACAGGGCGAACCGTGGGTGAACAGGAAGTCGAGGGAATCAGAGGACAAGGAGAGACTTTGGCTCGAGGGCCGTTACCTGTCACGGAACGACAGTGACGCTGTTACTTGGCTCTGACAACGACGGTTTGGGTGACTGAAGTAGACGAGAAGTCAGCCACCACCCACACACCGACGCCAGGTCCATCTCGCTGAGGCAAGCGTGCAGCGGGTGATGCTCAAAGGTTGCATCGCCTAGAGGTTTTGGTTAGAGCGCTCACTGCGCCATGATCCGGGCTGCTTCACTCTTAGCACACCGCGACCCGGCAGCCTGGGATACTGCGTATTACTCCGAAAGAGGGCAGGGCCAGTCATCGTGAAGGTTGCCGTCCATGGTCGTCACTCAGCTCTCGTCGCGCCTCGGACGAGGTGGGCGCGGCGAGCGGCATATCGTTAGCCGGGGTCTGAACGGTGAAGAAAGCGAGAAACAACGGGGCGTGGACCGGCTCGGCGGCTCCCTTGCGTAGTCGAGATGAAAAGCGATACATGATCGATGGGAAGGAGGGATGGACCAGCAGGGGATTGGGATAGACCATCTGGTGACGTGCAGCGCCCGCGGCTAACTAGTTTCCACTTGGCCGCGCACCAGCCCGCTTTGGCCACTAGCGGGCTTGGCCCTTCCCGTTGTGCAGCGGTCGCTGCTGAACTCCCCAACCGCTCTCAACATCAGGCCGTGTGGTGGAGAACAGCACCGCAAAGCGTTGGCCCTCCCTTACTGCATTGCTTCAGCGATGCTCCACGCGTTCAGGGTGACATTGCCGTCCCAAACATCATCAAGCTCATGTGTCTCGCACGTTGCGGCCGTCCACACCCCCCAGCACTCGGGGCTGACCGGCGATGAGAGCTCTCATCTTCGCATTGCATTCCTCAACCCACAGCTGCACAGCTCATCAGACCATTCGGGCCAATGAGTGGGTAGCGATCAGCGGTGGCCAGCAAGCAGAGAAGGCTTGCCACAGATGCCAACATCAGACTGACCCGAGCCACTCTACCACTTCCATGCCAGCCTGGTCATCTGATGTGTCTGGATAGTGAATGCAGAGGCAGGGCTTCCCGCTTACTTTCCGAGTGCCTCACCGCACTAAGAGCGCCGCCCCAGCATGCTCGGCGCCTGCCAGAGAATTCACCGTACCCAGGCACAACAGCCCGTTGAAGCGTAGATTCAGATGGTGGCTGAGCGGGTATTCAGGAGATCACGGCTTGAACAGGATGTTGCAGCTCATTGCGAGGTCACAAGATGCGCAGCTTCCCTGCAGGGCGCCTGCTGTCGAGGCACATCGACCTGCAGCCTCCCGCTCAACCCCGTGACGGTGATGGTCGGGCGTCCAAGCAACTGCCAGTTTCCGATACATCATGGCGACCCGCATCAGACTTGACTGTTGTATCGGGGGGATTAGGAGCTGGTTTGGGCTCTTGCTTTGATCGTCTCATTCGACCCGAAGACGCCAGTTTAGGGACGCTTTCGCTTTCGACTGTTGCTGTGACCTGTTACACCAACACCGCTTACTCCAGCCTTCCAAATTAACAGATCCTCAAGAGGGGCCAGTGTCGCAGCCCTGACAGGAGCACGTTACAGCGATCCGATCAAGCACTGATGAGCCGTTACGAGGGAATCGAGAACAATACACAATCAATGACTCCATGAATAGGATCAGACCAATCTCGAGTCGGCCAAAATCATCATCCTTGCATTCGGTTTGATGACCGGTAGC